TTCACTTCGATTTGGATCAGTCAAACCCTACTTTAAGTATTGTGATCAATTTGAAAACATTTAAGAAAAAAATAGTTTTGTTTCCTGATCTGATCTTCCACAAAAGTGTGATCTCTAGAATCTTTAAAAGTGTACTTGTTAGTGAAATTCACTAACGGTATTTCTGTCTCTTATCAAGATCAGTTATGAATAACTTGCACCACAAAATTTATAATTCATATTTGTACTTTTCAGTGGTGAGGTGCTTCTCAGAACCTTTTTCTAAATACATGGAGATTTAGAATTTATTGTGATTATTATATTTTTAACATTTTCAACGTTTGACTTGGAATAGGGCATCTATATGGGGGTTGGTGGTAAGGGGAGCAAATGACAAATGTTGGATTGTCACAACATGGGTCCCACCCATTCTTTACATGTATTATCTTTCATGAATGTACTCCTCCCACACATACACACATGGTACAAAGACTGGCTGTGTTAGCAGAGTGGCCATTGTTAGTTGGTGGTTTTTAGAATGTTGCAGATGGTTGAAGGAGAGGAACATCTTGCTCAGATGGTGGAGGAGCCCTTTAGGGTCCTCCATCTTCTAGTACTGGACTGGACTTGCCATTGGGCTCGTGTGCTTTATATCCCAGGCCTGGCTTCACTGTGGCTTGCATGGTACCCAGTGCTTACCTCTTGTTCCATGCCACCAGCTAGAAGACTGCCAATAGTAACAGTAGGACTTCCGGAAGTGCTAATCAGCTTTGGAACAATAAGCAATGCATACCACATCAACAGAATTATCCCAGAGAGTTTGGGATTTTACTGACTGTTGCTCTAGAATGGGTGTCAAACTGGCGGCCTGTGAGCCAGATGGGTCATGAGCAGGCCACGCCCACCCCAGCTCAGCGAAGGGGGAGAAACTTTGCGAAACGTCATGTGAACTCACTTAACAAATTTCTCACTTAACAACATAAATTTTGGGCTCAATTGTGGTTGTAAGTTGAGAACTACCTGTAAATCTTGCTGTGTCATTGTTTTTCTTTTTTTTAAAATCATTTTTATTAAACAGTTTGTCTTTAAAAAACAACACAAAAAAACCAACCACACATACATAAAAAAAAACACACATCAAAACATATTAAACATTACATACTGTCAGTGGTAATTTTACAACATTCCGTATCATTTTATTGTTTTTCAATAACACTTTTTCAAGATGTGTTTCAGTGGTGAAATCCAAATTTTTTTTACTACTGGTTCTGTGCGTATGGCTTGGTGGACGTGGCGTGGCTTGGTGGGCGTGGCAGGGGAAGGATACTTCAAAACCTCCATTCCCAGCCCACTCCAGGGGAAGGATATTGCAAAATCTCCATTCCCACCCCACTCTGGGGCCAGCCAGACGTGATATTTGCCGGTTCTCCGAACTACTCAAAATTTCTGTTACCGGTTCTCCAGAACCTGCTGGATTTCACCCCTCATGTGTTTGCTAAGCTCAAAAATTGTAATTACTATGAGGAGTATTTTATCTTGTTTGTTTAGCATTTTTCTTTACTGTTAATAAAGCAAGCAACTATGTTGTATGTAATGTCATGGATAAGATTTAATCAACTTTTGCCTATTTTAGAAATGCATATATTAAGAGGAATTTATCCCAGAAGGTTTTTGTTGCATTAAAGCATTGTGGCTCGGTTCAGCTATAATAAAAAATTGATAAAGCATGAAATAATAAATCAAACATATTACCAAGATACCGGATTGCTGATTAAAAACCTGAACATAAATATGTCCATTAGATGAATCACTATTAACCCCCCTCCCCAGGATTATTGTTGAGGGAATACCTTTATTTATTCATCGGAGTGTTCAACAATCTTCCCCATGCATGGGCCACATTTTCAAAATCAAGCACAATTTGCAAAGTGCATTTCAGTTAAATACATAGCACAATTGTTTTTTTTCCACAGATCACTTGAGGCATGCCTCCAGGGAAATGCCCCATGCAGGCTGCGAGTGCATAAACATACTTTAGATAGAAGCTTTGCATACCAGTATTCAGGCTAGTAAATTGCAAATAAATATTTCAAATCCCAGATTAGCATAATATTTTAGGTGGTTTCAAATAAAGGTCAGCGGGGTATTCCGTTTGCGGGGTGCTTAATTCATTGCTGTGACTTTTAGAAATCTATTATTAATTTAATCATTAGAGAATATAAAGCAGAAACATTTTGTACTTTGCAAAATAAATTTTAACTGAGTAATAACTATTACAGTGGAAAACCTACAGTACAGCTGTACAATTTCTGCATAATTCAGTGGTCTTAGTGTGCCATGTCAGGTTATTTTCTCCAACAGAAAACATAATTTTAGCCTAAGCTAAATGCATATAGCAACTAAAATTGTTCTCATCAGAGCTTTATGGTGTGAGGTTTAGTAATCAGACTAGACTGCAGTGGTCTTTCTATACCAGCAAATAGGTTTTAATTGGTTTAAGCTCTAGAAAACCGGTTTAGAGAATTCGACAACCTACTGGTTTTCATTAACTAAGAAGTATTCAATTTAGTTTTAAATGCTTTCTAATTTTAAAATGAATAAAACATTAGCACATAAATATATAAACATAGATCATAATTTCAAAGCAGAAATTTAATTCATTTTACAGATAATTTTATTCCAGTATTTCTTTAGTAAATTTGATTAATTAATCTTGCATCAGATGTATAGTAAATGTTATATTTCTATTGAGGATATGTTTACATAGCAATAATACCTGTTGGTTCAATGGAACATGCTTCTAATTAATGGGTTAGACTGCAAATATTTAGGATTACATCCACAAAGATTGGCTAAAGGCTAATAAATTGTGGTTTAATCTAAATAGTACTGGGAATGCAATAAAAAGTTAATAATAAAATATAAACAATAAAACTAGAAAATTTGGCATTAAACTAGAAAAGTTCACCAGTTCTTTATTGCACTACTATGAAGAAAATCGAATGGACATGTCCATTGTTGTGGAGGTTAATAAATCAATAAACCGTGAACCTCTATCTCTATGAAACTCTACTTAAATGAGCCTCTGAAGTAGCCTACAGCAAATGTTTTTATTTACACAATAAAAACATAATAATATATATACAATTAATAAACATCACTAAGTTACTATTATAAATTACACTGTCAGCTATCTATCTATATACATATCTATTCTCTCTAAGCTATGCTATCTATGAATATTCTTCCTCAGAAGAAATACAACAATATACCACAGAAATGCTCTTCTAATGGACTTCCAGATTGCTCACAGTTATCTAAAGGAAGATCCTAGAATACAATGCCATACTAGACAGAAGATCAAAGTGAACAGCAAGGTGAAGAGCAAACTGAATACCAAACTGAAGAGCAAAGGTTTCTGTTAAGAATCACCTTTTTTACTGTTAACTGTGACAGTTAGGGGAGGGCCCGGGAGATTCAAACATATTAGCTGCCCTCTGATTGGCCCACGCATCTGTACATTCCAAAAGCCATTAATAGGCACAGCTATATAGAAATAAATTTTCTCTAACATCCATGAATTCACCTAAACTTTAAAGGACTAGATTTATCCACTAGGGAATCTTATTAATCTAGCAGCCTTATTGGAGCATAAGGTCTCTGATTCTGAATCCTTTTATTTTACTTGATACACATCGTTATCTGAGCTCTCTTTGGATTAGACAATATATTATACATGGAGTTTCTTCTGAGAATGTCTTCCAAAGAACTCCAGAACATAGCTGAACATATTACAGATAGTCTTCATTTAATGACAGCAGTTTGGACCAGCATTTCCAGTTGCTATTGTTAAGGGAATCACTGAGGGTATCACATGGTTGTCATTTTTGATCTCCTGCTGGCTTCCCCTTCACTTGTTGGAAGCCAGCAAAGAAAGTCACAAATGAAGATCACACAACTACAGGATACTGCAAAGCAGGGGTGAAATCCAAGTTTTTTTCTTACCGGTTCTGTGGGCGTGACTTGGTGGGTGTGGGGATATTGCAAAATCTCCATTTCCATCCCACTCCAGGGGAAGGATACTGCAAAATCTCCACTCCCTCCCTTCCTGGGGAAAGGATATTGCAAAATCTCCATTCCCACCCCACTCGGGCCAGCCAGAGGTGGTATTTGCCGGTTCTCTGAACTACTTAAAATTCCCGCTACCGGTTCTCCAGAACCTGTTAGAACCTGCTGGATTTCACCCCTGCTGCAAAGTCACAATTGCAAGCTAATTGTCCGGATTGTGATCATGTGACTACTCGTTCAGCAAAATTACAAATTTGAAAAGTCAATTGAATGAGGGGTTGTTAAATGAGGACTACTTGTTTGCTTTTATTTTATCATCTTTACTATCTTCCACTCCATTTTTTGGTTTTCATAACAAATTTCCACTAAGCTATGAGAAAAATGTTGTCATATTTACAGGCCTTCTCTGAATGCTCCTTTCAACTGATGTTTGAGTAGATAGTACTCAAGATTATACCAGTTTTAGCCTTCAAATATCCAGGTTACCTCTAGTGAGCAAAAAGCTAAAATGTTTGATACCTCTTTACTGCCATCTATTGATCACCTGAATTTTTGCAAGGGAAAAGAGCAGAAGTGTTATCCCATTTATGAAACTTCTTTCACAGAGATGCTAACACTTTCCTTATAATCTCTTTGTTGTTGTTGTTGATGATGATGATGATGATGCTGTTGTTATTCCAGGCCTCCTAAACATTGAGCACACAGTGATATTAAAATATCTATCTTTAAATATTGCTTTATTTGCTTCTGAGATCATGTTGCTTTTTTAATCTTTCAAAAACTATACATAATGTTGTTGTTGCTTAGAGAATGTTGTTTGTAAGTATATAAATAGACACAGGTATTTTCAGTCATTATTTCCAGTGTTACTACATAATCTTTCAGTATTATCTTTTTTCCTACTAAAAGTTAGAACAGAAAAATCACTAAAATATGTTCTTTTCTTCATGCAGATAACAATCTTTTCACCATCCGGCATGAAAAGTCTAATAAGTGCATCCAAGTTAAAAGCCAGCGCTTAATATTAGGAGATTGTAAGGAGGCAGACGAGAGCTTATGGACCTGGGTCTCTCAACATCGCCTTTTTAATTTGGGATCCCAAAAGTGCCTTGGACTAGAGACTGTGAAGTCTACAAATACCTTAAAAATGTTTGCTTGTGACTCGGATCTCAATCTGTGGTGGCGCTGTGTTGGTGATTCCATCCTTTCCACATCTCAGAACAAACTAGCATTAAAGAATGAACTCCTCACTGTAAGCCTAAACTCTTCTGATGTTTGGAGAAGAAGCAATTCCAGGGATACGATTTGTAAATTTCCATATAGTGGTATGTATTTTCTATTATTTATAGAAAGGGAAAGAAGGGTTTCAACCAGAATATGATTAAATAAGGCGTTCAAAAGAAAGGGGGCATTCCCAGTTGAATGTGGCATCAAATGATGATTAACCAACAGTAATTAATTAACACTCATGTGATGAACTGGAATTCAGACATTCCTGTCCATGTTCTAACTTACATTGTTTCCAGATATAGGGACTGCAAGTACTAGCATTCTCAGCTATGCTGGGACTATGCGGTTTAGATTTTGGGAAGTTGAAATCCATACTTGGGGAATGTTAATTTGGAAGATGCCGGAATGTGTTTTCGAATGCATCTGAAGGAGCACTAAGACCATTAATGTAGTGATTAAGGTGCTGATCTAGAAACCAGGAGGCTGTGAGTTTTAGTCCCACTTTAGGCATGAAGGCTAATTGGGTGACTTTGAGACAGTCACCCTCTCTCAGCCCAACCCACTTCAAGGTTGTTGTGGGGAGAATAGGAGGAGGAAGGAATATTTGGCATGTTCACTGCCTTTGAGTTATTAATAAAGTAATAAAGGCAGGATAAAAAAAAATCTGATAAATAAATTAAGGAAAAAAGCATTGCAAATAACCGATGTTCCTTTGGAAAACATGCAGAATTCACATGATTTTTAAAAGGGCTCAGATTATCATTATGATGATTTTGCAGGATGAAACAGATTATTTCCAGATGAAAATATCATGTAGAAAAATCAGTGAAATATTAGACATTATGCTGGATTTGGGGGGGGGGGGACAATTGTTACTGCTTTTGATAATGATCTTTGCACTTACATCTGTGTACATTTGGCATTTATAAAGAATACATAATTTATTTCCTCTGTAGTGGAATGTTGATGTTACATTAAATCATGTTTTAGCATAAGGGTAGATAAATCCATAGGTTCAAGTACTTCCCTGCCCAATTTTTCTACTTCTCAAAATCCTTCAAGTTCATGTAGTTAACTTCTGAAAGTAAAGTGCTGGTTTTCAATGGTGGGTTGGTTTATTTTTGCCCTTTTATTGTATAGAATAAGCCCTAAAAATAAATTAAAACCCTGACAACATCTATTTTGACTAACTGTTTCCCAAAGCCTCGCCCAAATCAGACCCCCAGGTTTGCTGCTTCAGTGTCCCTTCAGAGGGGGAATAAAGTCATGTACTGGTCTGGAGAACAGGATTGTAGGGGATCTTTTTTTACCGACCAGGTGAAATGGTGATGTAAGAGACCAGGGTTAATCCAAAATGGAAGTGAAACTTTCTGAACTTCCCTTTTGATTAAATCTTCTCCCCCCCACCCCCCACTTTTGCAGAGGAGAAAGCTTTGAACTTAATCATTTTTAAGAAATGGGGGATTAACCATTAGCTCTCTTGCTTTCTCTAATTTGAATGCCAACAAAATTATTTTCAAGTTGAAGGAACTCTGGGGAAGTCCTACAAACTCCTTTTTAGCTACCATGTTTTCCCGAAAATAAGAACCTGTCTTATATTTTTTTGAACCCTGAAATGAGCGCTTGGCCTTATTTTCAGGGAGGTCTTATTATTTTGGGATGCGTGGAACAAGACAGGGCTCCTCTTGCCATCTTACCTGACTTCCAGCTCTGTCTCCCTAACCTTAACCAGAGGAAATGGTGGGGACCGGCAGTGCTTGTCTCTAAATATTTTCGGGAAACACGGTACCCTTTTTCTATGGTTAGAGCACAGAAAACATGGAGCTCCACTAGTCTTTAGAGTACAAAACCACTCTGTCTTCTGTTTGCTGTACTAAACACTGGACATGTCTAAACAAACAAATGGAAATTACCTCAAGGCATCTTTTGTATTTCTGTCTTGTTCTGTGGAGCTACTTGGTTGACGAGGTCTGTATCACTGTATCACAGTGTTGTTTCTAGCCATATTTGTGTTTACATAACTATGAATGGACATATTTGTTTTTCTCTTTTTCCTTTCTTCCACCCCACCCTGTAGACCTTTATTATAAAGTTTATGAAATTATAAGCTCATGGGCAGGAATTGTCTTGTTTTTTTTTAATTTCTGTTTAACAGATCTAAATAGATTTAAACAGCTGTATAAATTAATTATAATTATTACAACAAAGTCACCAGAGATTCCAGGCCTTTTCTCCTGATCTATAATCTAACCTTCAGCCAGTTCAGGCTATTTTTATCTACAGGGGCTGAAGTCCTGTTAGTACAATTATTTAATACAACATTCTTCCTGGTTCCTTTCTGAGCTTTCAAAACCAGCCCCAATTTCTTCTTCAGCAGGGCAGTGGAGTAATGTATTTATTTTATTTTTATTTATTAAATGTGCTGCGGTACAACTAGCTGCGGTATTGTGGCTTTGTGGATTAGGCTTTGCTGTTAACAAAACCAAATTAATAATCTCTGGTGGGATTATCAGAGGACAGTCTTTAAATTCTCAGAGATTTGGTTTGTTCGTTCACTTCACATGAGAAGATTGTGCAGTCTTTCACTGCTGGTATGAAGAGACGCCTGTTCTCCAACCCAACAAAGGCAGCTTTCATCAGTATCATGTGCAGCCCTTGGAGTCTGAAAATTTGTCCTGTATCTGCTCGATATTCACATCAGTAATAGCAAAAGAATCAGGACAATTAAAATACTAATAACCCCACACATAATTTTGAATTGTCATGTATTTCCTGTATTTTGTATTTAATAATTTTGAAGAATGCCCTTCTGTTAGAAAGCCAGCAAGGATAGCCAAACAAATCTTGAAACAATCAGTTTTATTTTGACTGTGTCCGTTGAAAGTTATTTTGATGAAAATTATGATATCATCTCATTAGCCAACTTGGGTGTTTCATGTCAACCCTAAAAGCTGAAACTTAAAGGGAACTTAAGATCCTCCAGATTTTACCTGACTATCGAGTGACAGTGTTACCTAGCTATCCAGTACTCTGGAAGTTTTCTACTATCTAGTGATCAGATTTATATAGTTGTCCAGCTGTCAGTGGAACTGTAGGCAGTGAGCACAAGAAAGAACATAATACACAAATCAATTAAGATGTAGCTGAATTAGCTTCAACTGCTGGGAATTGTAGTTTAGTATAGTGGTGGGTTTCAAAATGTTTACTACCGGTTCTGTGGGTGTGGCTTGGTGGGCGTGGCATGGCTTGGTGGGCATGGCAAGGGAACGATACTGTAAAAACTCCATTCCCTCCCCATTCCAGGGGAAGGTTACTGCAAAATCCCCATTTCCTCCTGATCAGCTGGGACTCAGGAGACAGAGAATAGATGGGGGTGGGGCCAGTCAGAGGTGGTATTTACCAGTTCGCCGAACTACTCAAAATTTCTGCTACCGGTTCTCCAAACTACTCAAAATTTCTACGGCCGGTTCTCCAGAACTGGTCAGAACCTGCTGAAACCCACCTCTGGTTTAGCAGCATCTGAAGAGACACTGGTTGCTCTCCCTGGTACTATGATTTTGAAATCATTTTTTTTCTTGGCAAGATTTTTTTTCACTTTCTGCATGGATAAGAAACATGGCTACATGTTTTTACTTATTACTTATATTACTTTGAATATTACTTTGAGCAAAAAAGATACAGAAAAGATAAACGAATATATATCTGAAAGTACTGACCATATTGAAAACAAGCAAGCAGTAGACTGGGACTTCATTTCCTTTTTCCTTTTTTCTTTTAAAATTTCCAGCACAAAATTTTTATTACAATAACATGTAGCACTTTAAAATATAACAGAGTATGCTAATTAGCATGAGAATAGTGTAGAAAACTTGGTATGCAAGTAAGTTATGAAAGCTGTGCAGGCAAGAACTTTGTATCAACATATTGCATTGGCATTAAAAATGTGGAGATGACTTGCTAGTAATTTCAAAGCCAATTTCTTTTTTTTTTTTTTTTTTTTACTTTCCCTTATGGATAAGGCATATTCTCCTTGCAAAGTTAATCTACTAGGTTCTGCATTGACTGTTATAAAAGTCCTCTTCCAAACTTGAAACAAGATCCTTTTAAAACCAGCAATTCAAACATCTTTAGAAATTGACATATAGATGTTGAAGCACTTTATCGAAGACAAGAAATCATGCACCCAAGCTTCATACCCTAGATCAACGGTCCCCAACCTTTTGGGAACCAGGAACCGGTTTCATGGGAAAAGGATTTTCCACGGACCAGAGGGGCCGTGATTTCGCGTGCTGCCTGCATCCCGCGGATGAAGTTCACCTGTTTGCGTGGACTAGTTGCTGCCATGCCACGGGCCGGTGCCAGTCCACAGACCAGGGGTTGGGGACCTCTGCCCTGGATCAAAGATGGTCCACTTATGGTTCATTGAAGTGCTGTTTTCACAATACAGTTACTACAATATAATGCTACCTTGCTATTGAGCCAATTGAAGCTGAATCAAGGCAATTTAGGAAGATGATAATGTTTCCTTTGGAGAAACATGAGAAAGCCTCCTCTGTGAACACTGGTACTCAATTGGAAGCCTGCTGGTCTCCAGAAGGCCTGCTGTAGCATGTCCCACTACTTTTTGCTGAACACTCATTCCTTCTTTGGCCATTTGTATTGTTCCTTAAGTTGTATAAGTCAGATCATTACCTTGTGATTTTGATACTAGGTTTTTGGTTTTTTTTTTTACTATTGATGACCTCTGGCTCCATGTATTGTTGCCTCTACCTAATGTAACTTAAGATCTGTGCATACATGATTCTTCCTGCAGACATACAGGTCTTAAAGTAATATTTTAAAATATGTTTATTTTACATCAAATATACTCATTTCCAGATTTTAAAAAAATCTGTTTTTGGTTTCTTTTATGCAGAAAGTTATACCAGGGATGGGAATGCCTATGGAAAACCTTGTGCGTTTCCTTACTTACTTAATAATACATGGTATCATGATTGCATTCACAATGAGAAGTATGCAGGAGGTAAATGGTGTTCCACAACCACTTACTTCAATCAAGATGGACAATGGGGCTTCTGCTTAAAAAGAGGCAAGTGGCTTTCTTAAAATAGTATCCTGAAAAACTAATGTTGTATTAATGCTTGTTATATATTTTGGTATTTCTTGAGAAAAAGAATGAACAGAGCTTCACATCTAATAATAGCTCTCTATTGATTAAACAGTATTGTTGTATCATATGCAATTACAATTATATAAATTAAGATATTAAAATTATTTGATGAGGTGCCAGTTTGTGTTATAAAAACATGTTAAAAAAATGTAGTTTCATCTTAAACCTAGAACCTAATAGATATATGCTTCTTCCTTGTGAATTTTTGTCCTCACAATTTTAGTGGATCTTGCTTTTTCTCATGTGTTCTATAAACATGTTGCAGACAGCACAAGGAGAAATGTGGGGTGGGTGGGGGATTGGAAGACTAGATCTAGATCCCAGTCTATTCCCTTTGTAGTCTGGATGGCACAGAGAATGAAAATTGAATGCCAATATTGGAGATGAAGATAATACAGGTATATGTATATTTGCTCTCATGTTAAGTAGATTAAAGGGATGCAGTGGCTCAGCGGCTAAGATGCTGAGCTTGTCGATCAAAAGGCCGGCAGCTCAGCGGTTCAAATCTCTAGTGCTGTGTAATGGGGTGAGCTCCCGTTACTTGTCCCAGCTTCTGCCAACCTAGCAGTTCGAAAGCACGTAAAAAGTGCAAGTAGAAAAATAGGGACCACCTTTGGTGGGAAGGTAATAGCGCTCTGTGCACCTTTGGTGTTTAGTCATGCCGGCCACATGACCACGGAGACGTCTTCAGACAGCGCTGGCTTTTCGGCTTTGAAACGGAGATGAGCACCACCCCCTAGAGTCGGGAACGACTAGTACATATGTGCGAGGGGAACCTTTACCTTTACCTTTAAGTAGATTAAGTTGATAAGGCAACATGTTCACGAGTTCTAGATTATGATTATAGTACCTGTAGATCTCAGTTATGAACACTTGTCTTCAACAGAGGATGGTTGTCAAAATACATGGGAACAGTTTAAAGATTCTGGAAATTGTTACCAGTTAAACACACAGGCTGCCCTTTCTTGGAAAGCAGCATACCTCTCATGTAAGAAACAAGGGAGTGATTTGGTCAGCATCACAAGTGCATCCGAGTTAAATTATATCCGAGGTAAGTACAACTTTATACTGCATTCTAGAGGAAAGCTGTCAGTGAAAGCTAATGAGAAGTAAGTGGATTGATTTCAAGATAGATGCTGCTGACTCAGTTAAGACAAGCTCATGCAGAGACAATTGCCACTTAAAAGCAGATAATAGTGCCAGAAAGGTGGATCCTAATTTGGAACATAAAAAGAGAGAGAGGAATAAGCTAAGAGATCTAAGTCTATATCCAGAGGACCGTGCAAGTCAGCTTCTATTGTAAAAGGCAGTTGGTTGATTTGCAAAAGTTGAATGGCTGCTATCCACGAGAGTCTTTAAATTGAATGCTTTCATTCAAACACCCCACTAATGCCAGCATGTGGTTCAAAATAAACAGTTTTTTTGAGCAGGTTTGAGATTTTCCCATTATATGTGCTTCGCGCAGAGGGAGTTTGCCCATTAAATAACTCATCTTGGCAATAAGAGAGCTTCTACTTTAAAGTTTAATTATAGCATAAAAGTTGGTAACTCCAAGGACGTTTTATCACAGTCCTTGAGAAGAGAGAACCTGAATAAATAATCTCTACCTCACATATCAAGTCAGTTTTCTGAAGAAGCCTTAGAGATAAATTTGATTAACTATTTCAGTACTCTGTCAGATACTGAACAAGTGGGTATTGTAAAAAGGCTTTGGTGATCTGAGGGAATTAGCAACAACACTGCAAAGCTGTTAAACCTCCAAAAGAACTGGTCACCCCAAGTGCCCATGAAAATAATACCAATTTTGAGAAACTGTCTGCTGCTTCATGCCCTATTTCAACATGGGATATGGATGTGGAAGAGAACAACTAAGAGTCCCTTGTGGGTGTTTCTACCTTACTCCCTCTTCTCCTTGATAAAACATCATACCATACAGAAAATGTAAGTGACAGAAATAAAATAGAGGCTGACAGACAAGAGGAAGTAAGATGCCATCCTAATCTTGGTGAGCTACTAACCAAGGATGGCCTTGGACTGAGTTATAGGGATTTCTTCCTTAACAACTGATCACTTAGCAGCCATTTGAAGTTACAACAGACCTTCCCCCCCCAAAAAAGTTACTTGTGATCCATTTCAAAGTTGTGCCTGCTGCAGCGCCCCCCCACAATCCTTCGCCCTTACTTATTCAGGACAAAAATGGTGCCAATGCTGACGTACGGGTCTTACAAAAGCTACTTCATTTGAACAAGTTCAGACACATTTTTAAAGAAGTATACTGGGAACTGATACGGTGTCAGCTCCTGCAGTCAGAACAGAAATGGGTGTCTACTCCGTATGTAGCCTATTAATAATTAAAATTATCACATATTGACTAAGGATCCATTCAGTGGACCCTGATAGGTTATCCAAAATACGTTTGGCAGAACAGATGTATGGTTCAGCCCAATTCCTGCGCAAGCCGATTTACCAAAATTATTTCACAGCTGGGTTTTCTACCCAATATTTACTCTCAACTGTCTCCTAGGTAAGGGACATTTTTTAACAGGGAGTCCTAGATATCAGCGCTCAAACTAATACGGAGTTCTTGGCAGTAAATAGATGTTTAAATTGATTAGCTAAAAACAAAACTATTTTTCAGTTTGAAAAATATTTGTCAAGGAAGTTTGGTCCAATTCTCAAGAAGCCTGTTCTAGAGTAAAATTTGAGTTGCTGTACTCCATGGCCAAGTATGGGTGCTTCCATCACTTGCCATATCATGAGAGGACATGTATATATATTGCCCCAACTATCAAAGATATTGATCATGTTGTGTTTGATTGTCAACTCTATGCCCCTCTTAGGCTTAGATTTTAATATCCCCACTTGAAAGAAAAACCCATTGGGATCTGAATCACTGGTTTTCCTACTTCCCTCCTGGGCTCTAATGTATATATTGTGAGCAGAATGTTTTATAGACTATCTCAAGACAATTAGAACCTGTTACATTGAACAGATGGAGTATCATGTAAAGATGATGCATTTATCTGAATGCTGTTTCTTTCTACTTACCACATATGTATTTCATTACTATATTTTCCCTTTATCTATTTTACCCTGGAATTGTATCCTGTATTTTTTATATATATATTTTTGATATGGTCAATATATTATTTATCTACAACTTCGTACTGAATTCTAGAGGGAAAGCAAATGAAAAATAAATTTGATTGGATTGATTTCAAGATGGAATCAGGCTACCAGATTTCATGGCTTGCAGGACAGACTATTTTTCTTAGTTTCCAAATTTGATATGTTGAGTGATGATTTTAAAAATGTTTGGCTGAATTCATAATATTAACAATCAGACTACTCATTGGGAGCCAGGCAATATGCAATCAAAATAATACTAATACAGGTAGGCTTGCTTTATGGATTGCCTAATTCAGCAACTGTTCAGAATTACAACAATACTGAAAAAACTTTATGACCACTGTCTGCATTTATGACTTTGCAGTGTCCCTAAGCCACTAATCACTATTAGTCATTATGCATTGTCCTGTGCCTGACCTGTTCTTTCCCCACCCCCACCCCCTTGTAGAGCAGACAGATGGAAGAGATTGCAAGAGAGTAAGCAGACACACAAAAGGAAATACACATTAAAAGCAGCGTGTTGAATCATTTCCTGCTCTACCCCACATATTTCATTATCTAGAAAGGAGATTTAGGCAAACCACAATTTGAGAAGAATATCAGCAGTGCAAAGGTTGAGTAGATAATACAACTACAAAATGCAGAGTTGGAAGAGGCCATTTAAGGTTTGAGTCCAGCTGTGGTCAGTCCATGAATCCTAATTAAAGCATTCTAGACAAATGGCTGTCCAACCCCTGCTTGAACCTATTTGCTGAAGCAAAGCCCATCATATCTCTGCCAAACTGCTTCCACAATTAGAAAGATTTTTTTTCATAACATTCCTTAAAATGTGTCTTCCTGTAACTTAAATCCATTATACTATGTTCTGCCCTCTGGAATGGTAAACAAGATGATCATAACCTTGTACTGTATAATAGCCTTGGAGGTATTTGAAAAATATTATTCTATCTCCCTTCCCCCCTGGTCTCTGCAAGATTAAACTTTCCCAGTCCCTCTTCACAAGTTATAGCTTCTAGTTCCTTGATTGTTCCTTTTTCTTTCTCTGAAAAAATAATACATTCTAAGAAGAAAATGTCATTTAAAATAAGCCTTCAAGATGTAGCATCTGAACCATTACAGTTCTATTATTGCCACTGGGTGTTAATCCCCACTCAGACCACACTGGAGAAGTACATGGTACTGATTATATTTAAATAAAATTAACATTGGTTGCATACCAGATAACATTAAACCAGGATTATGTTAGCATTAGTTTGTTAAGCAAGTTATTTGCAAATTTAGACAATCCATTCTAAGCAAAACATAAATGAGCTGCATTTGATCATAGCTTTACATTCAAAACAGTTTGGCTATGTCAAAAAAAAAGAGAGCATTTTTTATTATTCTTTTTTTTTCATAGAAACATACATTCATGTATTTGTGCAAACACATTCCATATACCATACACAAGACAATGAAAATATAGGTTGTCTTGGAGTATAATATTGCAGTTGAGTGCCAGAATACTGCAGATGAGCTCAGAAACAAAAGATAAAGATTTGTTTTGTTTTGCTTTTGTTTAGTTTTACTGTAGTATGTAAATCCCAACTATGAATTGATTGGCTTGAAAATGTTCTGTTCTATTGTTGTCATCTTTGTTTAAAACTCTCTAGCTAAAGATGGTATTGCAGAAATATTTTGGATTGGATTAAATCAGTTGGATGTTTCTGGAGGCTGGCAGTGGTCAGATCATACTCCATTGAACTTCGTGAACTGGAATTCAGGTAATTGCATTTTTCCTTTGTGCTGTCTTCTTATTAATTCATACGATGAACTTCAAAGCAGGGAAGGGAACTGTAACAAGACGTGACAGAAAAAGATGGAGCTGATACAGAAGAAGAAATAAGTGATGGCAAAACCCCTCACTCATATCTTTAGTTCACACTGTCCTTGGGTGGAAAACTTGGATATCTTGGCATAGACATTGGACATCTGTCTATCTAGATGTTTATCTTTCATATCTGTCCATCTAGTGATTTTTACCCCTTCCCATCACCATGTTTATATACAGTCTTCAGCCATTTAACATTCTGTACTCCAGTAACCTCATTGTTTGATTCCTCCCACATGGAATAAGAGCCATGGTGGCACACTGGTTAGAATGCAGAATTGCAGGCTAACTCACTGCTCACTGCCAGCAGTTCAATTCCCACCAGCTCAAGGTTAACTCAGCCTTCCATCCTTCTAAGGTCGGTAAAATGAGGACCCACGTGGTTGGGGGCAATATGTTACTCTGTAACTGCCTAGAGAGGGCTGTAAAAGCACTATGAAATGGTTTATAAGTCCAAGTGCTATTGCTATTGCTATTATGTAACTCACAGGAAACAAATAAGCAATTTGTTTAATAAGTTATTTGTGGATGTAACCAGTAGCTATATTTGCTAGGGGTAGGGTTGCTCTTAATTCATTTTTGTTTTGCTTTGTTTGCATTGGCAAATCAAACCATGATTTGGAATATTGAAACCAGTTCAGGCAGGCAATGGATATAGGCACTGGAGGAGAACCTACCTCCCATATAGTATGTCATATCAGCTCTACACACAGCCAGCTCAGTTCCTCTCTGCAGGGAATCGCCCACCACCATGACATACTTCTTCTTTCTCAAAATAGTCCTTAGTTTTTTTCAATCCAGGAGTCCAGGTTTCCCCCTTGGTGTTCTGTGGCTTGGTTGCTCAGGTGTTATGAATTATCCCTTAAAGAAAGAACGATTCTTCTGGCACGGAGTAACTTCCAGTCTTGTTTGTTGAGATGGCAGGCTTCCATGTATCTACTTCTACCAACAGAATGTCTGCTCTCTGGTGTTCATTTGCCCACTCTTCCTGGAGAGCTTTAGTTGTCTTGTCCAGGAAATCTTGTTTCGTTCTTCTCAAGGCCTTTTATTTTTTTAAATTTTGTTAATAATGCACAGTCTAGAACAGGGGTGTCAAAATGGATTTCTTCCAGGGCCGGATCAGCATTGTAGTTCTCCGCTGGGGTGGGGGTGGATGCCTCCTGCAGCACCCTGCACACGGCCCTCTGTGGCCCGTTTTTGACCTGGACAGCCTCCTGCAGCACCCTGCCAGCCAAAACGGCGTGGGGGACTACAGCACTTTGTTAGGCAAGATGGCATGCCCTGTTTTGGAATGCTGCAGGACACCTCCAGGCCGAAAACGAAATGTAGGGGGTCCTTTGTTATTTCCAAGCCAGCACTGCAAGCCAGATTTAAGCACCCTGCAGGCCGCATCCAGCCCCCGGCCCTTGAGTTTTACACCCCTGGTCTAGAACAACGGTCTCTAACCTCTCCGGCTTTGTGGACCAGTGGGGGGAAGAGGAGATGCTTCCACGCGAGCGGTTGGAGGGCACACACACAACTCCATTTGCACAAGCAGCTGTCGCATGCCCCCTCCTCTTGTACAAATTGAGCTGCATGCACAAGTGGAGCTGCATGTGCATGCTCGCCTGTCATTTCTGTGGCCCAGTTCTGAACAGGCCCCTGGTTTAGAATGCAGTGTAAAATCAATAATGGAACTGACTGCTGAAATTTTTTAATAAAAAGAATATCAATTCTATTATTTTAATCTCATCCTTTGCATTCCAATACCTATTATAATCCATGATATGATGTATCGTGAGCCTAATAATGAATCATTACTCTTCTGCAGAGATGCAGGATATAACTCCACTAGAGGGAAATGATTGTGCAGCTATGAATGCTGACACAGGTGATTGGAAGAGTTATCCCTGTGACACTCCACTTCCTTATGTCTGCAAGAAACAAGTTAATGACAGTCAACCAGATTTCCCAGGTGAGTCCAAAATGCATTGTGAATTTAATTGTGGTCTGATTTTTGCAGCTAAAATGCCAAATCTTTACATAATGGCAAATATAGCAACTTCAGAAATCATTCCAGACTTTCCAAATACTTACAGCTATGTTCACACAACATACTTAAAGTGATTACTAAATTAAACCTTTACCAGGACTTACACTATACTCTGAAGCATAAGAGCTAGTTCAGAATGTTTGTAAACTTTATATATATATTTCTTCAGATTAAAACTACAAGTTCAGCATAGGTTCAGCCATTAATTTTTATTTAAATACTTAAGGCCGCCCAAAGTTACCTTGAGGTAAGATGGGTAGCTTATAAATTTTATAAATAAATAAATATGCTGTATGAACACAAGTGTATATGCTTATAGAGAGTAATGTGTACTAGAATTTGGACTGAATTATTTTTCAGGTAGAAAAATAAAGTTTTGCAGAAAAATAATAATTTTCTTTAATTACACATAGAAGGTTTCAGAGAATTTTTATAATTTCCATTCAAAAGGATCTCAGAAAAATTTATTTTAAGGGTTCAATAAAACTTGTTCCCTCTGTAAATATGGTGCTTGCAGTTTCTTTTCTGACTTGAATGTGAGTAGGGGCAGTTGCAGAAGTAACCAAGAATATAAAACCTATTCTGGCATTAATAGAATTTATTCTGCATCATTTAAAAAAAAAAATATTGAAAGCATATGCTCTAAGAGGGACAATTCATGCAGGCTAATTTTGTCTTCTACCAGCTGAGCCTTTTGGTCCATCTGATTCAGTATTGTGTACTGTGACAACTCCGATTATTTTTTATTTTTTTTAACCAGAGATGCCAAAATTTGAACTTTAAATCTATTGTATTCAAAGTTTGTTCCCTTTGAGCTATGATCCTTTCTCTATGGTATCAGTTCTGTATCATTGCTTTTAGAAATTATCGTGGTTTCTAGCAAATTCTTTTCAATATTTTTTTTTTTTAGATATTCAGAACAATGTTGAGACTCAGTGTGAATCTGGCTGGTATGCGAACAATGGATTTTGCTATATGCTAAAGAACAACATGGCTTCGTGGAATGATTCATATCAGTTATGCAATGAACTCAATAGTAGCCTGATCAGTTTACATTCCTTAGCAGATGTTGAATTAGTTATTACAAAACTCCATAATGGTAAGTTGGAATAAACATGGATAGGAGTTGCTCCTGTTTTTCTGTTTAAACATTACTCTCAATTTGAGGTTGGAATATACATTAAAAAAATTGATTAAAGATTAATCTAAATTTCTGTATTACTAAATCTATAACCACAAGTTCATTAACTTATAGATAGTTGTTGCTTAATGACCACAATTGGAACCAGCAGCTTAGTCACTAAGCAACATGGTTGTTAAGCGAGACATTCCATGACTATGATAGACTTAGAGTCTCACTTCTACCACAGTCATTAAGCAAATCAACCACAGTCATTAAGCAAATCAACCACAGTCATTAAGCAAGACTTCACATGACTTTGACTTGCAGTTTTTTGGCTAGCTTCTCCATTTACTCTGCTTGTCAGAAGTCAGATGTGAATCAAATGGCTATTATGTGATTGCAGTGATACTACAACAGTTGCAAGTTTGAAGAACCAAAATTTTCAGTGCAATCATAACTTTGAACAATTGTTAAATAGGCAGTTGTTAAATGAGGATTATCTGTATTTATTTGCCATTCAGTGTGGCAAAGACAGGACCAAAAAAACAATATATGCCATTATTCTGGGTAAAAGTCTGTCTGCTAGCCAAATCTTTTTAATTCCATTATTATTATGACACGAATGAAAAGTGGCTATAGAAAAAGTTCTAATTTTTGTTAGATGGTTTCTATTTTATCAGAGAGAGGCTGATTCAAGGGGAGGAGTCAAGCGGGGAATTAGTTTGGAATCCTTAAGTAGGCATAAGAGGGCAAGGTCTGCCCCCTTCTTGAATGCATTAAATCTTATCTAATCTGGTCCAGGTGCAGACTGTCAGTCTGGGAAGATTCCTACGAAATAGGCATGAACAACAAAGCAGCTAATTGAACTCCATACATCTGGTTGTCCGTGCCTAATACTTTTGCCTCATGATTTTTGAACTGCTTGAGTTTCTGCTTTAATTGTAGATACAAAAGACAAAATATGGATAGGATTAATAAATAAAGACATTCCAGCCTTGTTTAAGTGGTCAGATGATTCCAAAGTAGTATTTACATACTGGGATCAGAATGAGCCAAAGGTTTCCTTCAAAGGCCTTCCAAACTGTGTCTCCTATTCTGGAAAGGTAAGGATCTTTTGGGATGTTTTATAATTACTTGACTCTAAAGTGTTTTGTAAACTTCATAAAAGGCAAAAAGTATATGACTCGTTTCATCAAAGAGAGCTAGTATTTCTTTTGCACTGAAAAATTAAATAATTAAATTAAATTAAATTAAATTAATTAAACAGGGAGGTGGCAGAGGTCTGAAGGATGATGTGATGGTGACCATGAGGTCATTCACAAACATCCTTTGGTTATTTGTAATCGAGTGCGGCGATGCAACTCTCCACTTGCTGGAATTTCACCGAAATGATTTACTTCTTTGAAAGAAATTTCAAATGCAAATGATCTTTTATGAGATTGAATGAAAAGTGTTTAAAAGTTGCAGGGTATTTTTTTTTCAGTTTAGCAATCCTAGCCATGTTTACTTAGAATTAAACCCTTCTCGTTTCAATGTAACTTAACATTCATTATTACAAATTTAAATTTGGTGCTGTTTCCCAGTCTAGAAAAAGAGGTGAGTTTTTCTATAACTCTTGTTCACAGGAGTAAGCAGAAGAAATAATTAATAATTAAGTTGAATTATATATTAACCTCGTTTATGCTATCTTATTCTAATTCGAAGTTCTATGAGAAATATACATTTCAAGAATTGTTGTAGGAAAATAGTTTTTTTCTATGCATTTTTATAACTTATAAAAAATAGGTGCAAAAGTACATGAACAATTGAAAAACAATTCATTTGGATGATTATGTCTTTGGGAGTTCTAAAATTATTGGTTTCTTTTTCTTTGTAGTTTGGCCGATGGAATATCCTACCTTGTAACAATAAACTTAAGTCTGTGTGTATGAAAAAAGGAAAAGTTTTAGAGGAACAAAAATACGATAAAGGTTGTTCCCCAAGTCAGGTAAAGACAGAACAAAAATTTCTGTTCTAAATGTTCTAAAGATAAACTTTAATGAAATATATTTGATATATTCAACATTCTTGCTGCTTCAAGTTCAATAATAAATTATAATTCAGAGTAAATTTTGTAGATTTGTTCCATAACTCTCATTTCTGTGTTGTGACTATTTCTTTAGTTTTGCATCCATTTTATCATGCAGTTCTTTTATTTGTTCAGTCTCTAGGTAACTGTTTTTATATATAAGCCAAAGTAATTGATATTGGTTCTGTCATTTTTCTTAGAAGTCCTCCTCATTTTTGTTGTCAATTTTTACCCTTCTAGCATTTTATAAGTAAATCAACTGGCAGCCTGAAAGCTTCTGGTGCTTGATATGTTCCAGCTTTGCCAAGTAGTTATTGGTATCTATAGTCTATTCATGGAATCTAAATGGACCATATAGTAAATGCACTTTTCTTATTATAGTTAGCTCCAAAATGGAAAGTATTCAAAGGAGAGGCCAACACTGAGATTGTTGGACTTGCTATTTTTCTCATAATATTTTATTTATTAGATTTGTTATCCATCTCACTTTGAGGTGACTCTATATTTTTATCAAGCTTTGTCTTACATTATGTCCTTTTAAATTTTCATATCCTTGTACCATAACTTTTTATGAAGCCTGCTACTTAGACAGGCTCCTACTAATGTTAATGTTCATTGTTTGCAGATTTTATCCATTTTGTTAGCCGTGACAAATATTTTGCAATGTAATACAATTTAAAGTTTGGAAGTGAGACCACTTCTATTTTTGAATCTTGTAAACAAATTAAACTCCATAAAACTCCGCTCCATAAAAATTTACTTACATTTTTTGCCATTCTTGTACAACCAAGAAAGCTTTATGTTTTTCCACCTTTCAAGATTTCTTTTAATTTCTGTCCATAATTTGACATACATATTTTGATATATTTCTTAATTATTTCCTGTCAAATAGCAATAACAATACTACTTAGACTTATATACCACTTCAGAGTGCTTTACAGCAGGGATCCCCAACCTCTGGTTCGTGGCCTCTTACTGGGCTGTGGGCTAATCGTCACTGAGCCGCGTGAGCAGCCTGCGCATACCAGCAGCCCCTCATGCAGCCCAGTGGCGATTAACTTGCGGCCCGGTTGTGGGCTGCGGACCACAGGTTGGGGACCTGTGCTCTAAAGCGATTTACAGAGTCAGCATATTGCCCCCAACAATCTGTGTCCTTATTTTGCTGACCTCAGAAGGATGGAAGGTTGAGTCAGTCTTGAGTAGCTGAGAATCAAACTGCCAAACTGCTGGCAGCTGGCAGTCAGCAGAAGTAGCCTGCAGTATTGCATTCTAATCACTGTGCCACCATGGCTCTTATACATACAACTCAGATATTTCACAGAAACTATTTGGCAGGCAAATTCCTCCCATAGGAAATTATTTTTCTCTTGGCATTAAATCTCATGTATTTTTTAAACTTGATTTTATATGCAGAGAATTCCCCAAAGCCTTGGGATATTTTCAACAACTATTTTATTGTATTTTTTTTTACTCTCATTAGCTTTTATAGGTGTACATGTTTTGACTGGTATATCACTAGTTTAGAAACACACATGAGGATTCAAGAAATGGGTATTACATACAGGTATGGCCGTACCACCATTGGAAGATTTAAAGGATCAAATTAGGGACAGATCATCAGGGAGGAAATCTATCTCTCTGGTCACTTAGAATTGATACCAACTTTACCATTCACAACCAATCAATGTTGATAGCCTCTCCCCCCAAAAAATCTATAAAGCTAGGATAACCATCCTCTAACAATTTTTCCAATTATCTTTCTATATTTGAACAAGCATTGTATCCCTGGAAATTCCAGTTGAAAGTCTGTCTTGAAATTTGGGTTGTATAGTAAAGTGTTTTAATGTGTTTTAATTTTACATTTACTTTCTGTTTTAAGTAAACTGTTAAGTAAAACTTACATTTTAATAATATGATTGTAGGACAGGATCTTAAAATGAGATAAATAGCAAGCTGTTTGTGAAAAATAAGAGGGCAGAAGCAGATGGACTGCTTACACTGGCTCGCGATTTCTGTCTTGCGATTAATGTGATCACTTTATGTCACATGTTGCCTTTACCTTTGAATAAATGATTATCATCCTTTAAATTAGGAATGGAAGAAACATGGAGATTATTGCTATAGGATTGACAAGAATGAAGTCGTCTTTGGAAGTGTGTGCAATCTTACTATAGCAAACAGGTATTGTACAGTGTTACTCTTTGAATGTAAAATTTCTTAAATTTTAAAATATTGTGCTATCTTGTAGAAATGTTCTTTTTAATCCTAGCTAAATACATTTTGTACATCTAATGATAATTATTCTTTGTATTGAATCTCGGACTTTACAGATTTGAACAAGAATTTATAAATAATTTAATCAGAATGCATAATAAAGTTGAAGAAAAGTACTTCTGGACTGGCTTGCAAGGTATCAGCTCATCAGGAGAGTACAGATGGGGAAGTGTGGATGGAAATAATGAACTACTAACATACACAAATTGGGGTTTCTTTCAACCAGGTAAAATATTGAACAGTGAAGTGCTAATACTTGTTTCATAATACAGCCTTGGTTTGGCGACCATTTTCTTAAAATATCACATAAATGATTGAAACATCAACTTTTTAGAATTCCGTGGAGGATGTGTGGCAATGTCAAGTGGAAGATATATTGGAAAGTGGGAAGTCAAGGATTGCCAAACATTTAAAGCTTACTCTATTTGCAAGAAGTACATTGGACCAAAGAGAGAAACAGAGATAATGCCGAAAATCACTGACCCTTGCCCAGAAGGGTGGTCTAATGGTTCAGGTCTTGCTTGTTATAAGGTACTATATCAAGTCTATTAAATTATTATATCCTTTCTGTTGAATTACATTCTCTCGGCTCTTAAGAAAACATATTCTTGTACTCTCCTCGACTATCATAGGTTCCATTATATATTAACCAAAATTATATATATTTCCCGCCTTCTTTTCTCCCGTCCCTCCCTCTCTCCCCCTTCCCCCTCTCTCTCTTTCTCCTCTCTTTCAGATGGAATAATTTTCACTGTTTGGGCCAAAATGCTGGATATGGGATCAATTTTGTGATTCCCCTAAACTATCTAAGGTTTAATATTAACTCGCTGAGGAATGTTTTCTTAAAAAAAACACACACACACACAATTGACTATTATTTGTTACATACTTTCCCAAAGCAAGATATTAAAAAGTATTTTTAAATGTTTAAAGTCACGAAAATAATTTTTTTTAAAATAATGTTTCCCCAAATGCAAGTTTTGGATACATATTTTGTTTTTTAGAAATATTCTGTAAGCAATTCAATTTTGTGTTTATGGATCTTTGAGCGAAGGAAAGTAGGTGCTGGTGGGCTTCATTCATTGCTACCCTTTCTACTGCAACAAAATCTATTACGTCAAATGTTGTGAATTTGCCCTAATACAGATCCATGTATTAGGCAATTTGGCAACATTAATCTTGAATTATTTTGAGATGCTGTGAGCGGTTCGGTTGGCATAACTTTAAAGAAATCTATGGAGTTCTCATTTTTCCTGAAGCTGCCTCTCCCATCCCTTATGTTGGATTCTTCAGAGATCAGAGAGGCTGCATGGGGAAAAAAATAAATGAAAAACCATTTCCTTCAGTTAGAACTTCAAATGAATGGAATAGCAGTCTTGGGTCTTGATAACCAACCAAAGAAATGAAATGATGAAGTTTTGATAAATTTGAAATGAAGCAAAATAGAACTGTAATAACGAGATTGGAAAGTTCATTAATCTGTAAAAGTAATAGGCACATATGTCTAGAAAAAAATGAAATTATACTATTGAGATAAAATGGATTTTTTTTCTATTTCTTACAAAGTTTTTTCATAAGGAAAGAATGCTGAGAACCAGAACTTGGGAAGAAGCTGAGAGATTTTGTGAAGCTCTTGGAGGACATCTTCCTAGTTTTAGCAACTCAGAAGAAATTAAGGAACTCCATACAATACTGAGGAAGATCATCAGGTGACGTTCTCAAGATCTAGCATTTTAGTGAATTCAACTGATGTCTAAATATATCTTCATGTATTTTACCACAGCAGATGTGATAGATAAAGTACCATTATAGCTTTTACAATACTTGAAGCAATCTTAACCAGTCTCTTAGGGGCATTTGAGACTGAGGTAAGAGAGGCAAATGGTTTCTGTGCAATCCCTCTCAGTGGGAAGGAAAAGATCCTCTGCTTGATTTCCTTCTAAAAAATTAATGTACTACAGTGTGGTTTCACATCACTTCTGTTATAAACTAGAGAAAACTGTTTCAAGGATCAATTAAAGGAACTCTCAAGAGTTGAATCTTTCCAGCATTTATATATAATTTGTTTTATATGCTGATTACCATTATGATATGTGTGTCACCATCACCATCATGAAATCTTTCATGTAGTCAAAGACCAGCATAAAGAGACTGTGTATATTTGAGATTATGTCTAGAAGAAATAAAGAATGTTAGAAACAATGATGATCAGGCAGAAACTGATATACTTTGGGGCATAGAGGGAAGACAGCAAACAATGTTGATGGCTAAAACTAAAGATATTTCTGGAATGTCCCTGAAAGAGTTGCAGGTTGTTCAACAAGGCCAGACAAATTAAAGGATATTTGTCTCTATTGAGCCCAAGTCAAGGGCAGCTGATTAACCAATCTGCAAAATAAAAGATTCGTGACTGCCAAAGGACCTGCTGAGTTACTGTATTTTTTATTTACTGTATATACTTCGGGTAAGCCAAAAATTGTAGATGTCAAAATACAAATGCCAAAATCAAGCTTGGCTTTTCTGTACATGGGCTTATCCATGAGTATATATAATAATACCTTTTTTAAAGTACTCCTAATTTCCATATATTCTCCTGAATAAGTCCATCTGTGAATAAATAGACCCACAAAATGTTTTAAAAATATGAAAAAAAAAATGCAGGTTGTCTATCAGCAGATAGCACATTTTTCATGGTATTCTGTTTAAAAATTCCAGGGTTTTATTACAGATGGATTATTTGCAAGTATATATTGTACAGTATTTATTTATTTATTTACTGGCATTTATATCTCCCTAAGTGCTTTGCCTTCCACTACATAATACCACTCGGCTTCAGTTTTTTTCTTAGTGACTTCAGTGTCCAGATTCCAGACTATAGAAGCCAAGCCCATTTCTTCTTTCTTTGTTTTCTAATTTATTTATTTTTTTAATTTGATTTATATGCCGCCCTTCTCCGAAGACTCAGGGCGGCTTACAATGTGCTCAGCAATAGCCTTCATCCTTTTGTATATTTATACAAAGTCAGCTTATTGCCCCCACAACTGGGTCCTCAATTTACCTTAGAAAGGATGGAAGGCTGAGTCAACCTTGAGCCTTGGCGAGATTCGAACCCTGCAGTAATTGCAGGCAGCTGGTCTTAATAACCAGCTTAATAACAGGGTGCCTTAAACCCCTGTACTACCAAGGCTCTTGTCAATTTATCATTACTTATGAGTTACAGGCTTTATAAGTGCAGATTCTCAGGGGAATATTTATAAAGAAAAGTATATGCAATGCAGAACAGCAGATTGGTAAAATGATCATCCACACACTTTCAGATTTGACCATCTCACAGAGCAGTTGTCTAAAATGATGAAAATGATCACCAAATACTCAAAAGTAATAAAACAATTAAGTTGAACATTCCGTTGCATTTTTACTTTTTTATTTATAGTGATGACAGATGGGTCTGGATTGGGCTAAATAAGAGGAATCCTGAACTTCTGGGTTCATGGCAATGGAGTGACGATAAGCCAGTAAGTTAAGCTGACCATACATAGAATACTAAATGATCCAATCCTAGCTGGAAGAATATCGGTGAAATTCTGAAGTTGAAAAGCTTTTAAAGAATATTTTGCACAGGAAAAGTAAAACAGGTTTTAAACAATAATTTTAAATAAAGTACAGTAGCTTAAATTGGTTATGAAAGTATTCAGAAAACCAAAGCCTATGCCATTAAACTGTTATTCTATATGAAAATTAGTGGAGGATTTGCTTTATTTAAACACAATTACACACATGGAAGTCCTCAATTAGGGACATTGCTGTGGTCATTTCCTACGGAGGGAGGGAGGAGAGAGAGAAAGAAAGAAAGAACGAAAAAGAAAGAGAGAAAGAAAGGAAAGAAAGAAAGAAAGAAAGAAAGAAAGAAGAAAAGAAAGGAAGAAAGGAAGAAAGAAAGAAAGCTAAATAGGATTCAGGCTTTCATAGAATGAATATAAAGTTCTGGATTATGATCAGTAACCAAGTCATAATGTGACCTTTAATAAATTAGCAAAGGTTTTGTCATGAAATTTCAGAAGATAATCTGGTTCAGTTTACTAAAAGCACATATCTATTAATAAATATTGAAAGTACTCTTTATTTTTTTCAAGATTCATATTCCTACAGTATTGGGATATTGCGGATATTGTTACTAAAGCATACTGATTAAAATTAATAACATACAGCTTTAAAACCATTCTTCCTCTAGGTCTCTACTGTTGTTATGCCCCTGGAATTTAGAGAAGATGACTATGATATTCGAGATTGTGCAGCTATCAAGGTGCATTGTGACGTTTTTTGATTACTAACTCCTAAAGAGAAGGAAACACTGGAAGAATCTGTGCTATTTTTTTTGTAAAATAACTCAGTTGACCTAATGCTTGCCAATAAGTCCTGCAATTTAGCCAGTTAGACTGCCCTAAGGGATTTTTAACCTGTGCTCTGTTAAATTTTCTTTTTACTGTGGAATTGCTTATCACATTTTTCAGGAGATCAGGTCTTAGTATACAGTCCTAAAAAAAAAAGTGTGTTGGTGGGGGGAGGTGAATACTGCACTGCTTTCACAACCTGTCTGTTTTGAAGAGGCTAGGAGAGAGAAGTAGGAGGCAAGCTTGCATTACTCTGGTGATTTTGGCTTTCTTGTTTTCTCACACATGGTCACCTTGATTTTGAATGGAGGAAATTAATATATCAGTTCCAGATGGAGCCAGAAACAGTCCTGGAATTTTTAAACAGAATGAATCCAAGGTTGCCTTTGTGGCTTTACTGTCTCATCCCCAGAACACCCTAATCTTATTTCTGGCACGAACATAGACATAACTAAAATCTCCTGAATGCTTGCAGCCTTCTGGAAATACCCTGGCATGTCCATCTTATTCATCTCCCTATCAATCTAATTGGTTAGAGTTACTGTCCTAACTTCAGAATAAAACAGCCTTTTTCAATGCTGTTACATTTGTAAATATTACATTGGAATGCAATAATGTGCATAATTTGTCTTGGAATGTATAGTAGCAGTGATCCTTTCAATAGGTTTTGATCAGTTGGAAAAAGAAAAACTATTTTAAAGTAGGTATGTGTCGTTTTTGACAAATATTTCAAATATATGAAATATATTTCAAAGATATGTTTATAAATATATCAAGCACAGCACGGCAATTCCATATTTCAGTTCTGAGTAAGCATTGTATTGGTGGTAGTTTAATTCTGTAAAAAGTAAGCCCCACTGGCTTTAATGGGACTATTCTCAGCTAAGGAAAAAAACATTTAGCCCTTATCTTACTTGATCCTTTTCTACTTCTGCATTTACCATTCATCTGTATCCTGCTTTTACCTATTGGAAATCCAAATATACGCCTGGAATATTTTCCTTTTGTTGAACACCAACTGAAAATAATATCTTTCAAAATCTGATTTTCCTCATCAAGCAACTACCCAGTATTAAATAAAAGTATACTTCTGTATTTGTTGTTGTGGTAGTAGTTAGAATGCAGTATTGCAGGATAACTGCCCACTACCAGTTCAAGGTTGGCTCAACCTTCCATCCTTCCAAGATCAGTAAAATAAGGACCCAGATTGTTGGGGGCAACATGCTGAGACTGTAAACTCCTATAAAGCACTGTAAAGTGGCATATGAGTTTAATAGGTATTTCTATTATTTTAGCCTCTAGCTAGAATCCCTTGTATATTTAAAAGAAAATTCCACTGAACACAGAGATTTATTTCTAATAATTAAATGAGCTAATAAGAAGAAAGGAAATCTTTTTAACAGAATTTAGTTATGGACACTTACTTACTTGAGAGTTACTACAAAAAGAAATAATGCATATTATCACTGCTTTTCTTTTGTAATTATACAGACCCTTGGACTAAAACGCCGGCCTTGGTGGCATTTTTACCTATATGAAGCTAGAGAAGAGGAGTTCTACTTAAAACCTTTCCATTGTGATGCAAAACTTGAATGGGTATGCCAGATCACTAAAGGTAAATTTGCTTTCAACCATATATTGTTTAATTGTGTTGTTGTTTTTTAGAAAGGAGATCTACTGTATTCAGCATGGCTCATTCCAGATAAAAGTATGCAGGATAAAAACATTAACATTTAGGATTGTCTTTTCCTTCATTTTATTCAATATGCTAGCATTATGGTTGGCCAATTTCTTATAACTCTAAAAAAACATGAGTTCTGAAAGTGTTATCAGTCGTTCCCTCCCCCCCCCCCCCCCCCCCCAAATATTGAGTTAGTTTCCATCTGACTAAGGGTTGAATCACCCTGGCATACATTATTTCCAGAATATGTGGGTTACATAGAAGTGTTTTCTTCAGTGGTGAAATCTGAACCGGTTTACAACCAGTTCGATGGCTGCGCATGCGTGCTGTGCACACCACGCACCAAATGCGAGGTGCGTGCACAGTGCACACCAAAAGGAGGCATGGGGTAAGTAGAACAGCACGCCAGGGGTGGTGATCAGCTGTGGAGTGTGATCTCTTTTTTTACTTTTAAAAGAAGCGGCATGTGGGCGATTGGGTGGGCATGGGGGGCAGGGATTTTTGCTGCTAGTTCTCCAAATCACCTGCTGCCATCGCTATCGGATCGGCCGATCCAGTCCAAACTGGGAGCATTTCACCCCTGGTTTTCTTTCTTTTTCTGTCCTACTGTTAACCAGTGTCCATATCCCGCAACTAGGATTTGGCAATGTATCCCAGACTTCATGATTTTCCATGAGTAACCTTATTTCCTAGGCAAGGCTTGGCATAAGTCAGTTTGGGAAACCCGATTTGGCTGAATAAGAATCTTCAGTGCCAACAACAACAAAACCAAACAAACATGGATAGAATAGAATAGAACAGAATTTTTTATTGGCCAAGTGTGATTGGACACACAAGGAATTTGTCTTGGTGCATATGTTTTCAGTGTACATAAAAGAAAAGATACGTTCATTAAGAATCATAAGGTACAACACTTAATGATAGTCATAAGGTACAAATAAGCAATCAGGAAACAATATCAATATAAATCGTAAGGATACAAGCAATAAAATTGCAGTCATACAGTCATAAGTGGAAGGAGATGGGTGGTGGGAATGATGAGAAGATTAATAGTAGTACAGACTTAGTAAATAGTTTGACAGCGTTGAGGGAATTATTTGTTTAGCGGAGTGATGGCATTCGGGGAAAAACTGTTCTTGTGTCTAGTTATTCTGGTGTGCAGTGCTCTATAGCATTGATTTGAGGGTAGGAGTTGAAACAGTTTATGTCCAGGATGTGAGGGGTCTGTAAATATTTTCACAGCCCTCTTAGAAAAGTACAGATGCCTCTCATTCTAGTAGTAGTTCAGATCCATGGCTTTTTCTTCCTACAAATTAACAGACTCTCACGGTATCTTTGAAGCAGGGCAATTATTGAATATATGCTTAATTGCCAGCTCTTGATCTGAGAACCACGGGCCCTCCGTATACTTTCCAAATGTAAAACTACTTTTTGACTTTCTATCCAATTTAACTAAAGGGTCAACAGTGCTGTTAAACGAAACAAAAGCATAGTAAAATATGGATTTCTGTCAAGCTCAGTATTCAAAGATTATGTTTTAGTTTCATGTGCACCCCAGGGTTTTTCAGTTGGAGTTCTGCAGAAACCTAACATTCTGCAAGAGGTCACTAAGGGTCCCCTGGGTGGATCGTGATTTGTTTTTTTAAAAAGAAGAGATTGAACAAAAACCCTCTAACCTCTGATTGGCCCTCTGGAGCCCACATGAACTCCTGGCTGGGGCAGGAATTACACACACATACACACACACACACACACACACACACACACACACACACACCCTGGAAGCTGGTAGGTAAGCAAAGCCCAGCTGAAGAGCCAGCAAGGAGGGAGGTGCAGCAGTTGGTGAATGAGCCTACAAGTGAGGCTTCCTTGTAGGGGGTCTACTTGCCAGCTCACCAGCCTGCCTTTCTCCAGGTGTAGCAGCCTGGGGAGTGGGGAGCTATCTCCAGGCGGATGCAAGAGATCTGGGTCAGGTCTGGTCCAGGTATTAGCAGCAGCCACCCACAAAGACAGGTTGAGGGGAAGGAAGCAGGGGAAAGGAAAAAAATTCATTCTTTATTTTTAGTTTATGAACACTGTTACAAACACATAGTATCTACACATGAAATGAATATAATAATTTTGCAAGTTCTGGCCTATATTTGAGGCTGAATGTGCAGGGGGTTCCCTGAGGATTGAAAAATATTTCAAGGGTTCCTCCAGGTTCAAAAGATTGGGGGTGGGGAATAGTACAGCCTAACTCAAGTGCTTAAATGCTGGGAGACAGTATTTTCAAATCATAAATTCTTTTTATATTTTGGAACAAGATTTTACCAGAGAAATATGGCAATTGATAGTGCAATAGGGTAATTTCTTTGCTTTCTCTCTGGCTCTTATTCGATATAAAATTAATTCCATTGTATGAAGTAATTGTTCTCTGAATAATTGTATCTATTTCATTCCATTTGCTGCTATTTGCAGTACTCTCTTGGAGTATGATAATAATCATGTCTTTATACAACTCTTTCCAAGAACTCTTTATGGATTTTTGATCAGTTAAATGTTGGAATTTTTTTTAACCACTTGAGTTGGAAAGTGTAATATTAATAGCAAAGAAAACTTAGAACATGGATTCATGCCTCAATTAGATTCAGTTTTTTAAAGTGACTCAAGAGACTATATGTATGGAAAGTGTTAAATTATTGTTGAATTCAAGTTTGAACATTCCTATTTTACTAGACAGTTATATATTTCCAATTGCCAATAAAAACCGTGACACGTAGCCTTTTTTCTAACCAAGGTTATATTAGTACATCCAATGATAGACTTTTCATTTATCTACAGGTAGTACTCCAAAGACACCTGAATGGTACAAACCAGGTAAGATTTTTTTCTTACTTTTCATACACTTCATTGCAGTCCATGGACCTTTCTTTCCACAGCCTCATGGCAGTTTTAAAACAAATGGAATTGTTAGCTTAATCCCAGTTCAAGTATTTCAGATAGCTGGAATGTGTGCGTTGCATAAATAATATATTTTGTAAAACTCTAAGCATACAGTAGCATTCCATAGTGTATGTGTGATTGAAACTTGAAATAAGATTTATATAACTGAAAGTGTTACCTTTATCCAGAAGGAACTTGGCCAAGCTTCAGGAATAACTAAGAAGGATCCTTCCAAATCTTATTCTGTGATATTTTGACACGTCATGATATCATTGCATAAATGGTGTACTCATGTCATGATGCCTGATGCAAGTACATCATATTATTTGTACTTGGATGGCATGAGACATATGTCACTTGCTCCTATTCCACACAAATGCCCATAATCACTAGAATGATGTGTTTGTTTGTTTATTTATTCATTCGATTTTGGGTTTATTATAAATAATTAAATCATAAGGAAATGAAATGCAGAAGTTACAGACAGTGATCATTACCTTCCCAACATGACCATTCATGAAATAGTTTTTAGGTGTAACCCAGTCTTTCTTGCACTAGAGAGTTGATCAAAATATGTAATTACTAAGAAAATCCGTCTATTTTAACTCTCAAAGAAAGTTAATAAACTTGTTAACTTAAGCAAAATGATTGTGCGACGAAGTGAGTTGTAAGGTCTTTGCTTGAAATCAGACTTGGAGGAATTGAAGTCAAAATCAGTCATTTGACTCTAAGTCAGGGGTCCTCAACCTATGGTCCGTGGCCCACTACCGGGCCGTAGGCTAAGAGGGGCCAGCTGGAGCACATGCCTCTGTGTGAGCCACGTTGCAGGCACACAACTCTGTTCTAAATCAAAAAAGCCCAGCATTTTTATTTTGATTCATATGGCCTCCCTGTTACATGATGATTCAGATTGCATGGAGTTGCTGGTTCATGTTAGATTGTCCTGAACGTAAGCTTCGTATGTGATTTTCTTTCTTTGTAGATGAAGAAGGAATTCATGGGCCAACAGTGAATATTGATGGGTCAGAATTCTGGTTTGTGCCAAATAAGCATCTCACCTATCAAGAAGCTTCCTTGTATTGTTCTGAGAATGAAAGTGACTTGGCTTATGTGACCACCTTCACTGCGCTGAATGGAATTCTAAACACAATTTTAAAAGTAATGCATTGATTTATATTTTGGGTGATTTCTGTTGAATGAAATGACTGCCAACATCCCTTTTCTTTGTGGATTTTGATATCATTACATCATTAGGAAATGAAATGCAGAAGTTGCAGGCAGTGAGGTACATTAAACCTATCAGAGACAAATTAGTCTCTGATTAGTTTTCCATAAAAATGAGCAGGAAATCATACTGCTATTTGTTGTTCAGTAATTTGTTGCTAAAATTCATCAGTGAGATCTGGGTGACCCTGGAGATCATGTGAAATCTTGGGTTGCTGATACTTTGTGTTATGGCACTCCATGTGCACCTCTACTGCTCTATCCATGAATAGATACAAAAAATAAACAGTTAATTTTGGGTTGATTTATTAAGATATTTTAATGGGGAATTTGGCTTAGTTCAATTGAAAGAAGTCAGAGAATGAAGCCAGTGACCATAATTGGAGCAAACTATGGCTACTTCTTTCTCTGGAGTTTTTTTTCTGGATACAGGTAGTCCTCGGCTTACAATAATTCTTTAAGTGACCATTCAAAGTTACAACAGCACTGAAAAAAGTGACTTAAGATTGTTTTTCACACTTACTACTGTTACTGCATCCACGTGGTCACATGATCAAAATTCAGATGCTTGGGAACTGCCTTATATTTATGATGGTTGCTGCAAACTTTTTGGGACCTTCTGACAAGCAAAGTCCATTGGGGATCCAGAATCACTCTAACAATCGTGAAACTAACTAAACAACTGAGGCAAGAAAGATTGTAAAATGGAGCAAAAATTCACTTAACAGCTGTCTCACTTAGCAACAGAATTTTTGTGCTCGATTGTGGTCATAAGTCGAGGACTACCTGTTGTGAATAGAATATAATAGAATTTTTTATTGGCCAAGTGTGATTGGACACACAAGGAATTTGTCTTGGTGCATACACTCTCAGTGTACATAAAAGAAAAGATACGTTCATCAAGAATCAGAATAAGAGAATGTCCTTCATTCACAGTAAGCCAACGGTTAACTGGGAGATCCAGATTCTAGTGCCACGTTAGCCACAGAGGGCTGACTTTGGGCTAATACGTTCTCTCAGCCCAATCTATCTCACAGATGGTTATTATGGATGGCAAAATAGGTTTTGCACTGCAAATGACTTAAATCGTGCAGGTAAGATTACAGAGCTTGGAAAATCATAGATGGCTTCTTAGTTGGATCAAATTATAGGTGAAGTCAGCATGAATCGCATTTACCATAAAGCCAGTCTTAATAATACACCTGGATTTAATTTTTCCCTTACTTATGATGTGCGTGCATTAAATCTTGCTGGGTTTTTTTATTGTCTTCCTTCTGATTTCTTATATATTGTAATACATTGTATTACGGCACTAGCAGTATTAAAAATGTTGATTGCAGATACCATGCTGCAATAAACTTAGCATTTCTTTATTATTATGGTTGTAGAAATGTTTTTATGTTGGACATTAGGGTTCCCTAAAAATAAAAAGGAGTTGAGAAAAACATCTAACAAATCAATAGTTATGCGGTTTTTCAAGCTCTTCTCAAAGATTGCTGCACTCTCCTGCAACTGAGAAACATTTTTCAGTATTGCATGGAAGAGATTAATATTGGATATTGCATTTCATGCTAACACAATCTGCTTTTGGCAGTTATCGGACGAGAATCAGAACTGGTGGTTCAAATACAAAATTCCAATAACTCACTACCGTTTGCGGTAAGTAGAAACATCCATTTGTGTTGTTCTAAAAATTATTTATGTGTTGAAAACTATTTACAAAATACAATGCTGAATCTCCCACTTATGATTGAAGGTCAGATACTGAAATGGTACCTTGGGAAGCCGGGGAATTTTAACACTACATTTTGTCCTATTTTTTACATATTTTTACAGTAGTTCAAGTGGAAATTTAATAATAGAATGGATTGGTTAAAGGTTTGCTACCTCTGTTCAATAAATAGTTGCATATGAGCTAGCAGGAGGCAATATTTTGCAAGATTTAGTACAAATGATTGTACTAGAACCCATGTTTTACACTTTTTTGAAAAATTGGGCATTTGAAGGCTTACCTTTGAATTTTTATTTTTAATTTTTTGGCTACATTAAGAAAAACTCTTCAATATATGTAGGAGTATATCTCTGCACCAGGTCCAATTTTTATTTTAAAATGCAAATGAAAAAGAAAAACATTAAAGCAAGTTTTAGTGTATACTTATATGGGGCAGTTCATCACATTAGTCTTAGTATCTAAAACTAAATGAGTATAATTATATTTGTAACTGTGCCCATTCTCCCAGGTTCTCTGGTACCTTAAAAATAAAAGGTAAAATATTGTTGCAGTTGAACTCAACCTCTGTGACCTCAAGAACAGTTTTCATGACAATTAGAAGGAAGCTATAGAAATTGTATAAATAAAATAAGTAATTGTCTTTTTCCAAGATCTAGGCTACAGTGCTGGCACTCCCTAAGTTTCCCATTCAAATACTAACCAAGTCCAATTATGTAGCCTTCCAAGCCCAAAAGTAATACCATGTTTTGCAAAAACAAACCTTCCAAAATAGATTGAACTAAGAGTGTCTTGTCTAGAGGAATGTTATTTCATGAAAATGGAATGTGAACTGTTTTTTTATCTGGATTAAAATTGGAGCTTCGGTTCAGCCACCTTTACTCCTCCCATCAGTCTCGGCCTGGATTGGGCCTTTTTGCTAGTAGCATCCACCTGGGTGGGTTTGAGAGGAAAGATGGTAGAAACATAGGTAATTCTCAACTTATGTTCACAATTGGGACCAGAAGTTTGGTTGCTAAGCAACATTGCTGAGCAAGCTATTATCTGACTGGACTCTATTTTATGATCATTTTTTACCCTGGTATTTATTGAATCGCCATGGTTGTTAAGCATATCATGTGGTTGTTAAGGGAATCATAGCTATTAAGCGAATTGTTTGACTGATTGTCAGAAGCCAGTTGGAAAGATTGCAAATAGTGACCATATGATGGCAAGTTGCCACAACTGTTGTAAATTAGAACTGGTTGCCAAGCACCCGAATTGTGATCATGTGTCCGTGGCGTGACAGTTGTAATTTCAAGGACAGGTCATAAGTCATTTTTTAAGGCTATCTTAACTTTGAACCATCATTAAAGAAACACTTGTAAAGTAAGACTACTTGTAGGATCATAATCCAACCCTTCCTGTTTTTCATATTTTGTACGTATGGACAAAAAGAGCAGTTCTCTGCATAGGAGATGGCAAGAAAAATGACCTATGCTGCTTCTTCCTCTTAATTTTAACATATTAGCTTATCATATTACCTTACCATAAATACTGCAATTATGTACTTGCATTTCATATTTTCATTATTTAAATATATTTGTTTTTATAAATATAATATCTATCAAATATTATATTTGATGTAAATTGTAACATTTGCATTAAAATGTGATTGGTCATGGCCCATCATTCTATCCCTGACTATACTGTTTGGATACCACTCTGTGGCTATATGTATCTTGTTTCCTTTTTTAAAAAAATAAATAATATTCTCTTCGTTTGTTTTTTCTTAAGCTTTTTTTCACGCTATTTTGAATACCACCCCAGAAAATGTTGGCATATCTCTTATCAATCCTGGTCAAGAGGTAATAACTTTGTTTGTTTTTTAATCAGCTATATTTTTAGAAATGTTCTCAGACTCTCTCCTAAATAAGAAGAGTATATTAGTTTTCCTTTAGGCTTCTTTTTGTGAGATTCTTGTTTCCTACTATATGATTTTTAATCTTAAATTCTGCCAACTCGAAGCAGCAGAGTCAGAAAATGTGCATGGTTGCTTTTCACCCTTATGGATCTTTTTGCTTCTATTCTTGTCTTGATTAAAATTGACAGGAGGTAAACAGTTTAAAGTTTGCGTTCTCAAACTAACTGTTCTGAGACTGTAAGTTTGTTTCCGACTATAACATGGGTGTCAAACTCACCGCATCATGTTGCTGTCACGTGACATATCGTGGCTTTTTTTCCCCTTCACAGAGCTGGAGTGGGCGTGGCCTGCACATGACGCATCTGGCTTGCGGGCCGCAAGTTTGACACCCCCAGTCTATAGGAATTCTGTCAGCTTCCATTGTTCATCTCCTCTCCATGACATCTTGTTTCCATCCTGTTGGATCTGCAGTTTTGCATTGTTCTGATACTTAATTCCTTCTCTTGACATAGTTCATTTTATTGCTGATCTTGCAATTTCAGAACTAAATAAAACAATTGAATTTACTAGTCTGACATTAATACCAACTCTTCAAACTTTCAGTCCAACTCTATTATCTAATGAACTTTTAACTAAAAATCCTCTGGCTGAACTTGGGACCATCTATAGCCGTGATGGCGAACCTATGGCAGGTGTGCCACAGGTGGCACGCGGAGCCATATTGGTGGGTACGTGAGCGTTGCCCTAGCTCAGCTCCAGCACGCATGTGCGTGCTGGCCAGCTGATTTTTGGGCCTTCTGGGCCCACCGGAAGTCGGCAAATGAGCTGTTTCCGGCCTCCAAAGGGCCTCCGGGGTGGGGGTGGGGAAGGTTGTTTTCGCCTTCCCCAGGCTCCTAGAAAGCCTCTGGAACATGGGGAGGGCAAAAAAACAGGCCTACCGGGCCATCACATGCCAAAAGCAAGGGGAGCATGGGGGGGTTGCATGTGCATATGGGGGGGCAGGGCGCATAGAATTATGGATGAGGGCACGAATGCACACGACCACCCCGCACTCCCCCAGCTTTTGGCACGCAAGGACAAAAAGGTTAGCCATCACTGATCTATAGGCTTTGCTTTTGAACCAAGAAGGCATTCTTATCATTCATTCAAACTAAATTCAGTGCTAAACTAATGTTGTTACCTAGTTTGGATAATGAAATATCAGCAAGAAACCAACCACCCTCAGAGAGCACCAACCCTGAGCTACAAATATTCTCCTTTATTGATTAATTAGTATAAGTCTGCTGAGGGTTCTATTTGGTTTAAAGTATAAAATTAAATTTGAAACAAAAGGTATTAAAAACAATCTTCAACTAAAACTATTGTATTGCTTACATTAAACTTAGTGAGAGGTCTGCATAACAGCATCAGCATAAAAATTCTTTATTTATTCTCTATTCTGCAGGCAGTTCATTAGATTGCAGTACAAAACTGCCTTTCATTTGTGAGAAATACAATGCATCATTATTGGAGACAACAGAACCAGGCTATAAACCACCTCAGAAAAGCTGCCCTGAAAATTGGATTTTTGCCCTAAATAAGGTAAAGCATAAATAATTTGGGATTCTGAATATTATATTTCAGTCGTCAGAAGCTGACTTGAAATGGTTATCAAACTAGTTTGATGAACATTTAAAGATCTGCAATAACTTGCAACTAACAAACTTGAAGGATCTAATCTGGGTCTGTCACTGTGACCAGAGGTTTAGTCTTCCAAGATTTCAGACGTGCTGGAGCCAGTCCTCAGGGACCTTCTTTCTACCAGAATATTGGTTTTCTCTCTACACATTCTGGTACAGAAAAGTTCCCTGAGAATGAGGCTCCAGCACAAGTCCTAAAGCTCGAAAGACTAAATTTCTGGTCCTGGTGACCGAACTAGATTGGATCCTGCAACATTATCCTGAAACATGTATATTTACCTTCATTTGTAACAAACCTGACATTGAGCTACTGTATGAACATAGTTTAATTCAAAAGATTTGTGAAATATCTACGTCAGAGGTTATATTTTTTTTAAAAAAAATCTTTTACAGTGTTATCGAAAGGTGACCCCTCAGAACATGACATTTAACAAAGCAGATGAATATTGTCAATCTTTAGGAGGATTCCTTCCTTCAATCAAAAGCCAGATTGAACAAGGTAAGAAAATACATGAGCCGTGATGGGGCAGTGGTTAGAATGCAGTAGTGTAGGCTAACTCTGCCCACAGCTAGGAGTTTGATTCTTATCGGCTCAAGGTTGACTCAGCCTTCCATCCTTCTGAGGTCGGTAAAATGAGGACCCAGATTTTGGGGCCAATATGCTAACTCTGTAAACCTCTCAGAGTGCTGTAAAGCGCTGTGTAAAACTAAGTGCTATTGCTATTCCATACATAGATCTTTATCACAGGATTCTTTCATATATACGTACATGTTGTAATTGGATTCTTTCAAATTGAATAATATGGACCTGCTCCTGAGAAAGGCTTTGTGTATGAGATAATAATGAAAGTTCTGCTTGTGGACATGCACTGTGAGGAAGACAAACGACAAAACCAACATCTGCCCTTTTTGCACATGTATTTTAACATCACACGTACAGACATAAGGGACAGAGCATTCTGGTTGTTCTGCTGAAACTCTTCTTCTTGCATATCTTCTTATGTACCCTTCCTCTTGGTGTAGTAGTAAAGACAACTTTCAAATAAAAATTAGGGATGGTGAGTATTACCATTAATTATGTAAAAATGCACTGTAATTTTACAATTATCATCTCTATTCTTTCCAAATCTTATGAAGTTTTCATTTTTAAACTTAAAACTGAGTATTATTATAAACTGGATGTGGATATAAACATTGTATTTCCTTACTGTTACTTATTTATGAATTAATCATGATTAATTCATATTATTATGATAATACTATGAATTATGAATTAATTATAATATTTGTACAGCAGACTCCAAGTGGTTTAGAATAAATAAAACAAGAGCAATATAAATTCCTATAAAACAGAAAGTCCTATTTCCTCATTTTCATAGCTAATAAGAACAGCAGTGATAAATAACACTCCCCTCCCAAACTGACTAGAAGGGCACTAATCTCTGAATGCCCAACCAAAAGAAGCAATCTTTTGCCACCCTTTGAGTTGAAGGGAATAAAAAACACAGCATGATAGTGGTATCCTTATGGGAGAGAATATAAATGACTGCTCTCTGAAGGGAGAAGCAATTGCAGATGTCACTGACAGTGCTTAAAGTAAGAGAATTCAGCCTGTGGATCTTGGCTGATCCTCTTCCATGGTTGTTGTTTTAATATTCCATCTGTGAGCCTTAGGATATAATCTATAAGAAGATTGATAAAAATCAGGAAATCAACAACAACAAAGGTTCATTGTGTTATATATGCTACAAGGCTATGGACGGAGGCCCAAAAAAATCAAGATGATGACCCCTACCATGCAATCAAAGGTCTGCCCCCTGTTTTTCCTTGTGATGCATATTAAAGGGGTTATGGCTTCAATTACACGGTTGTGATTTCCATCTTGAAAATTATCTTTTAATTGCTTTTAAAATAATGTCTTTTACATGTATGTATGTATGTATGTGTGTATATATATATATATATATTGCCACCAAAAAAGGCACCAGGTCCTATTTTCAGGGGGGTTGGATGTCGTCCACTGACTTGCCTCACTTGCACACGTCACTTCCCACCTCTTTTTCGCTATCAGAGGCCTTCAGGAACTTCTTCATCCAGTAAGACCAGCAAGGCTTTCCTGAAGGCCTCTGCAGCCCATAAGAGAGCTCCAGATCGATCCGAAGCTCTCTTACCGGCTACAGAGGCCTTCAGGAAAGCCTTGCTGGCAGTAGAAATGGGCCAAGGTGTGCAAGGCCTGGTTGCAACTATCCGAAGGCAATTAGTAAGGTAGCTCCACCCCCCTCATTCCCACCCTAGTTTAATTTTTACTTGTGCACTCTGGAGTGAGAGGGGTTTTAATTAGGGCTTATTTTGGGGTTAGGCTTATATTGGGCGCACATATAAAAATCAAGCTAGGACTTACTTTCTGAGTAGGTCATATTTTCAGGGAAATACTGTATTCTTTTTCCACTGCTGTAATTTGTATAAATGAGTTCCATATTTCATTATACAAAGTCCATATAAAGTCTATGTCTATAGGCAATTGCCCCATTGGTGGCAAATGCTATCAGGTTTTCAATCCATTGAATGAATGAGGCCATTCATTTATCTTCCAGTACTACAATATCAGTATTTTGGCCATAGTAAGGGCACAGAGAATCAATTTACATTCTCCAGTTTTCAGATTCCATGTACATAGTACTTCAAGAGAAAAATTACATACTCTGAAAAATTTAACTTTTGTCAACCTATCATATTTATATAGCCTAACACTTCCTCCCCAAATTTAGTTAGTATAGGACATTGTAAAAATAGGTGTTTTAAAGAAGCATTACCCTTATTACAACTCCAATAAAATCCTGTCTTACACAGACCTTTTCTGTACAAATGTAATAGAGTCCAATATATTCTAAATATTATTTTTTGTTGTTTAAGTTGTAGTTTAAGGTACATTGACATTTTTGCTATAGAAGTTAAAATACTATTGTCTAAGCAATATAGAAACCTCTAATTCTTTATTCAACTAATTTCTTAGCATGTGCATATCAAATTGATTTATCTATAAATAATAGAAATCATACAGTTGAATTTCAAATACAAATGAAAATATTTATAAAAACTAATAATAGGTTCTTTAATTTTAAAGAATTTAACAAGTTCTAGTATGTCAGGTGACTCAGAAGTTAAAAATGTGCTGGTTCAAACAAAATTGCTAACAAATGCTGTAGCTATTAATATTACTATTGAGTTATATCTGAAAGATGATATTTTTATTTATAAAATGATAATAAGGGTGGGAAATATATAAAATAAATAATTTATCTCTTAACACAGCATTGGTTAAAAAAATCATCTTCATCATTTATCAGTTGTTCCAAAATCAATATCCTTGCTTCCATCCATTTTTTCTGTATCACTATCTTTTTCTCAATTTTTAAAGTTCAATTTCCACATAATGTCAAATTAACATGGAAAAAGAAATCAAATCTTTTTTTTAAGTCAACATTTCTTTCCATAACTTTCTAACTTGACCTAATTGTTTTCAGAGACACTAGAGTTCTAGTATATTTGATCCTAAAATTGTACATCGAACCAAGATGTTATGTATATATATTCAAAAGTTGCCCAAATCAGAAAATTAACACTAATTGTTGGCTTTCAGTATTTAATACTTGACAATAATTAAGTGTGATGATATAGCTCCAGATTTGGTAAACCAAACCTAAAACATTGATAATTGCATTTTCTGTGAATGTAATTCTTGTAATCAAAAAACCCCATAAAAGTGCCTAAACAAGGAATTGATTTTCTGAAAATAGTTTCCAGATATTTGAAACTCCTCTCAAAATATGGGAATAATACTCATTGTGAGAGCATTCACCTTTGTCCAAAGATTGAGATTTAATGACTCCCATCTATTGATATCTTAAGAAACCTCTATATGTTTTATTTGTATTACATGTTACTAACTGGGTTATATTTTTTGATATGCACCTACCTAGATATTGAAAGGATTTGGTACAAATGCTGAACTGATATATGACTGATATATGACCACAGCTGCAATATAAGGATATCTGCAAGAGGGATCTAAAGGCCTTGGGAATGGACATTAATGACTGGGAAACCTTGGCCTCTGATCATTCAGCTTGGAGGCTAAAGACGCAGTCCCGGAACCAGCAAAATCTGGGGGCTGGGCAGGGGACAGAATGTATCTGCCCTCAGTGTGGAAGGGATTGCCACTTTCAAATTGGCCTTTTTAGTCACACCAGATGTTGTTTTAGGACCTCTTTCCAGAGCACGATATCATAGCCTTTCAAGACTGAAGGTTGCCAATGACATGATTGGGTACCCCCAGTTTCACCAATTGGCAACAATTTCAATTTGGACCAATTAATAGAGCATCCTGCTATTTTATTGAATGCATCTATCAATTGCATTAATCCTGAAATAGTAGTGGGAGGCTTAGAAATAAACAAAATAATGCAATTTACAAATAAAACCAATTAATATTCTATTGAGTTATTGTTGCCATCTTGACTTTATGGACTGCCCTTACCTGCAAGTGAATTCTTTCACCAGTTTAATCCTAATATGCAAATATTTATTTTCTTCCCAACAGACTTTATAACAACTTTACTCCCCAGTCTGCCCCCAAAGATTTGGATTGGTTTACGTTCCCAAGTGCATATGCATGTAAGCAAGTGGACTGATGGCAGTGATTTAGATTACATCAATTTCCATCCTTTGCTTCAAGGAAGGCTAAGAAAAATTCAGTTTGATGTGAGTTGTTGATACTGTTTTTATACTGTAGGTTTTCCTTGTAATTTATTTAAAGCAGAAATTTTTTTTGCTTTTACTAATTTAAGATAGAGGAGAAATGGGAAGTTGAAAATAGAAAAGTATATCCTATCCATTTTGAATATATTGTTTGTAGTTGGATGGCTTCTTCAGAAATTTAGTTATAAGATTGGATCATTTATATTATGTTAAATATTGCTCATGAATTAACTAGGGCATCTTTTGGAAACTTCACACTAGTTTCCAGTGGCTGGGTTGGAAAAGTCCAGCAGTGGGAGAGAAATCTTGAAATCAGCTGTTCTACCAAGCTAGTGTCCAGTGTGAACACCTGGATGCTCTCATATCACCTATTGTAGACAAAATCTCATGCGGGATCCTGGTTATCAGTCACATATATTGTTGGGCAACATTACGTAGCCAAAAGGGGTACTTTTTGCGTACTCACTTTTCCTTGGCTTATAAGAACATACAATGGATGCCCCTCTTCTCGCTGAGAAGGAGCCAAGGGGAGGTGCAGGGGCTATATGTTTTTGCTTGATAAAGAAAAGTTGGAACCAGGCCCCTGGCTGCTGTTTCCTGCTTGGGATGCAGTTATACAATCAGTGTTTCATATCCCTTCAGGTTTTCAGTTGGTAAACGGTGCCAATTCTCACTCCATCAAAGCTTTTTCTTCCTGATTGTTGCCCATAGCAGGCAGGCAGGTCATTACATTACTTCATTAATTAGTTAAAATTGTCCAGTAACAATGGAATGGGAGATGGAACATTTCTAGAATATGGAATGTATTATTTTGAATTTAGAATATTCAAAATTGCTGTTCGTTTTGATTTCAACATACTTTCCACAGCACTACTAGGTAGAACATTAAACTGCAATAACCTTAAAAACAAAAAAAACAAAAAATAAAAAATAAAAACCAAGACCCTGATCTCATTCCAGTAGCTATGTTAGAATGCAGAAGGTATGAGTATGCTGGCAAGCCCATTTTTCACATGCGAGAGCTAGATGTATAATTTAGCAATACCTCCAAACATCACTGTTTAATATGATTGTATCAAGGATTTCAATCATATTTGTTTATGGGACATGCCAGCACTGATAATATGTCATATTTCTTCCCCTTCCCCCCCCCCCCACAGGTATTTAATGAGGAAGAGAGTAACCAGTGTGGTATTTTGCTCAATAATCCCAAAGCTCACGTAGGAACTTGGAATTTTACTTCTTGTGCTAATACTTTGCCTTTGGCCATATGTCAGAAGCATCCAGGTACGTGAAGTGGAAAAATACAAGTTTGAAATACGAGCTTTTCATTAAGTGGCATTTTAGATAACCAGATAGCACAATCAGCACATGAAGTATTTAATATTAAAAGATCCACTTGTAAATCTCTTGACCTTGTTGGATCAGCATTAGGGAGCTGGATGGTAAAGATCTAAAAAAAAATTAAAAAATAGCTCACTTTCTGTGGTAAGATTTAATTACTTTAAAAGTAATTCCCAAATTAAATTTTATCTTGGCTAAAAGCTATTATGTAATACTGTACTACTGGCTTTCCATGCAATGTTTTACTTTTGAAAGCTTCCTGGTACAATCTTGAATGTCACCTTCTTGGAGGAAGGAGAAATATTCTTCCTCTTATGCCCAAAAGAAATGCTTTTTAGGATATGCTTGTCACTAGATATCCTTTATATGTATTTAAATTTGTTTCTAGGAAAATCAGACTGATTAATCTGGTTCATTGGCTTTGGATATCAGTTGGATTGATTTAAGTGATTCATTGAGATTCAGCATTGCAGTCCTAATCTTACTAAAATTCAATCAGTCTTCAGTCAGAACTGAAGAAGCTTCTTGGATGAGAAGCAAAACGTCTTCAAAGAAAAACAAAGACCAGTTGCGTTTGCACCTTTGGGACAACCATGACCTAGATGACTGAAAATCTCCATAGACACTATTTTTATTAAGTTGCCCAAAATACAATGTGCTCCAAAATGTATTTGGAAGTTAAAGATCTATTCCCTGAAGGCAAAATGCTGCTCTTGAAAATAAAATTCTTTATTGTATATTACTTCGTTCCTTCTCAACTGCTTATTCTTCTTCTGTAGATCCTGTAGAAAACCAGACAATACACGTGCCTGAACTTACCATGAAATACCTAAATGTCACCTATACCCTAATTTTGAAGAAATTGACCTGGTTTGATGCCCAGGAAGAATGCCTGCAGAACAATATGAGGCTGGTTAGCATTACAGAACCATATCAACAGGCTTTTCTTGGTTCTCAGGTGGCTCTCCATAACAACCAGCTCTGGATTGGGCTCTCTAGCTATGATGTAAGGTTCTGCTTTCCCTCTCAAATTTATTCTTGAAATAAAAAACATTGGACGAGTGATAAAATGATCAAATATATTTTAAATAATACCTGCAAAATGTGAGCATTGTGGCTACTGAGAGTGCTGAAATATGTTGCAGATACATGTCTCATGAATATCTTTTTAGAATGTCTCAACGATGGCGGTAAATTCTTTTTGCTCCTTTAAATAGTGTCTACAGTGCATTTTTTTTTAAAAAGGGGGGGAAAAGACCACACTTTCAAATCCAGCATCATGGGAATGTCCACATTGCTCAAGAACAATTTTACCCAGTCAGTTAAATATTTCATATCTCAAATTTCTGTAAAGCCTTAATATTTTGAGCTTTCCAACCAGCATAACTATTGGCCATGCTTCCTGGGTGGAGATTGAAATCCAGTGCTACTATAAATCATCAGGTAGAGAGGAGCGTACCTTTCTATGTGAAGCTGCTGGATAAGGTTATCTGCCAGTTTGGGGTTCAATATCATTAATATGCTTATGATACCCAGTTACCTCCCTCAACCCCAGATCAGCTAAGTGAGACTGTTGGAGTCCTATGTCAAATGCTTGGAGGCTGTTCAGGCCTGGATGGGAAGAAGAAAACTCCCAACTCAATCCTATAAGGCTGAATGGCTTGGATATTAGAGCCTCTTTCCCATTTATACTCAGTGTTTCCTGGTGCTCAAACTGCTATTCCACTTGTGCTCATTCTGGATCAGGAAACCCTTTAGACCAGTGGTTCTCAACCTTCCTAATGCCGCTACCCTTTAATACAGTTCCTCATGTTGTGGTGACCCCCAACCATAAAATTATTCCTAAAACCATTGAAAATATGAGTTTTACGATGGTCTTAGGTGACCCCTGTGAAAGGGTCGTTTGACCCCCAAAGGGGTTACGACCCACAGGTTGAGAACCACTACTTTAGACAGTCACTTCATGGCTTGATTACTGCAATGCACTATACAGGGGGCTGCCATTGAAAACTATTCAGAAACTTCACTTGTTCCAGAATGCAAAAGCATGGACAGTGATGGGCATGTCTTGCTATGTCCATTTAATACTTTTGCTTCATGCATTGGGATGGTTGCCAGGATGTCCGGCAATATTGTACCCTTATGTTGGCTTCAGGATGTCAAAACAGTATTGGCCAACTCCGGGTTCCTATGATTAAATAGTGGCATCTATGGAGACCCAGGAAGTACGCCTTCTCTGTTGTGATACCTGCCCTCTGGAATGAGATTCCACAGAAAATATGTGGGTTCCACCCTGTTGACAATCTGTGAGCTCTTGGAGACTTGGTGGTTCTTCGAGGCTTGAGTTAAGATGGATGGAACCCTCGTCAGAAGTGCTTTTCGCTCTACTTTTTGTATTAAGCAACAGGATTACAAACTTGTTTTGTCTCGTATTGCATTTTTAGTGCATATTTTACTGTGAGTTGGTTTGGTGTCAGCCATTGTCTAAACTGAAATAAATACCAATAATTGCAATTTGGTGTATATAGTAAGGAGGTGCAAATCAGCTAAAAATCTGGTTTTGTTCCAAGATTTGATGGTGGTAGGATTTAAATCAAATTTGAGATTTAAGATTCAAAAGCAACACTATTTGATTTGAATTGTTTTGAGATTCTGTTCAGAATCTGCTCGGAGACTAAAATGGAGAAACACCAGAGGACTGCATGTGCTTCCTTTTTGGGCAGAACATAGCAAATAAAAGGGATGTTTAACTTCTTAGACATTTGTATTAAAAATGGCAAAGTTTATGTTGCATCACTTTAAGGTTTTAATTTCATACTGGAAATATTTCCCCCTTTTTTTAAGGGCAGAGATCATAGGGAAGACGAAAAAATAACCAGCTTCCATATTATTCAGTCTATGTGAGAAAGTGTTGAACAATGCAGGAAGTATCATATTCCATCTTAAATATAAACACTTCCAAAAACAATTAATCTCTTACTAAGTTCACAAAGTCCACTGACCCCTGAGTTCTTGTTTTTCTAAGCTACCAATTTAGCAAAGTTGACCTTCTTATTTTTATTGTATTTTTCCTGGTGTCCATTCTGAAAACCACTTGCTTGAATTTTAAGTTCATTATTTCTTGTCCTAGCTTCTGGAACAGGTTAATAGTTTGTTTTATGCAGCTAATCTTTCTACTTTCTGACGTTTCTAGGATGGAGAACATTATCACTGGACAGACAAAAAATACATTAGTTTCAGTCGTTGGTCTGAAGAAGACAAAGATTTGGTTGATGACTGTGTATATTTGGACACGGATGGATTTTGGAAAACATCTGAATGTAATACAGAAAAAACAGGAGCAATATGCTACTTACCCAGAAGTAAGGCTTCTTTTAATTACTATATGTCATGAGTCTACAGTTTTGCATTGAAAATGGTTTTGAAAATATTTTAGGCCCGTAAAGTAGAAATGAAAATATAGGTATAGTTATACAAAAATATAGAAAATAAACTACTATGTATTATATATGTATAGGTAGTCCTCGACTTACAACCACAACTGAGCCCAAAATTTCTGTTTCTAAGCAAGACATTTTTAGTTTTACTCCATTTTTTTTAGTTTTACTCCATTTTACAATCTTTCTTGCCTCACTTTTTAAGTGAATCACTGCAGGTGTTAAGTTGGTAATACCATCGTTAAGTGAATCTGGCTTTCCCATTGACTTTGCTTATCAGAAGGTTGCGAAAGGGAATCAATCATATGACCCTAGGAGAATGCAACTGTCATAGATATGAACCAGTTGCCAAGCTTCTGAAAACTACTCACTTTTTTCACTGCCATTGTAACTTTGAATGGTTGTATGTTGAGGACTATCTGTACTTAAAATTCCACAGTTACTCACCAGTGCTTTCATAATTCTTACTGACTGCAGACCATTCAGTTTTTGGCTTTTGAATGTAGCATAAATTTTAAGTGGTCTACCTTCTCTTTCTTCCCCTCTCTAAAATAAACCTCTGCCAATTTTTTATCATCAGTTTCCTCATAAATCAGAAGTTGTAGTATCTTGAATGTGTGTATGTGTGAATTAATGTTAGATAGGGTTGCAATGGTGAATCATTTTTCAATACTTTGACACAGTGGATTCTCATGCAGCCAGGTCATCTCTGCTCAGGCCTCCTTGTTCCCAAGATAAAGGTGTTGAGACTAGCTCAGCTTGCTATCAGGTTTAGGCTCTATATTGTAAATATATTCACACTCAGAGGGAGAATTTACTTTCGGGGGAGAAGGGGAGCCAGTACAACTGATTATAATTTATCTGCTGTATGTTCCAGCCAAGGCCAATCTGATTCTAAGCTTCTCAGAAGGCCCTGAAGGCCTTAAAAAGGAATCTAAAGGACTCCTGTGAAGGAGGAAACCAAGATGGTGGTAGATGGGAAAGGCGGAGGCAGCTGTTCCAGGGAAAACAATTCTTATCGCCCACACAACTCCAAAGCAAAGGCTCCAGAGACAATACGTTAATCATATTGGAGACCTTGGTCACACATATTTGTGAGCCATTGCATATAATGACCAATGAATCAGACCTAAGCTTAGCACTTCCTGGTGCTGTACTTTTTATTTTATTTTATTTTATTTTATTTTGGCCTCTGGCCTCAATTGTGGATGTACTTAAACTCATTGCCTACTTGAGAAATAGCAAAATGCCGGGGATGGGGGGGAATTTGATTTCTTCAAAAGCTCCTAAAACTAAATTCTTAGTAGGGGGACACTGAGCTGGGGCACCCTTGTCCACTCACATCAGTTAACTCTTTATAGATGCCTAAAAAAACCAAACTCCTCCTCCAATATATGCAAAAAGTCCAACCTAGCCAACTGTTAGATTCTAGTACATTTACATCAAAACACTAACCTTATTAGCGGACTTTTGGGCTTAATGGTTTTTATAAAGGGGATCAGTCTTGCAAAGTTGTAACGTTTTACCCCCTTGCCCTTGCTATTAGAAAATGTTTGCTCTGATTTAGGCTTAGAAAAATTTAAGTGTTGACAGTTATGCTGGTTTATGAAGGCAGGTTGTTTCTTAAAATTCTTGCCTTCATTAAAATGCTTGTTTTGCTTTCTGGGTTAACTTTTGATCTGTGAGCATACAGCAGAAAACAAATAAATAACAAATCTAGCTAGCCTGAGAAATACTAAAACAGTGGCTTTTGGTGGGTTGGGTATAGGTCATAAATGTCAAGATGTCAGTTGAGGCAGCCCAATCAAAGCTCACCCTTTTATACATGCACATACAAAGGGGCTGGAATGGAATGGAATGGAATGGAATAGAATAGAATTCTTTATTGGCCAAGTGTGATTGTACACAAAAGGAATTGGTCTTTGGTGCATATGCTCTTAGTATATATAAAAATCAAAGATACATTCATCAAGAATTATAAGGAACAATGCTTAATGATAGTCATAGGGTACAAATCATACTAGGAAACAATATAAATCGTAAGGATACAAGCAACAAGTTACAGTCATACAGTCATAAGTGGGAAGAAATAGGTGATAGGAACGATGAGAAGTTTAATAGTAATGCAAACTTAGTGAACATTTTGACAGTATTGGGGGAATTATTTGTTTAGCAGAGTGATGGCGTTCGGGAAAAAACTGTTCTTGTGTCTTTGGTGTGGCTTTGGTGTGCAGTGCTCTATAGCTTCGTTTTGAGAGTAGGAGTTGAGATACTTTATGTCCAGGATGTGAGGGGTCTCTAAATATTTTCACAGCCCTCTTCTTGACTCATGCAGTATACAGGTCCTCAATGGAAGGCAGGTTGGTAATAATTGTTTTTTCTGCAGTTCTAATTATCCTCTGAAGTCTGTGTCTGTCTTGTTGGGTTGCAGAACCAAACCAGACAGTTATAGAGTGCAGATGACAGACTCAATAATTCCTCAATAATTATCACAATAATGTCCCCACCCTCTTGATTGTGGACTTCCTTCGACCGGAAGTCCATGCATAAGGAATACAAAGATGATTTATTTTATCAGATTAGCTTTTAAAACCCCACCTTTATTACTTTATAAGTAACTCACCGTAGCAAATATACATAACATTTCCTTCCTTCTATTTTCCAACAATCTTGTGAGGTGGGTTGGCCTGAGATTAGATAGAATGGGGTGGGGGTGGGGGTGGGGAGAGTATATCTAAAGAAAAGGAAACACAAGTGATTCTCATCCCTTTCAAACCATATTTAGTAATTCTGTGAGTCTCAACTCAAAATGCCCTTGGGTTTTTTATATCATTGCCTAAATGCCATTCCATCTATTGGAGAAGGATAAAGTGCCCTTAAGGCTTTATTGTTTCAACAGGCTGGGCTGGCTTAAATAACGAATTTTAATGTGTGTTTTAGTTTTTTAATATAAGGGCCAAATTATTTAATATGTTTTAAACTGTTTTTAAACTTTATGGATATATGTATTTTACTGTGGCTGTGCACCGCCCTGAGTCCCTCAGGAGAAGGGCAGTATAAAAATTTAAATAAATAAATAAAAAAATAAAAAATAAAAAAAAAATAAATAAATAAATAAATAAATAAATAAATAAATAAATAAATAAATAAATAAATAATACTGATTACCTTTATTTTTTTATAAGACGAATTTTAACATTCTGATCCTTCTTATTTCGTATTCTTATTCCTCATAGCCAAATTTATTATTTGTTTTTTTTTCTATGACCACAAAATGGTATCATTAATGACCAGCATCCAGTAATTCTCAGCTGATGAAAGTTGTATTGTAATATTAAATACTGAATGTATTTTAGATATGAAGCACTGCCTTTAAAAAGGGTTTATTTTTCAGATGACACTGAAACCCAAGAAGCATATCATGAATCAATTAAATGTCCACACAAGATTAAGAATACACCATGGATAGCATATCGAAACAGTTGTTACACATTTCTAATACCACAAGATAGATGGGAAGGATTGAAAGCAGTGCAAGCTAACCATTTATGCATGAAAATGAGTAAGCTATTCCTCTTTAAAGTTCTGCTTTTTTTTGTGTTCAAAGATTTTTATGAAGAACATTTTTGGACTTGAGGCACCTTCATTTTACTGTATTTGTAACTTGTTCCATGCAAAACTGTCCATTTTCAACTGTGCGATACATGGGAAAAGGTCCCCATATTATTTTTTTAATATAACTGTTTAGAGAATGTACATTTGTATAATATTAGAATACCCTGTGACCCATTGGATCATCCTTTGACATAATAAAAGTAATTGTTGATCAATCTATATATTTGGTTAATGTTAACCTCAATCAAGACCTTTTCTTGCTGGCTATAATTGAAAGAAATGACCTCTTAAACACCCACTTTTCCTCTCACTAAAGAAAGAAGCTTCTTAAAAAAGAGTTTCCAAGTTGCAATATTTAATGAAATGTAATATTTGTATAATAAAAATGAAGCCAAAACTGCTGAACTGTAAGAATAATCATTTAGTTCAACATCCTGTTTCCAAGACTGGCAGAACAATCCCTGCAGCCAAATTATTCCCAGTTCAACAGCACCTTTGCTGTTGAATCACTTCTTTCAACTGGAGGCTATATCTACCTCTAATGAATAAAGTTGACAGCTTTTTTCTGTGAATTTCCCCTTAATGGCTTTTTAAAATTCTATGAACTATTGCTCCACCTTCTGGCATGGAATTCCACGTATTAATTACCTATAAAATTTGCTCCCACTCTTTTCCTACTGAATGTTATTAAATTGTGGAGGTTGGGAACAGAACATATTCTTTCTTATGTTTTGGAAATATAATCCTCTTTAATCATTGCTTGAAGCTCTATTATTTTTCTTAGGAAAGCTCCTAGTCAAATGTTCCTTGTAAAACACTTCAGGTGTCTCCATCTTTTCCAGCTGTACATATCTATGTTACACATATTGAGGGTTCTGGTTATTGTTTCTTAACTTCGTCTCACATGGAATTTGCTATTCCCATTATACAATAAAGTGACTTTAAGATCTCTTTCATGGACATTGCTCCTCAGGGCTGATCCTTTGCTAAATCTTCAAAAAGTTGGTGTTATAAAGTTTTCTAAATTCATTCCATGGTTTATTTTTTTAATTGCTTCAACAGATTCAAATGCATCACTTTTGAATATCAGGGATGAAGATGAAAATGATTTTATTCTTGAACAGTTTCAGTCTTTCAGTGGTCTTGTTCAGTGGATGTGGTTGGGTTTGGTTTATGACACTGACGGTATGTTGGAAATTCTTTATTGGCTCTTTGCTTTCTGAATTTACAGAGAGACTACAATAATTTTATATTATTTGCAGGACATTGATGTGTAAAAAGAGTTCAGTGTTTCTTTTATTATATTGTAATCAGAAAATGTTAATTTTGTTTTAGATAAAACTGTCATCTAGGAGTGAATGGAAAGTCACCAAAGTCAACTTATTTTAAAATGTTTTACCCTTATTTAAGACTATTTTAATGATTGCATACTATAATAGTGGCCTAAAAGGGGGCTAGATGGATAAATACGGGGTGGACTTAAAAAAATTTAGCAAGGGGATCTCTGCCCGGTTGCTGGATGGGCGTGACCATGGTTGGTGTGGCCTAGTCAGCCTCCTACCCCTTTCAAATTTTCAAATGCAGTTAATGTCCTTAGAATTGCTTATTTCCCCTCCAAATCCTATATTTTCCGCTGCAGTTAACCGTCTGAAGTGGTATGATGACACATACGTGTCATATAACAACTGGAGAAATGGACGACCTAACATCAGGAGTAACTTCTTTCTTGCTGGCGTTAACTTGGATGGCTTCTGGGACATTTATGATCATTCACGTAATAACTGGTTATATTGGCAATTTGGTTTTCATACCATCCTGGTCTGCAAGCTAGACCTGGGTAAGAAACATCTCTTGGACTGAATTTCAGATTCCACTGATTTTTCTTTATACAGCAGGTACAGCAAAGCAACATGTAATTTATTCCTTGTCTTTAGAGCCCAAAATCAGCCAACCTCCACTTCCTAAACAGCTGCCCTACAAAAATAATGTTTACTGGATTCTTCGGAAACAGCTCAATTGGTATGATGCATGGAAAGAATGCAAACAGAAAGGAAGCGATTTAGCCAGCATTCACAGTACTTCCGAACATGTCTTTCTGGAAGATATTGTAAAGCGTGATGGATTTCCATTGTGGATTGGTTTATCTAATCATAAAGTAAGTTGAACCAGAGATTTCTAGCTTATTTTTCACATATGGCAGAGTCTTAGATCTGTTTACCATGTATGCATAAGTATAGCATTCTACATTTTTGTACTTCCATCTTTTATACTTTGTTCTTCTATATTTGGTTTCTTATCACAGAATCAAACCTCCAAATAATTTTGATTTTCTGACTTCAGGCTTCAAACTGTATCCAATTTTACCCAATCCTTTTCATGTTATTACCCAAACATGTATCATAAACTGTAGCTTTTCTCACAACTAATGTTCTATGCTCACACAGCTCGAGTTTCAATCTGTGTTCCAGAGCCTAGAGTGTTTTTCCATATGCTAATTAAAGTTACTAAACCTCCCCCCTTCCATTGAGATCAATGGGGAGCTTTCACAAATTTGCCACACTCTATGGTGAACCATATCTGATGGGGGGGGCATAGCTGGGGAAGGATGAGTTAACTTTGTCAACACCAGTCTTGACAACACACATATACAAACATCCAAACCCACCGACACACACCCATGTGAGAGAGAGTGCTTTATTCAGGAAGACAGAAATGAGCAGAAGACAACTCGTTACTGCTTTTCAAAAAATTAAAAATCATAGCATGGGCTTTGTATATTTGGTCAGAAGAGAATAATATATAACTGCTTAGTTCTGTATCTGAAGTATCAATCTGACTGACATATGACGACTATGCTGAGAAACTCTTCCATACAGGGTTACCTAGTTAGTAAGTTCCCCTAGGCCTTACTCACTGATCCACATTTGGAAAGGAGTATATTCGCTATGGATTGCACTATTTGAAAATATTTTTTTCTTAATTATTTTACAATATTTGTATGCTCCTCACTTCACAGGTTTCTTGACAAGTTGCAATAGTAATCCATCCTCAAAGGATTTCATAGCATTAACATCATTTAAAGTGCCTTTAACTTAAAATCTCAAAACCAGAATAATCCGTAATTGATATTATTAGAAAATAGTGTGAGGTATAAGACCCAAATATTTTAATCCTCACAATTCATAAACAAGTCTGATTCACAAAATCAAAGGTTTATTGGAGATAAAATGGAAGAAAAATAAAAAGCAGTTGCAAGTGCAGCCTTCCCAAATGGATTGAGTTCAAAGAGCGCAAGAAGCAGTTTTCAAGCTACGCATTTTATACTCCTACACAATGCACGGCACACTTAAGAAGCCCTCCCAACTCCCCTTTATTCTCCTAAGTCATTCTCCAAATTATTTTACACTTTAAAAGGGTCATCTTGACAATTCCTGTCTAATAATGACTATCTTATCATGTTTACTTTTAACTTCACCTTGGGCGGATGTTCCTTGTTACTGATAATGGTCTTGCCCAAGGCATAGGTTCTTGTCTCCAAGGGAGCTTTTAGCAAGTCATAACACATTGTCTCTACTAATTACAATTTGTGGTCAGTTTGCAACACTAAGATCATAGCTTTTTAATACATTAAACACTTAATGTATTAATACATTAACACTTAAAAGAGTAACTTATTATTCATTTCTTTCAATAGGGAATAGCAATGCACTTAGATTATATACTGCTTCACAGTGCTTTACAGCCATCTCTAAGCGGTTTACAGAGTCAGCATTTTGCTCCCAACAATCTGGGTCCTCATTTTACCCATCTCAGAAGGATGGAAGGCTGAGTCAACCTGGGGCTGGTAAAGATAAATACCTTCCTTCCATTAATATTACATGGGCTCATTATGAACTTTTTCTACCCATAAAAAGCTGGCATTCTGCTTGAGCACTTTTAGAATTTATTGACAGCCGTCCTAAAGTTATTGTAATCTTTTATGATTAAAATGTATGCATCTTGCTACTGTGTGTGTGTTTAGGACCACAATATCTCTGCTAGAGAAGCTAAGGTTTGTATGCCTCTGCTCAAGCTGTTATGCCATTTTGCAGAGATTAAAAAATTGGACGAAAAAAAACATTTTCTGACCCAGGGCTTAATCGGTAAGATAAGGAAATTTTAATTTTTTGCCCTACTCCATAAGACATATCTCAGCTAAGCATCTTCTATTTGCTGTTTGCTTTGGAAGGAGAGCAATGAGTTGGTTTTTCAGCCCATGCAGGGCTTCTCTCGGTTGGGACCTTGAATCTCCGTGCTACTCATTAACATAATTGCTAATTGCACTAGTATTGCCAAGTAAACTGAGTCCCTGAGGTCTTGGTTCTCAGAATAGAGCCAAGCACAACTGAGTTCATGTGTTACGGTTTATACTAGAAAAGAATGTTAAGGAAGAGCCTGAATTTTTCATCTGTTCAAGTCATAGCCATTTTCTCTAGCGTTTGCTAAAAACAAAAGTACTATCAGTATTGATCAACAAAGTTGCACCTTCCCTAGGGAAATGATTCTGATTTTGAGTGGTCTGATGGAAGCCGGTTTGACTACCAGCCTTGGGAATATCAGCATTCTCATTCTTTTGGAAATTGCTTTGCTATGGATACTAAAGGAATTTGGAATCGCAGGAAATGCACCTCTCAAGGCGATGGTGCTATCTGCTACTCTTCTTCAAAAAGTAAGCGTATCTTCCTGTATCATTTGATTCTTTTTCATCTAAGAAACTAGAAAACAAAAAAATGGGTGTCTTTTCCTATCTCATGCTGAAGATGATTCCTTAGCAGCAAGCAGATCTTAACCAGATAACATGGCAAGATAATAGTATTCAGCTTGCAAAATGACCTAAAGTATAATAAAAAATAAGGTGGGTCTTGTTTTCAGGCTGCCTAAAAAGGACATGGCACAGAATTTTTAAAAATGGGGAAGAAAACAAAAAAAAAAAAGTTGGCTTTAATACTTTTTATTGAGATTTGCCAACGGTGATGAATTGTTCAAGTGGACAATTGCTTCCTTTTGCTCCTTAATAGTGGTGTTCCTTGCTATTCTTCCTCAGAGGTGGTCTTGCAGTGCTCTGTACAGAGTTGGGGTTGCAAAGACACCTCTGAGGCTTTCATGTAACACTTTTTATATTATGGTTCATTGCAGTCAGCCAGATGTTCAGACTGGATTTGGCATTTTTATCCATCTATTGACTCCTTCCCAAGGACTTCGGATAGGCAGATGTTGTTGTTTGATGGTGTTAGAGCACGGGTGTCAAACCCGTGACATCATGTTGCCGTCATGTGACATATCACAACATTTTTGCCCTTCGCAGAGCTGGGGTGGGTGTGGCCTGCATGTGACACATGGCCCGTGGGCTGCCAGTTTGACACTCCTGTGTTAGAGGGATCGTCATAGAATGTAAGCTGACCTGAGTAAAACTGCCTTTTGCAATTGGCTGGTGGTGAATTTGTCAGTGATAATGGTGTTAAAGTAGTCCTCCTGTTGTTTGGGATTGCACCCAAGGTGCCTACTACTATTGGTACTATTAAATTTGTTTGCAGGATTATTTGCTAATAGTATGGACAACTCTAGCCCTTTTTGGCAAGTAGGCCACCACCACAACCAGTACCCAGTTTTACCTCATGCAATTCCATATTAGCTATGTTTGCCTAACCTAGAGTCGGTTTTACTAACCAACTTATTCTTCCTAAAGATGGCTAAGTATGAAGTATGTGACAGTTTATTTGATTTCATGGAAATGTTTGTAGTGCTGTTGTAGTGCTTACCATTTCAAATCTTCCCATGATTTTCACAGGTTGGCCTTTTGTAGCTATGCAAAAGATTCAAGCCATGAGGGATTCAGGCTAGATTTAGTTGTAATCTCCATTCCCTTTTTGTGCAGAGATTTTTGTGTAAATCCACTTCGTGGGCTCAGGACAAACATTTATTATGTCAAAGTGGTTGCACAGCCTTAACTGCCAGTTAGACTGTTCCCTAAATTGCTATTTTCAAGTCACTTAAAAAAAAAATACTCTATATTACTTAAGAAAAGATTTTCTGGGTTATTGGTATGATTTTCCCCCTGTCCCCCTTGGGAGGGTAGATATAACAATATATTCAGGGGTGGGTTCTACTTACTTTTACTACCGGTTCACAATGGGATCGTGCGTGCATGCTAATTTCGCATGTGTGCACCCCTTGCTTCTGCACTGATCGCTGATGATGACATCCAGGGCGGTGGCAGGGCCTCCTGCCAGTTTTACTACCGGTTCTTGTGAACCGGTGGCAACCCACCCCTGAATATATTCATTTGGGTGAAAGCCCAAAGAGTTAAGAACTAATTCTGGGTAGTACCATCTGCCTTGTAAAAAGGGGGAGGAAAGTCAGGACTAATGCAGGCATTCTTTGCTATAGCTACTGTTTCCTAAGAATTAAAACACTTTTTCCATGAAGATGTGCTATTACTTGTTAGCAAACATATTTAGAACCTTGCTTTATTTATATTTTGAATAGTTACAACAATACTAAAACAGTCAATTGACTGAGCGGAAAATGTTCATATTTGAATAAAGTTGATTATGCTATTTGTGTTCTCACAGAAGTGCAATTAAAGCAAACCGAAACATCATCAAAGTGTCCAGACTCTCCTAATGGAGCATCACAATGGCTATTCTACAAAGATTATTGCTACGCATTTGATATGGCATTTTATAATTATTCCACATATACTGCAGACACAGCTAAGAAAGTTTGCAAGAAACTTGGTATGCTCAAATTCTATGTTTCTTTTCTTGGATAAAGAGTTATTTTTCAGTATTATTTTAGATAATGTCTTAAATAATTTCTTTTGGACATTTAAATAAATTAGATTTTCCTCATTTAAGATAAACGTTTTTTCATTAGATCCTTCTGCAGATCTTCTGACTATCAAGGATGGAGAGGAAAATAAGTTTGTGAGCGCACACTTGAAAGAATATAATTTTATTACTGGAAAAGTATGGCTTGGAATGCAATTTAATGGTAAGGAAAAGCTGGATGTAATATTAAATAACGTTTGGAAATGACAAAAATTATAAAAATGTCTAGAGTATATTTGTGTTCATGGAAAACAAGGACACTGGCTTACAGTAAATCCGATTTTTTTTCCTCTGTGTGTACATGGAATGGACTGTGCATAGCAAATAAAAAAAATGAATAGACTTCAGAGAAGTAATATTTTTTTATTTCTTGATAAACTTCCAATAATTTAAATTTAAGCACACATAGTAAGAAATGCAGTTAAAAGAAATGAAAGGCCAAAATATTTGGCCAGTTAGTTCAGTATTTTAATTTTAACCTTTTCACTTCCTGAATGTCTTTGCCTCATTTTCCCCCCTCCATTGTCCTCTTCCTCTTCCCTATCTTCCATAGTTTCAAATTCAGTTCTGGTGCCTTCCTGCCCTCCTGCTTAGACCTCTCTGCCTCAGGGTACCTTTTCTGCCCAGCACTGCTGGCTGCTAGGCAACAAGATAGCAAGCTGGATGCCTGCCCCAGTCCAATGATGTAGAAATTCAGAACTTTTAGAAGCAAATAATTCTTTTTACCTATATCTAAAGAAGGCGTAGTAATAGCTCAGTATGGGTTGAGATATCAGGTGTCTGATAAACAAACAACATATCCAGGGAAAAAGGCGCAAGACAGGATGGAGGGGAATTCAGGGGAACTTGGAATTCAGAATCCAAGGCATGGCCCAATAAGATAAACATGGCAGACTTGAGGCTTGAAAAGTTGTCCTCAGCTTTTGTCCTTGGGAGGGAGGGAAGCCAATGAAGAAGCCAGGCAAACCACTATCCAAGCCACTATCCAGATACCCACCTGAGGCACTAGCCTTATTAGAGTCTGCTCTTCTTATGGCCTGCTTCTGTAACCAGTCGTTTTGACCTGTGGAGCTCACTCCAGGGAATCTGGAGAGTTTGCTAGATAAACTTCAGATAAACTAGAATGGATTCATAGCAGGATGGGCAATATGTGGTCGCTCCATTGATTCCAACTCATGCTCACCACAACAAACATAGGCAGTGGCGAGGGGTTGAGGAGAATTGCAGTTCCAATAGCATTTGGAGGATCAGACATTGCACACCAGTTGTATGTGATAAAACCAGCTCAACCAGTGACTCCCCAAAGATCTTCTGGCCTTCCTGCCAGAAGTGGTTTCAGCGCTGCATGGAACTTTTCTATCCTCTTCCATTGCAGCATTCAGTCCCTACCAGAGAGGTTCTAGAACAATGATGGCAAACCTTTTGGGATCAGCATGTCAAAAATTTGAAAATGCCTAATTTGACTCTCCTGGGATGTCGTACACACCAAAAATTCTCTATCCCTCTCATTCCAATTAGGCCACCCTGAACAGCACATGGCCAGAAGTAAAGGTCCTCAAGGCACAATTGCTCCCATGGCCCAGTTCTTCCTAGGAAAATGGACACATGCCATTTTCAGGCAGTGTTCTCTTTCTGTCCCTGTGGCCTTCCTGAGATTGGCTTCCAGGTCACACAAAGCCTTCAAAGTGACTTTGGAAAATGTCCTTCCACAGCGAAACAGCACAAACGCATGTCCTGTTCTTGCGTGACTTCTGGGGGGCACATAAGAGTATATTCCATTCCAGAACGAAATGATTTTAACCGATCGAGATGCTGTCTGTAATTGTAAGGATAATATTTTTATGCTGGTTTTTTTTATTTTTACTTAAAATAAAACTTTTTTTAAAAAAGTATATTCCATTATCACATGGCCTCCAAAAATTGTGTGAGAACAGGCCTTGCTTTCAAGAATAGTTGTTGTTGGGTTTTGGGGAATGTTGGTGTGTCATCCCAAACATCATAGTTGTTACCTTTGACCCTCATTTCATAGGTTCACCATCGCTGCTCTAGAGATACCAAGACAATCAGTATGGATACAATGTGAATGATGAAGAATAGGTTTCTGTCAGCCCTCTAGACCAGGGGTGGGTTCTACTTACCTTTACTACCGGTTTGCAATGGGGCCGCGCGCAAGAGAGCTTTGCTCAAGCGCAGAAGCGTTTTCATGACATCAGGGTCAGTGGGCGGGGCCTCCCGCCGGTTTTACTACCAGTTCTATAGAACAGTGCGAAGCGGGGGCAACCCACCACTGGACTAGGCCAAGGTCAGGGAGCAGACCCCCATAAGTAAGCCTGGTACTCTATTGATTTAGGCTATAGTAACAAAATCCTGAAAGCCTGACAGCATTTTCTCTCCTTCCCTCCCTCTTGAAAGATGGAGGTAGTTTGAGGGTTTTTTCCTAATGTTTCTTCCTGTTTTGGACTTAAATAGTGTTCTGTTGTGCTTGCATAGTTTCTCTAAGGTAATCCCTTTAGTTCTTTTTTGTTTCGTAATAGCCCTATGAAATCTTGTGGAGGACAATTTTCAAATGAACTACCAGACTAGTTACAATCAAGCAGGCAGACTAATATTAAGTAACTACACAATAGAGCTGAGCACACTTGAAATACCGGTATTTTTTGAAAGAAGTGCATTGGGCCTTATGTAAGAATAAGCACAGCATCACACTGCAGTTCATTGAAATACACATTCTCTCCCCCCCCCAAACGTTTACAAACAAGCGTGAAAAAAGAACCATGTTAAATAATAATTCAGTCTAATTATTGCAATTAAATAAGGTAATAATTAAAGACATGCTGCTTTAATTATTCAGTTCATTAAAGCAGTTGTATCTAGTTTCAGACTTGTGGAGAAGCCTGAAAAAAATAGACACACTTTAACAAATGGCAGAGAAGCACTGTACTTGTATGAGGTCTAAAACTTTGTCTGAAACTTTTTAAGAGCATACACCACTTTAATACATAAAGAGATCTTACATCTACTGGGAAGTGACAGCCGCCTTTATTCTGTGGCAGTGCACCCTAAAAATTGTTGGGGACCTGGGGTAATGACTACCATTGGCAAGCCTGCTTTACCATAATGGTTACCATAATAATTCCTCAGTCCTCGCATTGCAGCCATGTCAGAAGTTGCAGAAAGAGGTCTCTAAGGCATATTTTGTTGTTTCTGTTGTTTGGCCTCAGCTGCTAATCAGGAGATCTTCCCCTTCCTCCTTGCCTCCTGCAATTTAGGGGAACAATTCAACTGTACCTTTGATTGTGAATATGGCAAATTGCTAATAATAAGTGAAAGACATTTTTGTTCATAAATTAAAGAAGAAATGTTTTGGGCTTTTATTTACAGCTAATTCCTTGAACTGGTTTGATGGCTCTGAGGCTAAATATACAAATTGGGCTAATGAAACTGAAAAGGCTAATGGTCAGTGCAGTGTAATCTTTTCAGCCAATGGGACATGGTCCAAAGCAGATTGCAACAATGAACCAAGCAGAGTTGTTTGCAAAACTCCTCAAGGTATGTAAATGATGATTTAGTTTAGTCAGATGATGATAAGCTATCTGGTCCTTTTCAGATATTTTAGACTATGACTTGCAGATAAGGTGGAATAAAAATCTAATCTTCATCATTATCATCATCTTTTATTGTAAACAGTCAGGGATAATGGGAATTGCTTATTCAACAATAGAGTAACCTTTTTGTAGTACAGTATAACGGGTACCTGGCGCCCAAAAGGTTGGGGGCCATTGCAGTATAATACAGTAGAAGAGTTGCTTGTTTCGCTTGACAGTAGAAGTAGACAGTAGGTTTCGCTTCTCTTCTCTATGATTGAGACAGAGCCCTAGAGAAACAAAAATCTTCATGTCTAGCCTCAGTATGTTAGTGGCTAAGAAAGCAGCCAGCTGCTGCGAGTAAGCCATGTAGATCAGGACACTTTCTTCAGCCATGCATTTAAATGATAGGATAATCTTCATATTTAGTTTGATTTAAAAGGGTAGGTAAATATTTTAATATTTATTTACTTGGTTCATTCAATACTTTTATGTTGTGACTGACTTGATCACCCTCTGGATAGAAAGATAGAATATGAATAAATAATAATAATAACAACAACCACCATAAACAACAACCATAACCAAATGTGGCTTGTAGTTCCACTACTCTAGTTCAATAATTTTTTTTTTTTTCCTTACAGTCTCTCGTCATTCAAGAGGGGCAATAGCAGTTTGTGTTACAATCGTTATAGCCCTCCTTATTGGATTAGCATACTTTCTGTATAGAAAGATGCAACTACACTCGTCTGGATTGACCTCTGTTCGCTATGAGAGGGGAATGCATGACGATGAAACTGACACCATGTTTTCTAGAAATGATGATTGATAACCACTTTTTGCATGGCATACAGAAACCAATTTTCAGATGCTATTGACTTTCATTCTTGGGGTTTATTGACACCTTCCCTTTTTTTCAAGTTTAGGGGGGAAAGGGGGATCTTTAACAACAATCAGACTTTGCACTTTTCGTAACCTGAGATTTGCACGTGGCTTGAAGTATGGTGCACTGAACGATTCTGACATTAGTATATCCGGTACCATTTACCCAAATGAAGTAAGATAGCAGAGGGCCAGAGAATTACTTGAAATATAACTTATTGGAAATAAACTATGTGATAGTTTATGGTGTTAAAAATATTATATTTTCAAAGTTAAAGATTGTTTTGAGTCAAGCTCAGCTTTTGATTGCTATGTGTATGATTTACTTGGCAACAGAATGAGGAGATCTGGGATTTCTCATCCAAGCATAAGCAGGTCCAAACTTGCTTACCATTTCTGAGGTCAACCAAGGTCAGTGAGATATTGCAATCTGCTTTGATCTTTTTATTATCCTTCAGACCTTTTGGGGCTAGTCTGATTTTCAACAAAAAGCTCTCAAAGATTCCTTCCATCTTTAAAACAAATGTATTAAGAATTACAGTTCTTTTATAAAACCAAGCAGTGTAGGAAAAAATCCTCCAAAAAAAATAGTAAAAAAAAGGAAAGTTCTCCTTTCATACCCAATAAACTTATTCAAATTGACAATTTATTGCTGTCTTTTAAATTACAATCAGGTACATCTTCATTCCATACTTTACCCCATTTTCTATAAACTCATTTTTAAATTTTCAGCTTCCCTTATTAATCAACAAAAGTCCAGTAAAAATTAACAAAAATACCTAAGGACATGAGTATATAATCCCCCTTTCTATTTAGCCTAAATCTCCCTCAGCCCTCTCTTACGCATTACAAAGATAAGAATAATAAAATTGGAAGCTGTTAAACTTTATCAGAAATACTAAATCCTTATTTAGATTTCCAAAAACGGTAATGTAAATATTTCAAACTAATATTTAGTTTGTTTACAAAGCATTATATCACCAAAAATAGCAACTTGTTATTTAATCAGCCAAATAAACCAATTTTGTATTTTTTTCTTTTTTCCTCCCAGTCATCTCTGAATCCCATAAATAAAGTTCTAACTCCTGTTTTCCTGTAGTCTCTTCTTCCTCCTGCCTCTTCTTTTGAAGTTCTTATTATAGTCCATTTGTATTTTCCATGAAGTGATTTGAGTAAGTCTTCCGTATTTCAATTTAAAAAGGCAGTCCACAGCATTTTGGACATATTTTTGTAAGAGGGTGTTTTTTTTTTATTTTATTTTTAAATGATCATCAAAATCCATTTGTAAATTCAGTATTTCCATCTCTCTCTCTCTCTCTCTTTTAGTTGTAATTTTTAGGTCCAGCTTAAACTCCTTTTCAGTTGTCTTCAAAAGAGTTCATCTTCAATAACATTCTTTCCAGGAAAGAATTAAAGCAGCTCAAGCACTTCAGAACCTATAGATCAAAAACTCCTTTTAAAGTAGCCATCATGTACTTGTTTTGTTTTAAAATGTAAACAACTCAGATTTTTCCCCACATGAGGTCTTTCTAATTAGAGTTGCAAAACAACTCTAAAATCATTGTTTCAGTGTATATTGCAAAAAGTTACCAAAAAAAATAATAATAGAAGACTTAAAAAGCTGGAAAAAAAACATTGTTTGTTTTAAACAGACTGAAAGGACATTTACCCAGCAACTACTGTAGTAGTCTTTGTAGTTCAGAAGTATTTTCAACCTTAAAAGAGGCAGTAAAAATTCCAGAGTGATTGAAAACATGAGGTTTGATCAAGCCTTGAGTCCTTACAGGTTTCATTTGAAGCTCAAAGGAGGGTAGAAACCCAAACTCCCAGCTGTTTGCAAGCAGCTGTGAAAACAACAGTTTCTAAAGATTTCAGCTGACTGAAATACATATGGGCAATCTCCAGATCTCTTTCTTCCTGAGAGAATTTTGACAGTCTGGGTCTTGCATCTAAGTGCCTTTTCGACCAAAATGCCCCTGCATCCACCCAGAATAGAGAATATTGCAAGTATTGCCTTGCCTTGCTGCATCGGAAACCCCAGAGTTCTTCATCTTGATCAAAGTTACAAATTCAATTTGTATTGATTTACTGTATTAATTTTTAAAGCTTGACTCTTATATTTTCTGTAGCTACAACAAAAGAATAGCAACAAATTATTGTCAGATTTTATTTTTCTTAGATTTTTCTCCTGAGTTTGCCGTATACACTGGAACAGGTTAACCTCAGTTCAAGAGCTAAATGAAAGTTTCAGAACCCTACTGTCCATTCACTATTACACGAATGGAAGTGTTTTTTTATTATTATTATTTATGTTAGACTTAATATTTTTCAAAAGAGGTACTAAGTATTTTCTTTATTTGTATTCAAAATACATTGATTGCAATCTAAAGTCTTATTCATGGTCAGAGAATGCTTTACTGATGCTTAAACTGGAGCACCCATAATGTTTTCTCGCCTGATTCCACAGCACTGTATTGGTGATTTCTCCTAGCCATTCATGCCATCAACTTCTTCTTCCTCATTCTTTGCTGTGGATGGATTTTTCTGATGGTACTTGTAACATGGAACAATTCAACACGGAGTAAACACGATATTTTGTCAGAACTTAGTAAACTTTAGAAAAGTTACGTTATAAAAATCTTCTGATTCCAATAGAGTTTCCAAAGAGGTGGTTCAGCTGATTTTAAAGCCAAAGCATTTCTTGGCATTAGGAAGACTAGTGAAATTTGTTAGCCTTTAAGGTGCCAAAACCACATTAAATTTTATGATTTGATTTGTAGCATTTCTTAAAATGTTTCCTTTAATGAAACTCACCAGAGAGATAATTAACATCCACTTCTGAAAACACCATCAGAGGTTACAGGGAAAAATACTGGTTTATTGCTAAGTTAGCACTTTTATCGCTAAGTTAGCTCTTTTAAAAGATAGTGAATATGCATCTCTGGAATTAGTGATATATACAGCTCTTTTTTTAAAAAAAAAGATCAAGCATGTTTCCTATTTCATATACAAGAGGAAATCCGCTCCACAGCATTAATTAAACAAATGCTACGTGTGCCCTTTATGAAAATAAGGATGTTTTGTGTGCCTTGAATTCTATATTCTATCGTTCCAATGCAATGGATGTACAGTTTTATGCACAAATATAGGCCCTTGTAGCAAAACATAAACTCAAACCTTCAGCTTATTTCTTTCCAATTCCTTTTTTCAAGACATTTTGTGTGGTCTTATAAACATGTGGGTAAATACATCCTTTTCTCTAGAAGTGAACATTTGCTTTTAATTTTTGTAATGTTTATAGTTTTAATATATTTTTATGTTGTTTTATTATTACTGATTTTTAATTCTTGACTGAGAGCAGCCCAGATTTTGTTGTAAGATGGGTGGTTATATAAATGTTTTAAAATTGGACAGAAAGCCAACTTTTCTGCAGTTAATTGCACTGCTTTCTGTATGTTCATTTCTGCACTTGACTGTTAAGATTGAAGGATATTTTACTATGACCTTTCCAGGGATGTCACCACAATGTGTGTGAGGACCTAATAAAGAAAAGAGGTAGTTTGCACTAAAGAAGTGATGACTGTTCTTTTTTTAATTATTATTTATATCATTTGTAAAAGAAATGCCTGGATGCTTGTATATGCTCTGTGTCAGGAGTCAAAGGGACAAGAACCCTAATTAAAACTAGAGATAGGAAAAGTGCATTAAGGAGAAATAGGCCTGTGACCTTGCTCTTGTTGCAGTGTCTGATAGATAACGCATTATCCTGGTGCAAGGGCACTCCAGAAAGCTTTTCTAGTTTCTGCTAGCTGAAATTGGAATGAGTAGTCTGCCAAATATTGCACCTTGGGGATATGGGGATTGATGTAACTTTGCAACAAGAGCCATTTTAAGGAACTACATTGAACAAAATCCTAACCAAAAGTGCTGAAATGCCTGTGTTGTAGTTCTTAAATTAACAGCCTAGTTCAGCCTGCTAAACAGTGATATATGGATAAAGTCGGGGGGGGGGGGGAAGACACCCTTAGACTGTATAAGGAAGCCTTGTTCAGAAAACCAAAATGCCTTTATTGAAGTTTATACCTGATAACTACTTTTGTATACTGTTTAATCAACTTGCCAAGGAGGTAGTTGTTAATGTTATCTTGGTCAGACCATGTCAATAGCAGGACTGAAAGAGAGTCCCCATAACACACCTCTGCAAATCACAGAAAAGCAGGCCTCTTACTGTATATTAAGATCCTACTTTCACAAGGCTTGATTTTCATGGTCAAGAGATAGAGTACGAAATAAAGAGTTTAAAAGCAAGTAATATTTTGTTTATATATGTGATATTCTGTTTAATAAGTTTGTGCAACCCTACTGACACAAGGTTATTTTGCACTCACAGGTTATTTTAATGTGAATCTCTACATAGAATTAGGGCTATTCAATCATTCAGCATAAAAATAAAACATGAACAAAATATTCCACTCTTTCTATGAAGGATTTGCAATCTAAAACGTATTTTGTAAATGGTTTTAATTCTGCTTGATTTTTTTTTTCCATACAAAAATATACTTGGACAAATGGGAAAAAATGTGTGAACTAATACAGATGCCTTAATGTATCTAATTAGCTCTCTTGGAGGGAGTTTGCAATGAAGCTTACCTGTGGTGGTGATAAAAGAAACAAGATTTATAAAAAGCTTCAATAATTGCTAGATTTGGAAGGGAAGAAAATTACAATGATTCAGTTGTTCTCTCCTTATTAAAATACTTCTTATGCTTCATTATTTTTTTAAAAATATCAATGTTAATAAAACTGTTTAAAAAGTCATATTATTAATGAGTTTTTATTTATAAGGGAAGAGGACATTAACGCTGGGGTTACCATCTGAACTGTAAAAATCTAAATCCTCCTTAGATGGCAGCAAAGTGTGAGTCTCCTTTTTGTTGGATGTCATCTAGAGGTGATACGGATTTGTGCAATATTAAACAGATCACAAAGACAAAATTTTTACAATTTCTATTCAGAAGGTAGGAGACCACTTGCCTACTCAAATGCTGCCTTTCCCCCTAGATATATTTATATTTTCAGATCAAAAGATAAAAGATATTTGATGGACCTAGATTCCTTTTTCTTCTAATGTTCTAACGAAAGCAAGCATGAATGATGCTTGGAGACCATCAAGAGGAAGACACAAAAGTGACACTCAAATGTTGGGCTCTTGTGAGTATATTCAGGCTCTCTGCAGATAATAAAGTAACTCAAATCCACTAGCCTTGGACTGTAATTGGCCAGGCGAAGCTAGGGTGAGATACCCTAGCTTCGCCTGGCCAATACCTGGTGGTGTGATCTGGGCCTCTTCTGTGTCATGAATGCAGTTATAGGGAGATGATTCACAGATGGGCCTGTGCTGTAAGGTCAGCCTTTTTGATGAAGTTTTGCCTCCTGCCTTGAAAGAAGTTGTGGTGTGCCCCTTTCTCAAGATGCTGTCCTCGGACCCAATTGTGTTTGATAACTATTGACAAATCTCAATTTTACTCTTTCTGGGGAAGGTTGTTGAGAAAGTAGTCACCTTGCAGCTGCTGAGAACCCTGGAGGAATCTAGATTCCTTTCAGTAAGCTTTCAGACTGGGATTTAGTACTGAGGCAATGTTGTTCATGATAGTAAATAATCTGTGATAAAACCAGGATAGTAGCAGTGCATCCGTTCTGCTGCTGCTTGATCTGTTGATGGTTCTCAGTATTGTTGAAAAACTTAACTCTCATCTTTTGCTCCACTGTCCTATTCAAAACTACAGTCCTCCGTGAAATTGCTGGGGATTCTTCTAGTAAAATATGCAGTAAAGCAAATATTCAGCTATTTAACTTCATTAATGAACAGTGTGAGGAAGAAAGTTGGAAAAAGGGCTTGCTTTTGAACAATATTTGACAAGTTTTAAATTATGGGCCAAATTTATAAATTATTTTAACTTTATTTTTAACTGTGATGTTATGTATAGATGTTTTTATCTTGGCTGTTCACCGCCCTGAGTCTGAAAGGAGAAGGGCGGTATAGAAATTTGAATAACAAATAAATAAATAAATAAATAAATAATAAATAAATAAATAAATAAATAAATAAATAAATAAATATGTAAGTAACACCATCAGTTCAGTGAATATCAGGCCATTTTAGAAAGCAAATCCATTTAATTGTATAATTCTGTGCATTAGACAGCTACAAACTGTAGCTCCTAAACTTAATTCAGTTTAAGCAGATTTTATAATTATACTTCCCAGAGTTGATAGCATAAGCTGTCTCTTCCAATCCCATTGTACATTCATGCGGTATCTCACTGAAAGCAGCTTGGGGGAAAGTATTGCTTTCAGTCTAAAGCAAAAAGCCCTCCATCTAATGCACATTAAAAATTCATGAGCAAGGCATTAGCCACTTCACTAATGGCAGAGCAAATAGAGAATTCCTAAGGAACGGGGGAGTGTGGATGAAGAGAAGCAAGTAATTAGAAGGACTTGGATCCATGAAGCAAAGGCATCTGTACCTATTTCATTATTCTCCTTTCACAAGAATGTTCAGTCGACTCACCCAAGCAGAAGACCTGCAGCTGATTGCTGGATGTCCCTAAGCTTGTGTGAGCATGGCAGTTTGACAAAGCTATAACCACACAGCTTTCAGCATATCAGGGGCGGGTTTCAAAATCCGTCGTTACCGATTTGCTCATGGGAGCGCACGTGCAACACATCTGCACATGTGCAGAAGTGTCCGGGTGGGTGGGTGGAGCCTCCTGCCACTGCCGGTTTGCCTGATCCAGGGCGAACCAGTAGCAACCCATCACTGCTGCATACCACCCTATCCCAGGTTGAGCTAAGGTAGCATGACAACTGACCATCTTCTAGTCATCTCTTGGAAGGAGGCAATATAGTGTGCACTACAGTGCATCAAAGAAAGCTCTATTTGAGATTCATATTTAATGCCTTTACACAACAGTTCAGAAACTTGTTAATTCTATTATAAATGGTCGTCCATTTAAGTATGACCAGGAGCAGACATAAAACACAGTATGATGCTGTTATAGCTAAGCATTGTACTTTAACCTTTCTGTTCCCGTCTATTTACATGTAAATAAAATGTACCCAATGCCATAACATCCAAAATCAAGGAGCCACAATATGTGAAAGTGGCAGAATGATGTCTTCATCAAATCCTCTACAATTGTGGAAGGAACTAGTGATTTCAAGTGTGAGGAAAAAATGGGCAATTTTTTTCTCACAAATGAAGGCAAATATACATGTATCTTACTACACATTCTCTACATATTCCAGTAGAGAAGTTCCCTGAGATGGGATCCAGCACAAATCCGAAAGTGCAGAAGACTAAACCCAGTGGTCCCAATGACCAACCTAGATTGCACCCTGCAATATTTTTTTTCTATGTAATAGTCATATTTGAGCTTAATTAGGAAACCAGTGATGGAGGAATCATCAAGAGATGAAAGTGTTGTTTATCTGCATGCTTTATAAATAGAAAATAAGGCTCTCCCCCACCATCCTCTACAATTATATTCTAGACTACACAGAAATATACCGATGGGCATTGTACATCATATCCACGGCAGATGGTGCTGGGGTTGTCATACCTTTACAAATCTTTTTGCTAGTCTCAGAAAAACTACATTTAATATGTACTTCTTTGTAAATGTTTTCTCTTATTTACACTATAATTCCTAACAATCATAATATTAATTTTGTACATTTTATACATTGTCCTATAAACATTTTACATTTATAACGTCTCCCCTGTCATTCATATTCACTATTTCTAATCTCCAGCCAGTTGTACCATTTGTTCCATGTTCCATAATATTCTGTATCTTCCTTTTCTTTTTGTTAATCTGTCCATCTCAGCACACTCTAAGATTTTTTTTAATCAATGCTTCCTGTGTTGGTGTTTTTTATTTTCCAACTTCGTGCTTGTGAATATCAATTTTCTGATACTCGTGTGGCCGTTGTAATATGTAAAATCAAGTATTTTATTTCTTCAGTATATTTTCTAGTAAATATTCCTAATAAAAATGTCTCTGGTTTCCCATCAGTAGGTTGATCTGTTATTTTTTCCAGCCATTTCTTGATTTTAGCCTAAAACTTTTTTACAGTCGGACAAATCCACAAAGATGATATTATGTTCCATAGATCTTGTTGCATTTCTAGATGCAAAACTAGTGAGGAATAATTTCATTTTTAATATTACATCTGGATCAGGCAGGTATGAAATATTCAAGCACTTTCCAGTCCTGTTGATTTCAGAACAATTTCTGCTCATGTAAAAAATGGCAATAAAAAGTAGCTAAATTATTATAATAACTATATCCAGTTATATTCAGGAAAATGCCTGATGCCCTCTGCTGGTCGAACTGTAGATACGTGTTAATTGAAGAAGCACTGTTAAAACAACCTCTCCAAATCAAGTATTTTCAGATTTTTAAAAAAATGTCAACAGTGTAATACCGTGTTTCCCCCAAAATAAGACATGTCTGGATAATAAGCCCAATTGGGCTTTCAAGTGCATGCGGTAAAATAAGCCCCCCCTGAAAATAAGCCCCCCCTATACTTAGATGCATGCGCGCGGGGGAGAAGGGAGGGGAAACATCAGAGCTGCTGCCGCCCAACATCAGCAGGCCAGATTCGGTGAGCCCAACACACCACTACCACTCGGGAGAAGAGGAGAGAGAGGAGGCGCTGCAAGAGCACCTGGGCAGCGGCAGTGTGTTCAGCTCCCCAAATCTGACTTGCCGATCTTGGCTGGCAAGGGGGAGTAGCGGGTGGGGAGGGGTATGGCGGTAGAGAAGCAAGAATTCTGCTGCTCGCCCAAACCCCAGATCTCCTGTTTGCCCTGCAGGCTCTTCAAGAGGAAGGCGATCGAGCCAATCCGTGGCTTTTGCAATCCAAGCCAGTGCTTCTTCTCCTGCTCCCCTTTCCTCCCCCACCCCCAGCGGTGTGTAACTTGAGAACCAGCACCTTGGATTTTCTCTTTTAAACTCTTCCTGGCTGTCCTTTTGTTCTCTGCTTCGGCTCCAGGAGCTGCAACCAACCCCCATCCCACCCCATCCCTGGCTGGGGGTGTGTGCTCAGGAGAACTTCGGCAAGGCTGGTCGGGCGACCCTCGGGGCAGAGACCCTCACCCCGGCCCCCTTGGCCGCTTTGAGAGCGGCCGTGCAAGCCCAACCCAACCCAGCCCAGTCCAGCCACCCTCCTTGGTTGGCAGCTGGGGAAGTAGGGTGGGGGGAGAGAAGATCCAAGAAGACCCCGGGCTGCCCTGCCGCGTTATTCCTGCTCATTCACCCACCTTTCACACGTTGCCTCGGTCCAGAGACAAGATCCCTCCCTGACCGCTGTCCCCCCCGATTTCCCACAATCCTTTCTCCGAAAGCTTGCCAGAGCTTACTTGCTTGCATACAGTCTTGCCAGAAATGCCGCCTCTTTCCCGCTTTGTGCTCCGGAGCCTTTCTCACCCAGAATGCCATGGACCCTGGTGGAGCTGGCTGGAGATGCACCGGCTGATGTCAGCCATGGGCGAGCCTGAGAAGACATGTGTTGTTGGCCTTCATGCCCCACACCATGTGAGCCCCGCTCGCTTCCCTTTTGACCTCATCCACACCGGGCATCACCTCGGCTCGAGAGTTGGACTCGGGACTCTCCTCCAGGACGTCCCTCCACCCAACCGAGCCCTGCCAACTTTACGGGAGTGGGGTGGTGGTGATAGAAGAAAGTTTCTGGGCATTGGGGAGCTGCCACAATTGCTAGAGGCAGTAGCCTTAGCAGCACTGGCAGAGCAGGTGGTCGCGCTCCGGCACCAGTCCCCCTGCCAGGGGCCGAGGTTTTGAGGTCCTGCACCTCAAAAATAATAAGACGCCCCCCTGATAATAAGGCCATATTTCAGGGGTCAAAAGAAAACAAGACCCTGTCTTATTTTCGGAGAAACACGGTATGATGATAGATGATGAGGGAAGGAGGATAGAGATAGATAGATAGATAGATAGATAGATAGATAGATAGATAGATGATAGATAGATAGATAGATAGATAGATAGATAGATAGATAGATGTGATAGCAGATCAAAGTGCTCCAGACCTAACAGGCATTAGGAGTATAGTTTGACTTCAGTAAGTAATTTGAAATAAAGTGATCTGACAAGAGAACACCCTCAACTTAGTTTAGACTTTTAAAAAAGATGAGTAAAAGAATGACTTTCCAGTAAAGCCAGTGTAATCTAGTGGTTAAGGCACCAGGCTAGAAAATTGGAGATCCTGCATTAAAGTCCCATTTTAGCTATGAAAGTGGCTACGTGACTCACTTTCTCTCAGCCAAAACCACCTGGGGTGGGGGGGGGGATTGTGGGGAAAATTGGGGAGGGAGGAGTATTAAGTAATAAATAATATTTTTATTACAATCACAGACTATCATTACAAATATGAAGCATTAAAAAATAAAAAGACAAGATAGGTATATGACAGTGGTGACTGGTCAATGGGCAAAGTCTGCCTAATTTTGCTGACGATATTTCAAAATTTAGCAACATGCAAAAAAATCCAGTAACAGCAATTGTACATGCGAGATTGGCTTTCCCAGGTATTGTATCAGGTAAGGTGTTATGAGATGAATCTCTCAGTCCTTATATAGAAGGTACAGTATAGCAGGGCGTAAACTGTAGCTTCGACAGCTCCTCGTCCACAGGGACAATCTCGACTCCTATGGAATTTTTTTAAGTATATATATATATTTGATTTGATTTATATGCCGCCGTTCTCCAGAGACTCAGGGTGGCTTACAATGCATTAAGTAATAGCCTTCATACTTTTGTATATTTATACAAAGTCAGTTTATTGCCCCCACAATCCGGGTCCTCATTTTACCTACCTTAGAAAGGATGGAAGGCTGAGTCAACCTTGAGCCTGGTGAGATTCGAACTGGCAGTAATTGCAGGCAGCTGATGTTAATAACAGTGTCTTTAGTCTGCTGCTCCACCAGGGCTCATTATCCTCCCTAAATATCCTCCCTCAAAGGCTGCTGTGGGAAATGCATTGCAGCGGCCTAAAAAGTCAGTGCCCTACAGAGTTCGGGGGAATATTAGGTATCTTCCCCACCTTCTGTGTTATGTATAAAAAAAATAATAAAGGCGGGATTTTTTTAAAAAAAAAAATCTTTTCAAAAATCTATTAACTGTTGTTTTAACTTCACCCAGAGGTGAGGTTTCTTCGGAGGAAGCGCTTATGCCGCTGAAAATGCAGAATGACGCGCAAAAAAAAATAAAAAATCAAGGGAGACTTTGGGAAGCACCGCACTGGTTGAACGTCTTCCCTGTTTCGGGTGAAGGGAAAGCGCAAGGAACACGGTTTCCTCCTTTCCTCGCCTTGGTCGGGGCCCAAAGGGTGGGCGGCGCTTGTGCGGCCCCAAACACAGACACACACACACACCGAGCGACGCGAGTGGGTCGGCCGGAGCTCCTTTGCCCGGCCATGGGCGCCCCCTCGCCCGCTTCCTACTCCGCCTGCTTTCTCAGCGGCTTTCTCCTGGCGGCCGCGTTACCTTCCTTAGGAACAGACGGTAAGAGAATGTGGGGCGGTGCCGAAGCGCTGCTTTGGGAATCCCCCTGAGGCTCTTTATAGCGGCCGCCTTTTGGAAATGCGCGCCTTGACCTCCGGCAGGCGCTGCGCTGCCTTTGCCACCCAGAGTGAACTGCGCGCACGAGGCAGAAACTCTGCAGGAGAGGGAGCTTCAAGGCGCTTCAACCTTCGGGCGCTGCCTTTCCACAGTGTTTTCTCGCTTTCTTTCTCTCAGGACGGGGCTAGGGAAGGGGAGGGGGCGTTCCTCTATGCCGTGCGGAACCCTTGTTTTTTGCTTACACCTCCCTTTATAGGGCAGAAAACACCCAGGCGGTCAAATGTTTCCCCACTTCTTTGGCGCAGGATCAAATATCAGTTCTCCAAATCAGGGGGCTGCTGCAAGGCCTTTTTTAATGGTTATTTAAATGCCCCACAACTGTGGGGTAGGAGAGGGAGGGGAAGGGGGGAGAAAGAGGAAGACGTGTCTGATTGATCTGTTAAGACTGGAGTGAAACTTTAGGATTTGCAGAGGAGAAAGAATACTGCTTCCTCCTGTTTTTCATTCGCCACAAGAATCTTAATTCAGTAAAATGACAGGCAGATCAGTGTCCTGTTTCGTCCATAAGAAGATGAGAAAATTGCATTTGGTTGGGAGGCAGTTTTGTACTTTTTGGCTTATGTACAGTTGTTTATTTATTTATTTATTTATTTATTTTTGAATTTGTATACCGCCCTTCTCCCTGAGGACTCAGGGCGGTGAACAGCCAAATAAAAACATCAAATACAAATATTAAAATACAGTTAAAAAATATATATAAATTTGGCCCCATTAATTAAAACAATAAACCAAACAATTAAAAAACATGTAAAAAGAATTAGGCCAGCCCGGCTTGTTGGGCAACATAAGAACACAAGCAAGGCTTTCGGGCAGAGGGCCTAAAATAAATATTTATGTAGTTAAATCTGCAGTAAATCCAATCAAAGCCTCTGTTAAATTGAGCTTGACTCCTGTGCATTCATGGGTCCCAGATCTGGCTAATAATACAGAAGTGGATCACCATTTTCTTCTTCTGGAAAGGTTTTTTTTTTTCTCAATTTCATGGACTAGCCTGCAGCCTAATGGTCTCCCATCTAAGCACTACTTATGCTCAACCATACTACTAGCCTTTCTTTCAGGTCAACCAAGGTTGGTAAAGTCCTGTTGTGACTAGAATAAAATCTGCTGTTTGATTAACCAGTTTCAAAATTAGAGGATGACTTGGATTATGTGGAAGTGGATGATTTAGGAAAATTAGTCAATGTTTGAAAGAAAGAAAAACAAGGGGGAGGGGAGATTTACTAGGGAAGGAGGTGTTTTTGTTTTTTTTAAAAAAATTGCCTAGATGATTAACTAGGCACTATCTTCTTTATTTATTCTCCACTAGAGCTATGTTACATCCAAGATGACTTTAGCAATAAGGAGACATTGGTTTTTATCCAGAAACAGCGAGTGGACTGTACTGAAATTTGTATGCTAGGTTTGTGAAATAGGTGTGAAGTTAACTTTCCAGAGTCTTCTCTTCTACCAAGGAAAAACAAAACACTTTCTTCAAATCAGGTATATTTGTCCTCTCAGTGCTAGAAAACATCGTTTTCAGGCCTAGGACTGTCATTTTTCTGTTCATTATCAATCCACCTCATTCTTTTTTATTACTGACCTTATTGCTCTTTGTGGCTAGTACTGCCCACTCACAAGACTTAGGGTGGTGTATAGCACAAAAAGATCACAAAAAAATTCATCAATCCACATCCTTGAAGAGAGAGGGATTGTGCTGAATAAAGTGGTGTCTGGTATTCTGGAGCTGTACCACTACAAGGGGCTGTATAGGTATTGAATAGGACTTTGGATTTGGCCCAGAAGCCCATTGGCAACCAGTCCAACAATGGCAAAATAGATGTTTCTCTGGAACAGGTCTCCTCTCTTAATCTCCTGGCCCTGGCATTTCCAGCAAAACTTCTTGATCTCAGAGGCATCTCCATGTAAACCATCTTGCAATAATCAGTTGCATAGTGATAAGGATAATAAAGTCATAAAGTCATCACTACCAAGTCTTTTCTAAGACGTTTTCTAAGCAAGAGATCTGTATCTGTGTTTAAAGAGAATTTTGGCTTGTACTGACTCCCTCCTGTTTTGCAGAAGCAGATTCATATGTGCTGGCACCCAGATTGTGTTGCTTCTGTGTGAAACTGGTTGCTAAACTGGGGTGTACCCTCTTGAAATGCTAACAATAACATGGTTATTATTGAATTACTAGCCCATCCTTGAAGGCATAGTGCTAAACTCCAAGGACAACAAGTCATAAAATATGACTGCATGTTTTCTGAAGAGTTTGGTGAAGCATTTTATTTTGAATGAATCAAACACATACACAGACACATATCTTCAGCTACCACAGGATTGTAGGATTAATCTGATATTTAGCTAGGGACAGTATTGCTCTTTTTATTATATGTGTTTATTTTCCTTATCCTGGTCATGACATGACATAAGATTTCTCTGCCACTTTTTTCCCTCAGATAGAATCTACATTCACAAATTGCTCTTGTTTAGGGCTTACCATTTTGTATTTTATTTTTAGGCAGATCTCTGTGAAGTCCCTTTAATTCTGTTAAAATTAGCCTTCTAATTTTTGACCTACCCTTCTCCTGCCTGGTATTTTTTGTTACAGTCCCCATAATCCAGATTCTGTTGTTGCTGGCTAGACAATGTGAGACTTATAGTCTAAACCACATAGAGAAAATTTAGATGGGAAAACTCATATAGATGCAATGTTTTTAATTTGAAAGGAAGATTAATATTAATTAATTGGGAAGGCAATATTATAAAAATGGAAACGTATATACATTTTAAGCCCTGAAAAGAAAGAAAGGTACATCAGAAAGGGCTAAAATTATAGCCATAATCTTAACATAGGAGATGGCATTCTCCTCCTACTCCAAAAGGAGCGGGGAGTCACATCCACCATTTTGTGCATGCCTGTTCTGCAAAATCTTCCTGCCTGAGTCCTCCTTTCCTTGTCAGTCACTGATCAAGGTCAAGTGGAAGGTTTTGGGTGAACAAGGCAGGAGTAGTTTCCTGATGAGCAATGATTCCTAAATGGCCCCTTTAGGATGGATAGGCAGCAATCAGTTTACTTAGGTTTCCTTTTACTACTAATTTTCTAAACTTTACCTCTTGAACTGAAATTCCAGAATTTATTTTTTTAACTTAATTTATTTGGATTATTATATGCATTCTTAAGCATATAATAATCCAAATAAGGCCATGTAGATAAATTTTGTTTGTTATTGGGACGCTAACTCCATGCTCACATACCAGCGGGCAAATATTTTTATCAAGTTGTACAACTGCACAAACATTTTTAATTAGACATGCTGTTTTATTCTTCCATTATTTTTTCCCTTCCCTTCTAACTAATTGCTGTATTAAACTCTTCCTCCTTTTACTGTAGTCTTTTATTGTTAAGGCTGGTCCAAGAACATAAGCTATTTGATTTGAAATTTGATCCGGTCCACCTCTTACATAACATGTAATCCTGACCTTAGTGCCTTATGTCTAAGCAGGACATGCAGCAAAATTTCTGCCCATTTGTTATACCCTGGATTGTTAGGGTTCCTATTCCCATGGAACATACCTGTAAGAAAGTTATATGTGCAATTATGCAAATTTTACACAAAAGATCATTGGGTGAATCTTATACATGCAATTTAATGAAGTGGGTGGGAGGATCTTTATAGAGTTTAATTAGCTTCCACCATCACATTAAACTAAGATTAGACATAGTGATATTACCAAGAACTTCTGAAAATAAAAATGACTTGAGCTTGGTTCTTGGGGATTACATATAGTTTCTGGCAATAATAAGAAAATGGTGTGCCTTCTTTTGGAGTGCTTTTACAACTTTCCCAGACAACTGGGACCTAATTTCTTAATGGTTTCCCATCCAGTTTGACCCTGCTTTATTCTTCAAGATCAGCCAAAATCTGTTAAGTAATTCTGGAGATAGATGCATTTAAATGCTAGATATAATAGATCTAGCTATAGATAAAGATAGCTAGATCTTTATCAATTGAATACCAAGATTAATATGATTACAAAATAGTACAGTTGATTTGAAAACTAAAATAAAAATGAATGTGAAAAGTATGATGCAATTAAACATGGGACGAAACAACAAGCAAGCACACATACATCAAAATAGCTGCAATGAATGTTAAAAGCTGTAACGTGTATTTTATCCAAAGGGAAGAGTCTCAAGAATAAAGTTATAGTTAAATTGTTCTTTAAAGCTAAAAAGCAAAGGTTGTTTTGGGTTGCTAGGTCTGGGAAAGGAAGATTCACTTTTTTTGCAACCAAACCCTTCCCTTTTTCTAGAAGCTATTTGTTTCACTAAAGAAATAAGTGCCTGAAGGTCACACTTAACCCTTCTTCACAAAAAAATGGACAGCAGTTTAATGTTTAATATTGCAGTTAATCTCAGTTATTTCAAATCTGATTAGGTTGTGCCCAATTTGTCTTGAATGCTGTATGAACATTTGGAGAAACTCATTTCACTTCATTTGTATGTTGTGAAGCTGGGACTGACAACAGAAACAGATGGTCTCATGTTCTCTTCCTTGTTTAGCCTGCCCTTCCATTGCTTGGATTCCATTCCAAAAGAGCTGCTATGTTCTACTTCAGGGATCCTCAGGGGTCTACGGTATGGATGATGCCAGGGAGCTGTGCCAAGGCAATGGTAAGACAGCTCTTCTCCGTCCAATCTCAACCCAACCTTGTGTGATGCAATGAGACCAATCAGCTGAGCCTACATGAGCAGGAACTGAGGGTCCCTTCAACATCTGAATGTCTGTTTGCCATTTTGAAAAATGTTAGTATTCACAGTAGTTAACAGATCATGTTACATTACTTGTTCAGGAGCCGAGGGTACAGCAGGGAAAGCTCTTGGGTTTCTATGGTTGATCCCATTCAATTTCATTCTATTGCTGGGGAATGCAAACTTTCCCAAGTGCATTGACCTAGCATGCTTGTATACTGTCAATCATTTCTAATGCTGGAGACAGAGAGAGCTGCTATTTCATTGATTTCTACCCCAGAATTTTCCAGACTGTTTATTTTAGGAAAATCTCTTGGCATTATCTGTCATGCAGCACAAGTGTGTACATGCATGCACATGCATCCTTAAGTACTGCAGAGAGTGTTGATGTTTTTGGAAGCCAAAAATAGGCCAGTAATTGTATAATAAAATAACTGAACTTGTCTATTGAGTTTATATTCATCTTTTCATATGGCCAGGATGATCAAGGCTAACAATATTATTATTGTTGTTGTTATTGTTGTTATTGTTGTTGTTGTTATTATTATGTTATTTATATACCTCCCTTCTCCCGAAGGACTCGGGGCGGTGTACAGCCAGAATTAAAACATAAATATACAATATCATAGTTAAAATTAATTAATTAATTAAAAATTAATTAAAATCATTAAATAGTTTTGGCCGAATTTTAAAACCCAAAATTAAAACCCAATTTAAAATCATTCAGTTAGACAGCCCCGCCTGTTGGAACAGTAGGGTCTTGAGGGCACAGCGAAAGACCCGGAGGTCAGAGATGTTACGAATATCCGGGGGCAATTCATTCCAAAGGGCAGGAGCTCCGACAGAGAAGGCTCTCCTCCTGGGTGTCGCCAACCTACATAACTTGGTCGACGGTACCGAGGAGTCCCTCTCTGTGGGAGTGAACTGGTCAGTGAAAGGCTGTTGGTGGCAGAAGGCGGTCCTGTAGATATCCTGGTCCCATGCCATGGAGCGCTTTAAAGGTGGTGACCAACATCTTGAATTGCACTCGGAAGACCATTGGGAGCCAGTGCAGCTCAAGCAGGAGAGGTGTTACATGGGCATAACGAGGTGCGCCCATAACCACCCGCGTGGCCGCATTCTGGACGAGTTGGAGCCTCCTAGTGCTCTTCAAGGGGAGCCCCATGTAGAGAGCATTACAATAGTCCAGATGGGAGGTGACGAGGGCGTGAGTGACCGTGCGCAAGGCGTCCCGGTCCAGAAAGGGACGCAACTGGCGGATCAGGCGAACCTGATAAAAAGCCCCCCTGGCTACGGCCATCATATGCTCTTCTAAAGACAGCCGTGAGTCCAGGAGGACACCCTGATTGCGGGCCCTCTCTGTGGGGTGCAAAGATTCACCCCCAATAGTCAGCGATGGCACCAGCTGACTATACCAGGACGCCAGGAGCCACAGCCACTCAGTCTTGGAAGGGTTGAGCTTGAGCCTATTTCTCCCCATCCAGACCCACACGGCCTCCAGGCAGTGGGACATCACATCAAGGGCATCATTGGGGTGTTTGGGGTGGAGATGTACAGCTGGGTGTCATCAGCGTACTGGTGGACTCTCACCCCAAAACCACGGATGATCTCACCCAGCGGCTTCACATAAATGTTGAACAGAAGAGGCGAGAGGACCAACCCCTGTGGCACCCCCCCAAGCGAGGCGCCTTGAGGTCAACCTCTGCCCCCCTGCCGGGGAAGCTGTCGTGCCACCACGCTCTCAACAACCTATGCCACAAAACGAAGGTTGGAGACCGGACGGTAGTTGGCTAATTCAGCCGGGTCCAGGGAGGGCTTCTTGAGGAGGGGCCTCACTACCGCCTCTTTCAAGGCGGCAGGAAAGGCACCCTCACTCAGTGACGCACTTATAATTCCCTGGAGCCAGCCTCATGTAACCTCCCAGGAGGCCAGTACCAACCAGGAGGGACACGGGTCCAATAAACATGTGGCAGCACTAAGCCTACCCAGAATCCTGTCCACGTCCTCGGGAGCCACGGGGTCAAACTCTTCCCAGATAATATTCTCAAGACTCACCCCCATCTCCCTCCCTGGATTCACCCAGTCGGAGTCCAAGCCTTCCCGAATCTGAGCGACTTTATCATGCAGGAATTGCACAAAATCCTCAGCTCGACACTGCAAGGGATCTTCCTGCACTCCCACCCGAAGGAGGGAGTGGGTCACCCTAAACAGAGCTGCTGGACGGTTCTCTGCAGATGCGATAAGAGCGGAAAAATAGTTAGATTTTGCCGCTTTTATCACCACTAGGTAGGTCTTGATATAAGACCTCACCTGTGTCCGGTCAGATTCGGATTGACTAGTCCTCCAAACACTCTCTAGGCGTCTTTTCCAATGCTTCATCTCTCTCAGCTCCTCGGAGAACCAAGGAGCCAACTGAGGTCGGCATCGGGTCAGAGGCCGCAAAGGCACGACACGGTCCCGGCCGCACTATCCCAGGCGGCCACCAGGTCTTCAGTCAAGTCGTGTGCCAGAGTCTCAGGAAACGGCCCAAGCTCCATCTGGAACCTTTCGGGATCCATCAGGCGCCTGGGACGGAACCATCTAGTCAGTTCCGTCTCCCTGCTGCGGGGGGAAGTGGCTTGAAAGTCTAAGTGAAGGAGCGAATGATCTGTCCATGACAAGGGTTTAATGTCTAGGTCCCCTCTACCAAGAACATTCAGCCACTGACCAGAGATCATCAAGTCAAGTCCAGAGTGTGTCCCCCTGTGTGAGTGGGGTCTTGCACTAACTGGGTCAGGTCCATGGCCGTCATGGAAGCCATGAACTCCCGAGCCACCTCTGACGTCTCACCGACGGATGGCAGGTTGAAGTCCCCCATAACAATAAGTCGGGGGGTATCAACCGCCACCCCAATATACCAAATGAACTGCAGCATTTACTCCCATTCACATGAACTGACACTCAGCCCTATTTTTTGTCTTTATTTCCTAAATGCAGCTTCCGGAGCGGATATTATTACTATAAATAGCAAAGATGAAAATACCTTTATTCTAAGTAATTTTCGCTCAAATTGGCATGGTCCAGAATACATATCTCTTGGCATGTTTTTTGACACAGATGGTAAGTGAACAAATCCTGTTAGACATAGGCTTCACCTTTTCTCAATTTTTGAACTACATTTGCATTAAGAACTATCCTTCCTTTCTTAAGATAAAAAAGCTTTCTAGATGTAATTTCTATAAGAACTCTCTTGTTCTGGGTTTGGAAAATGGGCCTGATGAAATTCAGAGAGAATTGTGAATGCAAAGCCTAGAGGAACAACACTAGGGGTGCAGAATGAATACAGGGGTGAGGCCTCTGTATTCAATGGGACAGATGCAAGAAAAGTGAAATAGGCTGACAGACTTTTACCAGGAGGAAATCTAAGTGTTATCTGCTATTGATAAAGGGTACAATTGCTATTTATAAAGGGCTGTTCCTGGCTATCATTGTATCAGGGCTGATGTATTTAAGGCAATGGGCAAAAAATTCCTCCCTAAAGCTTTCTGCTGTTTCTCTTTAAAGCAGGAACCTAAACTGTGTTTTTTTTTAAAAAAACTAAAATTAAAACCACATTAGTAAATGATCGAGTCAATGTAAATTTTTACTTTGGCTCATGTTTATGAAGCAAACAAAAATAAATGTACATTTATTGTATTGCAGATAATATTTTCAAATGGTATGATGATTCCAAAGTAAATTTTACAAACTGGATAGAGGAAGAAAGTAACAATGAACTTCTAAACACTTGTGCTACTATGCATACGGCTTCAGGTGGATGGAAAAAAGTCTCCTGTGAACATCTTCCACTGACTAAGATCCTGTGTGAAACTACTGGTATGTAAGAGCCATGCTACAACATTGCCTTCATCAATTACCAGTCATCATGGTCATTAAACTTAATCCCAGGGTCATTTTATTCTTATACTGTCATATATGCATAATTATGATAACATTAATTAAAAATGAATGCAAATGAATTCAAGAGAAACTGGAAACAGTACTCTATCTTGCTATTGGGCTTTTCACATAGCAGAACAAGCAAGGTAGATGCAAGAAAAATTACCCACTACTTTCTTATTAAGGAGCTTAGTCACAACTCTGGTAGGGTTATTGCTAAATGTCTTCCCCATTACCACATTTAGGAAACAAATTCTTTTGATTATTCCTACAGCAAGCCTAATTAGGAAAAATGCTTTTAAGAAGGCGTTTTTAACAAAGCAGTTGCCAAAGATTAATTCAATAAGACATTGGTTTGGGTGTCTCCTGATTCCAGCACTGAAACTGAATAGACTTCAAGACTTAATTATTCACATTCTAGGTTTTCTAAAGTTTTAACTGGGTCAATAATTGCCTCATAATGAAAACGAACTGTACCTTTCCTATCAGTATCAAAATTCTTATCATGGTGATATATCCCCAGGTCATATCTCATCAGCGCAATGCTGTTTTCAAATGACTGGTGAAGGATTCTTGCTTGGGGAATTTTTTAGAGAATACTCTTCATTATTAATGGTGTTCTATCTAATATCAATATATTAGATGTGGTTATGGGGGTGACTCGGCGCTCCCATGTAACACCTCTCCTGCACGAGCTGCACTGGCTCCCGGTGGTCTTCCAGGTGCGCTTCAAGGTATTGGTTACCATTGGTTACCATCTTTAGAGCGCTCCATGGCTTAGGATCTGGGTATTTACGAGACCACCTTCTGCCACCAATAGCCTCCCACCGACCAGTACGCTCCCACAGAAAGGGGCTCCTCAGGGTGCCGTCGGTCAAACAATGTTGACTGGCGGCCCCCAGGGGGAGAGTCTTCTCTGTGGGGGCACCTACCCTCTGGAATGAGCTGCCCCCAGAGATACGGCAGATCCCGGATCTTGGCACCTTTCGCCATTCCCTAAAGACATTTTTATTCCAGCAAGCCGGGCTGGCCTAACTCTTTTAAATTGTTTTAATTCTTAAATTGTTAATTATCGGTCTTAATATAGGGGTGTTTTAATTGTGGGCCAAATTAATTTAATTGGATTTTAATACTGTTTTTAAATTTTGTATTTTTTGTGTTTTATCTTGGCTGTTCACCGCCCCGAGTCCTTTGGGAGAAGGGCAGTATATAAATATAAACAAACAAACAAACAAACAAATAAATCATTACAATGAAAACAAGAGGTTATATGTCCTTTTAGAAATTATGCAAACCACATTTCATTCATTTCCTATTCACAAACATACTCGAGTCATATGGTATTTGGTTTACTATGCTAGCACATGAATAAACACTAGAATCAAACTGTAGTCCGTAGACCCATGTGGATGAACAGTACTGTACCTGCATTTGAATAACCAATTTACATCCACAATTTCCATTTCCAAGGAGATCCACGCACAGAAATTATTTCAAATGAATTTCACCCCCCCATCCACCTGCACACACACTTTTGAATGAGCAGGTTTTTCAGTTTTTATATTGATCACTGTTATTTGGTCACTGTGGCTTATTACCAACTATTGGATAGTAATTATTTTCACTACTTCTCTACAATAGTAAAATGTAGAATTTTTTTTAAAAAAATAAGTACATCCAAATTAATATGTTCTCATTTTTTTCTTCTATATATTGAAGTTCTTTATGAAAAGACACACTTATTTGGTGAGTAATCCACTTTTTTTTCTTTATATTGTCTAGCAATGAAACAGTGCTAAGATAGTGTCTTTTTATTTCAGAGTTTTCTTTTTCAGGAAATAACATCATGGATTGGTTTCATGTGTGGCTATAATTAACAGCAGGTCCATCAATGTAATTAAGCCGTGACTAATTAATTCATCCCACTGATTTTAATAGACCTTTTCTAAGCAAGGAATTATCATTGTGTATTCTATCTGGATATGCAAGAAGCTGTATTAAAGATATCCATTCACTGTTAAATGTCACTGATTCCCCACATTTTTGTTGCCATTTGCCTGGTACATATTGGAGAATTTGTTTATATCATGGGGACAGGCCTACTGGAAGCTGCATCAGTCAGGATGACATGGAAAATCAGAGCTCCGTAAAGGCAGTAACTCAACCATTTTTCAAGCTTATTAAAATTCTTATTAGACTAATTAAATGATAGGGTGAAAAGGATAAAATTATATTTGGTGCATTCTAAAATGGCAAATGTGAGCATAAGGAAGTAAGGAAGCTAGTTTGTGTGCATCAGCATAATGAAACATGCCTCAGCAGTATAAGTTACTTACCATATATGTAGGACTAAGTAATACAGATAGTTCTTAACTTACAATTGAATGCAAAATTTTCTTTACTAAGCAACAGAATTGAGTTTTGCTCCATTTTATGGCCTTTTTTTGCCACAGTTGTTAAGTGAATCATGCAGTCATTAAGCAAATCTGGCTTCCCCATTGACTTTGCTTGTCAGAAGCTGCCTAGAAAGAGTATAAATAGTACTCACATGACCCTGGGATAGTGCAACTGTCCTAAATATGTGCCAGGTGCCAAGCAACCAAACTTCGATCACATAATGAGCCTTGGTAGTACAGTGGTCTAAAGCACCCTGTTATTAACACAGCTGCCTGCAATTACTGCAGGTTCGAATCTTACCAGGCTCAAGGTTGACTCAGCCTGCCATCCTTTCTAAGGTAGGTTAAATGAGGACCCAGTTTGTGGGGGCAATAAGCTGACTTTGTATGAATATACAAAAGTATGAAGGCTATTGCTTAACGCATTGTAAGCCGCCCTGAGTCTCCGGAAAAGGGCGGCATATAAATAAATAAATAAAAAAAACTATGGGGATGCTGCATCAGTTCTGTGTGAAAACCGATCATGTCACTTTTTTCAATGCCATTGTAACTTCAAATGGTCACTAAATGAATGGTTGTAATCTTTGGACAATACAGGCTCCTTTGCTAAGAAATAGAGGTGAGTGCTGCCCCCTAGAGGCAGACACGATTGGACAGGGAAACCTTTACCCTTTTTTTTAAGTCGAGGACTACCTATATAGAAATTAATAAGTGACATGGTAACATTAAAGTATTAAGGAAACATTTCTAGATCTGTTTATAATCTCAAGTAATTCCCCACATCCTAGAGAACTAGGATTATGGTCTATTGATCTGTAGCTGCTCTATCAAAGAGCCATGGTGGCGCAGTGGTTAGAATGCAGTATTGCAGGCTAATTCTGCAGACTGCCAGCAATTAGATCCTGATGGGCTTGAGGTTGACTCAGCCTTCCATCCTTCCGAGGTCGGTAAAGTGGGGACCCAGATTGTTGGGGGCAATTTACTGACTCTGTAAACAGCTTAGAGGGCTGTAAAGCACTGTGAAGCGACATATAAGTCTAAGTGCTAGTAATATCTTAAGTCTATGGAGATTTTCAGTAATCCAGATATAATTAAAATATCTTAAAAGATTTACTAGATAAATAAAAAGCTGTGTATAAGCCAATCAGGGAAATGGTCTAGTCATATCAGAATGTTATAACAGCTGAGAAATATTTGTAATTGCAGAAAACAACATATCTGATTTATTATGTACTTTTCTTGTGTCGTTTCAGAAACTGCTTGGACAAGCATCATAGTCATAATATCAACAATAACTCTGGCAATCTCTGCAGCATTTCTCTGGTTTCTTTATCAAAGGAGGATATCTTCTAGACCAAGTTGTAGCATACATAATTTCATCACTCAAATTCCATGTGACAATGAAACATTTTTTATAGATGAAGATGAATATTCTGCTTAAACTGTTTTCATTTAGATACTGTTATAGAAAGGGGCTCTGGCACAAAAGCAATCTTCAAAACCACTATCCTATATTCTAATGAAATATAAACCAAATGATGTTTATTTGTTAAATTGTTTTACGTATATGAGGTGATTATCTAAATGTGCATTTTTCAACATGCTTAATATCCTTTTAATAATATCTATAGTTTAGAAATCATTCTTATCCAAAATGCCCAAAGATCCTTTGGAAGGAAGAAGCTCCTGCATTCAACACTGCTAAATTTATTCAGGTGAGACATTTGCCAACAACTCACAGCACTCATTTGTTTATGAAGTTCAGATTTCCAATTGTGGACTAAAAGTCTCTACCAAAACTCTATCTTTTCCAAAATTTTAAAATGCAAGACTGTAAAATATTATCTTTTAAGAAATGTGGAGCAACTGCAATGAACAATGGACAGGACAATTTATTAAAACCTGTAGATTGTATTTTTATCATGAAGTCTGCTTATTTTCCAAGTGAATGTCTACAATTTTTTTAATATTAACAAAATACGGAACTATGGCAAGGACCTTCAACACAATCCCTGTCTTTTTATATATGTCTATTTTAATATTCTGTTCTTTGAAATAAAATTTTGATTATCAATATTTGCACTTTTTGGAACTCGAATAAAAGCGATAACTAAAATGGCCCTTTCTAGAATTGCATACATAAAGCAATTCAGTATTTACAATTAGACTATCAATTACTGATAGGCACGTGGTGTTTGAGAATTACTGCTTATATACAAGAGGCTGAATAAGATATTAAACAACATTATTCAATGGTTGCCTCATGTTATATTGCAGGCGGAAATCTATCTAGCATTGATCACAATTAGGCTAAAATATAAATACATATATTTCTATATGAATGAGCATTATATCAAGATAATCATTTGGATGGTTGAATATGTGTATCACATCTTTACTACGCTAGCTGACCTTTATAATTTAGATAATTACATGCCTCTCTGTGCCAGAGAAAAGGCCATATTTGTTAAATAGGTCTAATGTCCCTCCCATCTCTCCTAAATTAATTATAGTCAATTTTTTCATAAACAAAAGGGAAGAGGATGTAGAAGAATGTAGCTCAGAACATTGTAATGTTTTTTGCTCTTAATCGTCTATTTTTTTTTCAAAATGAGGTACTAGCCTTCATAGGCAACACTTTTCAGATTACAGCTCCCTGCAGCAAATACAGATTTTCTGTAGAACAAAAAACAAAGACTCAAAATAAGTAAAAAAAAAATATTGACATTACTTGCTCTCCCTTTTAACTTTTCCCTAAGATTGGCCTTCATATCTCTATTCCACTATTTCAAAAAATAGCAGGTAACAGTAGAAAATACACAAACTCTGATCTGCAGTTTTAAAGCATTGAATATGGTATTGTTCACCAAGTTATTAATCTTTCTTGAAATAAAACAAAAACCTGTTCTCCTACGAAAACTGTACTGTAGTGATCCATTGGCTAAGGGTGTCTTAGAACTTCTATATATACAGAACTTCTATATATACAGACAGTCCTTATTTAGTGATTGAACAGGTCATATTCAGTTATAATTGTGTTGAAGAAATGACTTTTCAACCAATCCTTGTATTTACAATTTTTGCAGCTTCAGCAAAGGAAAGCTGAAATAAGATAAGCAGAGTTGCAGTTTCACTCAGCAACCACTTTATTTAACAAGTTGCCAGTTCTAAATGTAGTCACTAAAAAAGGACCACCTGTACTCTATTTACAGTTGGGCAAAGTTGCCAACCAATGAATATCCAGCTGTATTCTATTAACTAAGATTCATAGAGGTAGTCCTTGGTTTGCAATCATAATTGGGACTAGAATTTCTGTTAAGCAAGGCAGTTGTTAAATGAGTCGCGCTTGATTTTACAACCTTTTTTGTCACATTAAGCAAATCCCTTTAGTCATTAAGCGAATCAGGCTTCCCCCACTGACTTTGCTTGTCGGAAGCTGGCTAGGAAGGCCACAAATGATGATCACATGACCAAATGTCATATCTATTGGTTGCCAAATGCCTACATTTGATTATATGACTTTAAAGACGCTGTGATGGTTGCAAATGCAAGGACCGATTGTCACTTTTTTCAGTGCCATTATAACCTTAAAAGGTCACTAGATGAATGGTTGTAAGTCAAGGACTATTTGTGTACAAAGAAATATTCAACTCTACACAGGAGTAATATGGAACAACTGCTTGAGTGCAACAAGGATTTTTTAGATGCAAAGAATTCTGTGTGAGCTGAAACTCTAGTGGGAATTCTTAACTCTAAATGGGATTATTATGTGGAAGGAATAAGGTAGCACAATGTACTTTGGATGACAGTTTTACGACTTTAGTTGGATCAGGACTGCATTGCATTGCCCCTTCTCCCACTCCCTCTTTGAATCTCAAGCAACTCATCTTGAAGTAGTCAAAAGGATAAGTGAAGCAATATGAATGTATTTTATATGAATGCATCTGCAAAGAATATTCTGAAGTTTAAAATGGATGTTGATTTGGAGTAACTAGACTACGTTCTACAGGTCGTAGGTCTTCCTTGATTTACGACTTCCTTGAGCCCAAAATTTATATTGCTAAGTGAAACATTTGTTAAGTGAGTTTGCCCATTTTATGACCTTTCTGGCCACAGTCGTTAAGTGAATCACTGTAATTGTTAAATTAGTCAAACTGTTGTTAAATAAATCTGGTTTCCCCATTGACTTTGCTTGTCAGAAGGTCGCAAAAGGTGATCACGTTTTTCAGTGCCATTGTAACTTTGAATGGTCAGTAAACTGTTGTAAGTCGAGGACTACCTGTATTCATATAACAGGAAAAGGATGCTCTCTGTAAAGGGATCATTCCCAGAGAGTGCTTTCCTGGAAAAATGACAGGTCATTTCAACCTGTATGGATGCAGCCCTGAAATTCTAGAGCTCACCTAGGAGACATTAGCCTTATGAGCAACATAGAAAACCTATCCCCATTATGGTTTTGCCCGAACAGATTCAATCAGCACTGCCGTTCTTAAACCAAACAAAATTCCTATGTGGGTATTGTTTAGACTCCAAATGTTACCTTATTTTAAAGAGGTAGACAAACCATAGGATTGCAATTTTTATTTAACAAACAAGTGACAACACTAGAAAACACATTGATAACCAGTGCCTTAGCAGTGAATGTGGGTTCTAAAAAATGTTCATTCAGATAAATAGCTTGGTTAAGATTCTAAACCATAAGTTTTATTCCTTCCAGGAATGCTGAAATGCTTGTGTTTACTGCTGTAATTCCTAATTGGAACTTGTACATAATATTATCAAATATAGTCTGCAGTTTTGAAATCAATACTTATAAAAGCCGTAATTAATACTTACTAGTAGCCCCTTGCAAGTTTATTGCTTTGAGTTGAACAATCCTCCAGAAAAACTTAGAGAAACTTAACACTAATTACAGAACCCATTCACTCCCTCATTCAATCTAGGTGTTAACACTGGAACCAAAATGATGAGACTTCTCGATAGATATTTTTAAGTGGTAAGTTAACAAAGAATTATCCCCTCCCCGTGACTTGAACTTGCAAACTCATTTAACAGTTCCACTTAGTGCCAGTAGAAGAGCAAAACATGAGAAACATTTCCCAGAATTTATAACCGATTTCTGTAAGAAGTTTATAAAAAAAGAACTCTTCCTTACAGATAAAAATCACACCCTTGAGAAGAAGGCATACATTGTCATACTCTGAAAGAAGAAAGATACTCTTGCAGACTGAATGAGCAATATCCAGTATCTATGGATACCAGTGTGCAACAGCAGATTTTCTGTTTGATTCAGCAGTTCTTCAGAAATCTAATAGAATTCAGCATGGTTTACTAAATAAATGTGCATTGGTGATACTTGTGTCAGCTGAGCATTTAGCCCTTCCACTCCATCTATGCAGCATCAAGGGTCCTATCGAGATCACCATCTTCAGAATCATCATCATCATCTGAAGCTGCTGGAAGTACAGAATATAATCAGAAACTTTTCTTTTCAAGGACATTATTTTTAATGTGACACAGCATCTCATTTTATAACGCATTTATGTATCTTTGAACTCGGTGCTTCATAATGGAGTGCTTCCCTAAACTAATACCTATGTACAACTTTAACTTAACATCTCTGAAACTAAAAATCAAAATATACCTATGTATACTTATGCTAAAGTATACTGCTTTTAGTAAGCACATGAATTAAAAGTATGTTTCTTTAACAAGCAATTTGAAGAAGGAAAAGGATAAAATTTAGAAAATTAAGTAAAAAATATGTAAAGGAATTATCTTTAGGTACCATTTTAATAATTCTCAATGGGAGCCCACTAACAAAATTCTTGTACACCTTCTAACAAATATAACTCTATAAAAATGTAGACACTTACTTGCCAACTGTCACAATAATGTTCTGCCCATCATTTCAATTTAACATGTTAGGAACCTATAAGAATGGTTTGTTTTTTCTTTTCTTTTTTTTTTTTTTACAGCTGCACAGGTTAAGAATGATAAAGGGCCAGATTTCTATCAATGCAATAAAGCGTTTCACATAATGTATGATTATGCTTTGGTTTTAATATGCAAGTACAGATATATGAATGGCAATATATAAATAACTTCAGCAGGCATCTTCAATACCAAAAAAGGCTAACAAAGGGTTTCTTTTCCCAAAAAGAGTATGATTAAATTACATGGTTAAGATCATTATGGAATAAATGTGTTAAGGAGTAAAAGCCCTTTTAAAGCAAAGATCCAGATGTAGCTAGTGTGAATGAATGGCCAAAATCCAAAATGTCCTTAACAGGAAGCCTAAATTTGTAAATGAAGTAAATAATACCAAAGAAATAAAAGGTGTTTGTATTAAATACCTATATATGTATGAACAGGGAACAAGAAAACGATATCTCACTAAGGAAAACTTTTATGGACACAAATAATGTTCATTCACAGAATATAATTTTAGTTTATTTTATCATCACCCTAACCTATGTAATAGACAGGAGAATATGTATGTGGGGCCTTTAGGCATAGAGATGTATAGAAAAGAAACATCAGATGTACACACAATCTAGAGGCAGGAGAAAAATGGGTTGGCAATAACAAGGGTTCATTACAACTGCTATATCAGTAACCATGTCTTAAATGGAACTACCTCAAGCAGACATTACCCCATAAGATGTTTTATTAAAAATATACATTCCCAAAAGATAATTAGATTCCTATTAGAGAGAGACTATTCTTCAGAGATCTTTAGCTGAACAAAATCTCAATGCCTACCTGAAAGCAAGTCTATGTCACATGTTTGAGTCAGCAAGATCAACCTTTCTTAAGTATATAAAAACTGATCAAGACTTAACCAGGTTCTAGTAATTTCAGTGGATAAACTTTGTTTCTTTCAATGATAAATATTAAGTATATGCATATTATGATGAGTTTTGTTTAATTTTGCTCTTCAAACTGTCTCAGAGAACAAAATGCAGGGGACTTTGAAACAAGTAATTGGATTGCGTTTCCTCAGGAACCAGATTTGAGTTCTTCAGGCGCCCTTACAATTTATTCTAATTCTATCTGAAAACTGCAGATCAACTCAGATATTTTGATACTTAATATTATATATAAGAACAGACTGTACTTTATCCCTTTTTAAACTTAGTAGTAAAATCACCTACTTTCAATATCATCCATGTGTGCCTGAAGAGTTCTTGCAAGATTAATAAACTAGAAGCAATGCAAAAAGACAGTTTTAAAAGATGCAAATCACCACAGGACCTTACACCATTAAAAATCCAATACCACAATTAAATTTTTCAAGAGTTCCTCATTTCTCACTTGTATGTGAAACGTCCATACTGTCTCCAGGAACTCAATCTTATGTAAAACATGTGAACTGATGGATTATAAATGCATTTAGTCCCTCTAAAGTAGAAAAGATTGCATGCAGCAATGGGAATGGCTGTGACCCAGCAGTTCACTTATTACATTTTTCTGTTAAGAAATGTAAGACTGCATGCAACTGAGTCAATGCTGCTGGAATGTAAAAGAAAAAATGGTGCATGATTTGAGCATGTTTTGAATATAAACTCTCCTGGAGGTTTTAACCTGAGCTGATGAATGGGCAAAATCAGCAACACTGCCATTCAGTTAAACATAGGGTATTTAAATCTCCACCTAATAAAAAAGAACTATTTAAGAACCGAGTCTAAGTATTAAGGGCACTTTCTAAATTATCAAGAATTCAAGAAAACTATTAAACTGCTGCTGTTCTAATAGACTGAAACATTACAAACAAGATTCTGTTAAATTTACGTACATAGGAAACGTATCCACTTGCATATTTCATCATTTTTGATACAACTAAGTCAGTGGTTGGTTTCAAAAATTTTAACTATCAGTTCTATGGGTGTAAACAGTAAGAGTTGGAAGGGACCTTGGAGGTCATCTAGTCCAACCCCCTGCTCACACAGGACACCTGTACTAGGGATTTGAACTGCTGAGCATAAGTCACTTTTTTCAGTACTGTTGTAACTTTGAATGGTCACTAAATGAACTCTTAAGTCAAAGACTACCTGTACAACTGGAGTATTTTCCCCATTTCCTCCCCACTCCTCGGGGAAGGATATTGCAAAATCTCCATTCCCACCCCACTCCAGGGGAAGGATACTGCAAAATCCCCATTTCCTCCCAATCAGCTGTGACTTGGGAGGCAGAGAATAGATGGGGACAGGGCCAGTCAGAATTTTTACTACCAATTCTCCGAACTACTCAGCATTTCCGCTACCGGTTCTCCAGAACTGGTCAGAACCTGCTGAAACCCATCTTTGAACTAAGTGCTCAACAATTTAGTTGCAGATTGGGATATACATTATTAAAAAAAAGAACAGAATATAAATAAAAGAATATCCCCACATACATTTTCCTAAAATATATTTAAGATTTGTTTAAAATAGATTACGGTATTTAGGAGCTAGAAAATGAGAACGACAACAAAAATAATTACAGTTAGTCCTCGATTTACGACCACAATTGATCCCAAAATTTCTGTTGCTAAGTGAAACATTTGTTGAGTGAGCTTTACCTCATTTTATGATCTTTTTTGCCACGGTTGTTAAATTAATCACTATACTGGTTACGATAATAACAGTTAAGTGAATCTGGCTTCCCCACTGTCTTTGCTTATCAGAAGGTTGCAAAAAGTGATCACATGTCCCTGGGACATTGCAACCGTCATAAATATGAATCAGTTACCAATCGTCTGAATTTTGATCATGTGACCATGGGAATGCTGCAATATTTATAAGTGTGAAAAATGGTCATAAGTCACTTTTTTCAGTACTGTTGTAACTTTGAACGGTCATTAAATGAACTGTTAAGTCAAAGACTACCTGTACAACTGGAGTATTTTCCCCACAAACAAAAACTAGGATGTTCTCATTTTGGAAAATGGACTTAGAAAATTAAGACTAAAACAAATTAATGGACGGCAGCCTTTCCTTTATTTTCAGGTCAGTAAATCAGCCAATAAAATAGTTGCCAGATTACAATAAAATGCCCAAAATATATTTGTTGTCTATCCCAGCATACTTTTTAAAGGTGCTACCTTAGCTATGTAAAGAGTCAAAGAACCCTAAAGCAGGAAGACTGAGGTATCAACACAGCGCACATCTAGCTACTCTCTAGCCACATTCCTTTCACTGCTTTGGTTTTAAATGGAACCCCTGACCTTCTTGAATGTCTTTTGGGGAGCTGTGCAGAACGTCAGGAAGAAGAGCAGAAAGTGCCCATTTGAAATTAGGCTCTTTTGGTTCTAGAGATATAATATTTGAAAGAGATGGAATGTGCTTTAACTGTAGTAACAAACTGGTTCTATTACAGAAACAAGTCATATCCCTTACCCGGATACGTGTGTTGGCCTCACTTGTAGTTCCCAGCATATCTGAAAAGCGCTGTTCACACAAATGTAACAATACTACAAGGTAAAGCCCAGAACTGATAAATTCATAGTCTGCCTGGAAAGAGAAGGCATTAGAAGTCAAATACTCAAGCTTTCCAAAATATATACTGTATTTTCATGATTATTTTCCCCTTGACTGCAGGGGTACAATTACTTCAGACTTGGATCTGAACGTTCTTGAACATTTAAAGAAATAACTCCTGAAATCATACTATCTGATGATTCTTCATTTCAATTTACTGGCTAGCTCTCCATTCCAGTAATTATTGTGAGAAATCATTTTGAGTAAGGGGAAGGTTGAGATCCATAGAATTTATATCAATTGTTTTGAAGTTTCTAAACAAACAATGCCTTTAACACCCAAAGTTCACAATCTGACATTCAAGTTTAAATGATTATAAAAAGTGAGAACCAAGTATTAAGACAATATATTTCAACTATTCAAACTGGAAAATTAATACTTTTTAGCATTTATGTAGCACTAGGCACATGAGAAATAAAACCCTATATAAGAAAGTAATTAAGAAACAAAATATCTGGAGAACCAGCCAGAAAAAGACCCTTGGATTCCAGCTCCCCTACAGACTTTTTCCCAGTGGTCAACTGGGCAAAATAGTATATCCTCAAATTTAGTAAATTTGTGTATTACACTGCAGTACTTTTTGGAAGGGAAAACCAATTGTCACTGTCAAAGAAATCCAGTATCTTGAAAGGTTTATACATGTTCCTTAATCCCAAAGATCCTTATTTCAGCAGTATTAGCAAATGAGATAGGTTTATTAAAGTTCATTCTCCCTTCCCATTTGTATCATTTTCAAATTCAAGTCTTCCAAAACCCCAGGCAAATGAATTTGAGAACACATAACACAGCACAAGCAAGTTAAAAGATTCTAAGACGTCTTTCATTCTCCATCACTCTCTCACACATGCCCAAGAAAAAAAGTCTCCTCAATAAATGGTATACAAGTCAAATACAAATACCCCTTTCCAGTTCCAAGGGCTCATAGCAGGAGCCAGGTTTCAGATCTTTGGAGCCCAGACACTCTAAAACCTATTAATAGCATAATTGTCTGTAGTAAGATTTTTCTCATCAATGATTTGATTATGAACAGAAGGACAGATCTGGCCTGTATTGCTGCACCTGGATAGGAGAGGAATGGAGAATTCCCCCCCTTAGAAATCTGCCCATCAAAGTTTCAGGTTTGGTATAAAGCCCTGCCTTTGAGTAGCAGCAAGACTCTATTCTATTGCATCCAGAGGTGCTTCTCCACAGAAAATCAAAAGTGATGCGTTCTTTGTAGGCCAGAGGGGTCAGTTGAGTAGGCTGCTTCCCATACTATTCAGTAACAACTCCACTTTGCAAGACAGATCCAAATGCTCAGATCCAAGATGAACTGTTCACTGTCAGTGAAGATAACTGGACGTCTTGTGATCTGGAATCATTATACATTTTTGAGTCTCGAGTAAGTAGATAGGACCCTATGAATTTAGTTCCATTATTTCTCCATTTGTTGGTTCCCTACTTCACAGTTTAATAAGGCTTCCTGTAAGATGACAGAAGGTTGAATCTGAGAAGTACTCAGTAATTCTTTGAATAAGGAGGGCTGTTACTGACATCTCTGAAGATGCCCCTACTTATAAAAATCTTCATTTGATTCAACTGACTTAGACAATTATAGGCCTGTTCCCAACCTTCCTCTTCTTAAAATAAGTGGTGACCTACAAATGCAAAACATCTTAGACTGAGGAAGCAGATTGTTTGGACTCTTGGCAGTCAGAATTCAAGCTGGGCTACAGCATGGAAATAGCACTGGTTGTCCTTGTAGATGATCTTTGAAGAGACTACGATTCAGGACTGCAACCCTCCTCCCTTCCTTGATCGGTCAGCAGCTTTTGATACTATTGACCATGGTATTCAGTTGGACTAACTCCAAGAGACTGGAATAGAAGGCCCTGTTTTGGAATGGTTTGCTCCTTCCTGGGCTAGTAGGAGAGATCTGCCCACAGACCTGTTTTGTGGAGCACCTCTCCCCGCTCTCCATTCCTTTTTAACATTTTCCTTTTAAGGTGGTCATCTGCGGATTTGGTATCCATATTCTGATCATACTGAAATATATGTCTCATTTCTGATACAGTAGAAGTGCTGACCTGGTGACTAGAGATTATCAGGGTCTGGCTGGGGATGAACAGATTTCAACTGAATCCCTCCAAGATGGAATGGCTTTGAGTTTGTGGCCTGAATGATATCAAGGAGATACCATATTTGATTCTGAACAGGTTGCACTCCTTTGCAATTTGAGAGTCTTCCTAGACACAGAGTTCCTGTTTGAGAAACAAGCAGCAGCTTTATCTAGGAATATAGCTAATATAGCCACTCATGCTCTAGTCACTTCACATTTAAACTACTGAAATGCTACATGGGGCTGACTTTGAAGTATCCTAGAAGCTACAGCAGATGCAGAACACAGTGGCCCAAGCAGAGATAGATATATATTGATATTCTTATGTGACTACACAACTTTAGAAGTTGTGCTAATTACCAAATGCAATCCAGGTGCTGAATTGAGGTCCTAGTTGGCTCTAGATCTTATTATCTGAAGGATCACCTTTTTCCATATTTACTTGCCTACTCCAACCAGATCATATAGATATACTTCTTACAAGGTGAGTCCCTATGGAATTGTTACCCGAAAGGGCAAAGGATGCAGGCATTTTCAATGGATGCTTCTACGCTTTGAAACTCTCTCCCAAAAGGAATTCTATTAGCCTCATCCCTCCTATGTGTCAAAAACACTTTGAACTTCAGAATCAATTCTGTTCTATTTTGCACAGGAGAGCATCCTTTGACCAGGAAGTATGTTCGTTGGCATATGGTATTGGTATTGGTGTTTGTTGGTGCTTATTTTTTATTTTTATGCTTATATGTAAATGGAGTTTAAAAAAAAATAAAAAATGTTATGCTTATATGTATATGGAGTTTCAGCAATGTGATGCCCTAGTGATAAAGATGCTCGCCTCCCACTCAGAATGTTGAGAGTTCAATCATAGATAGCGGTAGATGTTTCTCTCCTAGGGTTCAAAGAAAAAATATCTGCTGTGAACTCCAAGTGGCATCAGGAAGGCATCCGGCCGGCAAACGCTCAGCTCCATCTAGTCGCCCCGACTCTACCCAGAATTAAGGGATTACATGGTTGTAAAAAAGGAGGTGTTTTATGTATATGAGGTTTCTTGAGGTATTTTACATTTTATATTTTTAGCCATCTAAAACTGAAGAGTACAACATACAAACAACATCAACTTTCTGTCATAAATAGATTATTTCTTTCACAGTTGGGAAAAAAACCTATCCTGAGTCACAAGCACTGAACTGACACTTACCAAATTAGCCAAAATATACTAACTTGTTCATTTGCATGTGCTCTATGTAGTTCATGGATATCAAAATTGTCAAGATTGAGCTGAAGTTTCTCTTTACACAATTCACAGGTAGTTACATCTTCCAATGAAGAACCTGGGGGGGGGGGGTGAGTTATACCTTTTATTTTATTTAGCCTTGACATTGAAAACATTCAGAAACAGTCAGCAATTATGTTGAGAAAAGTACATTAAACAGAAAACTAAATTCACTACTATATATACAACTGTTATTCTAAGAGAAATATGCAAGAGTAGAGAAATCAGGATAACTATCTAAAATTCAAGTGTCCCTGTTGATTGTTTTCAGATTATGTATTAAGTTAAGATCAACAAAATAAACATTTAATAGCTGTCCGTTCTATTGTGTTTCTATACCATGCTATGTATTTTTCAAAAAAAGATTTGCATTAAAATATGAATTTAACAGGTATTTCTAAACACATATAATCTCAGTATGTATATATTTGTGTATTTCTTCTAATGAGTAAAATTCTAAATGAATTTTGAAATATTCTTGAATAAAACTTGTGTTGAAACATCAGGGTGGATAAAAATCAATGATTTTTTTTAAAAAAATAAAAAAAATCAGATTTTTTGATTTAAATCGGATTTTTTTGATTTAAATCGGATTTTTTTGATTTTTATCGAATTTATTTTAATAAAAAACTTTGGGGGTAAAAATATCGTAAGATAGTTTTCTATTTAAGATACATAAATAATTTACTTTATTCAGCGTGAAATGGAGCTTAGTTATGTAGCATGAGGCTGTATATTCTGCAACACTGGGACGATCGGTGAGTCAGCAGTGGGTCAAAGGAGTAGCAGAGATGACAGTTGCTCTTTAAAAATTATGATTTAAATCGAGTTGATTTAAATCAAGCCTTTTTACTAGTGATTTAAATCATGATTTAAATTGTGATTTAAATCAACTCGATTTAAATCAAATCCACCCTGTGAAACATGGCTGCTATTTTTGACTTCCTGCTGGCTTTCCCATTCATTTCACTTGTCAGAAGTCAGCAAAGAAGGTTGCAAATGGTAACCACATGATGCTTTGATGTCATAATCACAGCCAGGCGCTGAGCACCTGGATCACAATCAAGTGATCATGGGAACCCCTTGATGCTCAGAACTTAGAACGTAGAATAATAGAGTTGGAAGGGATCTTAGAGGTCTTTATCTAACCCCCTGCTCAAGCAGGAGTCCCTATACCATTTCAAACAAATGGTTGTCCAGTCTCTTTTTGAAAACCTCTAGTGATGGAGCACCCACAACTTCTGAAGGCAAGCTATTTGATTGTTCTAACTATTAGAAATTTTCTTAGTTCTAGGTTGCTTCTCTCCTTGGTTACTTTCCATCCATTGTTTTTATCTTGTCTTTTGGTCCTTTGAAAAATAGTTTGAACTCCTTGTCTTTGTAGCAGCCCCTCAACTAGTGGAACACTACTTAGAAAAACTTATAAAACTGTTCGTAACATCACACGCTCAAATGATTGCTGAATGAGTGTCATTAAGCAAGGATCGCTTATATTGCATCAAAACAATATTTGATTGTATGAGAAAGCTTCTTAATCACAACTGCTACTTGTTCTTCAAAAAGAAGCTGAATTCAAACATATATCTACAAATTGCACATCAGTCCCAAAAAGAAAATGTAATTCCATTTAAGATTAAAGATGAAACATTCCCAGTCTAGGGGAGGAGGAAGCGGGGGTTCCAAAAACATACTACCATTTAATTTTGTCCAAGTTACTTTAAGGTTGTTTTTCCCACAAAGCACTCAAGACATTGAGATACGACTTTGTAAGCATTGCTTAATCAATTTGGGGTGCAGATGTATAACTAGGAATTATACACAGATTGATGATATTAACTACAAACCAATGGATAACTTCATTCAGCGGCCTTACATAGATGTTTAATAGAAGGGATAAGAGTGTAGAGGCCAAGATAGCTCATGAATGAGTGGTCTTGGGCTCAAGCACTTCCTTTTGTCAGAGGAAAAAAGGAAGAGACACACGCAAGGCTGTGCATCCCACTGCATACAGGGCAGAAGATTATTATCATTGATGAAATAAATAATCACTGAGATTTCAGAAACAAAATGCTGGCACTACTTGTGTTCTGGCCTACCAGAAATCATTAATAAGTACAATCAATGCTATCTCTACATTACAATTGAACTTGAAACCTGACTCTTTGAAGTCATAGCTCTACCACTTTCTCAACAAGTGAGAAAGAGAGACTGGACAAAAATTGTTCAGTATAGTTGGGTCCAGTAAAACTCTGAAGAAGGGGCATACTACTGTCTTCTTCAAGGCCGTGGGGATCACTCCTCAGTGAAGATTATGGCATGAATCCAACGACTGGGTAGCTTTCACCAAGAGGAGGGACAGAGGTTTACTAAAGAGGCATTCAGGTTAACAGATAGAAGGATCCTGATCACCTCCTCAGTTTCATACTTGACCTACACAAAACTTTGCTTCTCTTACTGTCTTAACCAGTAGGAGTCCATCTCTGAGCAAATCTAAGTTACTTTTATCTGCTAGATCAGGGGTGTCAAACTGGATTTCTTCGAGGGCAGGATCAGCATTGTGGTTCTCCTTCGTGGGCTTGCGGGGTGGGGGTGGGGAGATGGGATGGAAGCCCCTTGCAACACTTTGCCAGCCAAAACAGACAATGCAGGGGCCTCGTGAGGCCTCCACGCGGCCCATTTGTGGCCGGCAGAGTACTGCAGAAGGCTGTGGAGGCTGAAAACAGGCCCCGTTTTGGCCAGCAGAAACACTGTGGGCCAGTCCTTTGATACTTCTAGGCCGGCTCCACAGGCCAGATTTAAACACCCTGCGGGCCTTGAGTTTGACACCCCTGTGCTAGATGCTTTCAGTGTTCTCCAGAATAGCCCTGGAGAGGCAGCAAGTTGTCCCTCCCTGGCAGGGAACAGGTCACTTTAAATAGGCCTACCGAGCAGTCATCTGGGGATTGTTAAGAGCAAAAAAATAACATTGCCATGATTCAATTCCTAATATGGACTCTTACTTGTACCAATAAAGGAGAATTTTTGCCGCTCAGGGTTGAAATGAGGGGTCCTTGATGCTCCCTGAGCTTGAATGTTTTCTTGCAGACAATGATGTTGCATGCACTGATGATGTTGCCTAGTTTGGGTAATGAAACATCTCCAAGAAAACAGTCAAGCTCAGAGAGCACCAAGGACCTTCACTCTTATATGCATTCAGTCAGTTTCATTCATTTTACAACTACATTTTGACAATCCCCTTTTGTGATTCCAAATTAGTCTATTTTTCCTGAATTGTGATCTTACAAATGAATTCTTACCTGAGTTAATCTTCGATTGTAGCCACTTTTTCATACATTCCTGGTGAACATACTGCAGACTTCCAGCGCATTTACATGGCTCAATTAAGAGATTAGTGGCAGATGTAGAGGACATTTGACAAATCCTACATATATCTTCTTCCTCTTCTTCTGAATCTTCTGAAAGAAGACTGAACAGAGGTGGAAAAATTTACTATGTTGAATTAAATTGTTTGCATATTATGACATTAATCAGATACATCAGCATTCCCAAAATACTATTTGTTGCAATAAGTGTAGGATTTGCCCAACAAAATTTATAATTAAAACATTATTCAAATGATAAAAATAGCTGTTTACCTTTCTTTAATTTTCTGAAGCTTTTCTGGGTCTCTTGAAGATGGTATTTTAGATTTGTCGCTATCTTGTCCATTAGACTGACTCCAATTTGATGGAATAATATCTACAGTTATCATAACATTGTCGGACATGTTATTTCCCACATTTGGTGGCATTGCAAACCGAAAAAGAGAGCCGGGAAACATTCCTGATATTCCTGAATTTCTTCTAGGAGGCACTGACTCTGACCCCGAAGCAACAGATATAGTACCACTGGGTACTGCAGGTATTGATGGCCTCGGCCTGAGGGATTCCCTTTGTGCTTCAAGAGGTACATCCCCAGCAGATTCTCTTCTCCTAAAAAGATGCAGTGACCTAGGAGATGTTTCAGAGGTAGAGGTTCTTGCCGTTTCATCTCTTCCTTCTCTTCTCCTTCTTGAAAACAAAGGTGTACATCTGTTCCTCAAAGATGATGACAGCCAAGAACCTGCATTTCTACTTTCAGAATTATGTCTGTAATTTCCAGATTCTGACTCAGCACTATGATTTGGTGAAATACCTGCCAAACCCCAGCGTCTTCTAAGGAAGCTAAATCCCTGAGAACCAGGATCAGGTGTTTGAGCTTCTGTACTTTCAGAAGTTGTAAGTGTGTTAGAAGTAGTAGCCTGGGCAGAAGCTTGAGCTCTTAGAACACTTATATCTCTAGAACCTAATGATCTTGAAGATGTCAAAGAGTCTTGGCCAGACCTTCTTGGGAAAAAGGTGGAGGACATACTAGATGCTAAGCGAGATAGTAACTGCCTTGTTGAACGCCTTCCTTCAGTATCAGCAGAAGGCTCACTTAATGACCTTTGGGTTGGCAAAACTCCTTCAGAAAGGTTTGAGGTTCTGGTCCCATTTCTCATGGTATCATGGGTAAACTCTGGCTGTATATTCCTTTCAGAAGTCTCTACTTCTCTTGGGACATAGTTAGATCTTGAATTCCAGCTATGCTCTCTAGAGAGTAATGAAGATTCATGTTCAGAAGGCAACTGGCGGTTCATGGATGTGTTCAGCCTTAAAGAACTCAATGAGCTTTCCTTTGGTCTAGCTCCCTGTGTATATGAAGAAGCAGGTCTTTCCTGCAAATCTAAGAAGTATAAAAGAAAATTAAAATTAGACTTTGGCTACAAATTTAATCAAATTAAGGAAATATACTTCTTAAAACATAGCTCTATCTGTGGAGCCCTTGGTGATCTCTGAGCTTGGTTGTTAGGCTACAGTGAGTTTAGTTTTCTTTTAGTTTTTATTCCAGTATTTATTTCTGGCTTTTTATTTTTTTTAAAAAAAAAATTTCTCCATGTACTTTTATTATTTGTTCTGGGGTGCTCTTTTTGTGCTTTGCTTTGTTTTTTTCATTTTTAAAAATGCGTATCAGTCTGTCCCTGATTTATATCAATTATTTTAAAGAGTTGCTCCATTTTTTCCAGATTTAAATATTTTAAGTTGAAAGGATATCTAAGCTATTTTACGTACCATGAAATTAAGAGATACACTGAACCATTTAAAAAAATCAAATTTACAGGTACATACAATGACTGTTATCTGTGTAGCTCAAGATCAAGAACTGTGTAACTTTTACAATTTGATGTCTTTAAAAGTAAAATCATGAGATTTTTATTGCTTACTTTCTTGTTAGCATATAGCTTGCTTCAAACAGCTGTGATTGAAGTTCATATACAATTTAAAGACTCTTCAATGGATTTTAATTAAATCATTTGCAAAATTTGGGAACAGCTATTCCAAGGAAACTTTCTTCACTTATGTATACAAATATTTCAAGCATTTTAACACATTAGATAAAGTTGACTTTAAAATCTCATCAAGCATATAAGGAAAGATAAATATAAAGATGCATATCACTTTAACATTGATATACTTAAGATATATTCCTTGCTAATATAATGAATGTCCTTCCCATTAAGTGCTGTAATATTCCTAAACTGCTGGATTTTCTTTATCTAAATTATAGTTATCATATAATAATGGAAGTTTATCTTTCCTGATTCTCTGCTTTATCACTGAACACATATTTTGAGTTCCATGTCTATGGATTGTAAGTGATAAAGTCAAACATATTGTTGGCAGAGTTAGAAAGAATGTGACCTTGCTGACATAATAGCAAGACAATTCCATCTTCGGCCAAAATCTATTGCAGTTTCTGCATTAAAGGCACAATTGGAAAAAGCTAAGATGGAGTAATTTTTATTCTTATTCACATGACAAATTTACACTCTGGAATAATTTAAATTTGAAAATTGCAAGTAAATCTCTTGGATAGGGACAAATCATGAGAAAGTGCAGTATTAATACCTTAAACCTATTTACTGCCAAACAATTTTTAAACAATCTGAGTTACTTATAAGAGGAGTTTGAATTGCCTAAGATTTGAAAATGGCAGAATATTCAAAACGCATCCTAATTTCACTATGTGGTCCAGATTCATTAACAGAATCTAGAATTCCCATAGTATTATCAGTATGAAATGAGTTTTAGATGTTCTAAATCTACAGCATTTTATAAACTGTTAAAGAATATTGCTAATGTAAATACTAGTTATTTATAATTAATAAATCAGTGGCTAAGAATCTTACAGAATATTATGTTCTTTATTATCTTACCATGAAACAATTTAATATAAATATAAATCATACAAATATAAGATACTTTTTCATATTTATTGGATATTTCAAAATATGTTTAAAATGTTTGGCTGTCAACCTCACTATGCTGAAAATGGGTAAAATACATTTATTCAAAAGATTTGAGCCCACTATTGTTTTATTTTAGTTTAAAATTCCTAAGACTACAGTAATATCAATATATATTATACATATTATATACAGTGTAAAGACATAAATGTACATCTGAATTATGTATTAAAACTTGGACGTTCTAGCTCTAAAAATGTCAATTCATTGAACAAAGAGAACAGCAAACATATTACTCTTCTGGCATTGGAAATATACCAAAGATCTTGAATTGCCAATGTATTTGTTATCAGCTTCTGAGCTAACTCTTTACTGATATACTGTAAATGGAAAGACTGATCAATAGTACTTTATGTGGTTACAATTTAATTATGCATTAAAATTAGGCCAAATATTTCGAGGTCTACTATTTTAAATTGTAGTATCATATTTCAAAATCGCCCAAATGGGGCGATTCATGTCCCTGGCAGGAGCTGGAGAAAAGGATGGGAGCTCACCTGCCCACAGCAGCACTTGAGTTTTGAACATGGGCTTGTTTGTCAAGCCAGCGTCCCAATTATGCGAGCCACCATGTTCCTTATATTTCAAAATAATTTTCATTTAAAAGGCACAGCAGAGTCTTATAGTTTTTTAAACAATGAAAAAAAGTAGTTAGATACTTGCTAGTAAGACAGCAAGTTGTATTTATGAAGCAACTAATCAATAGTCAGACATTACAAGAGCAATATAAACATTCCAGGCAAGTTTATGGAACAACATGTAACTAAACATTCTCAGCTTTCCAATACATACATGCTGATGGAGGGAAATCACCATTCCTTTGACTACAATCCACAAAACTAACAGATGGCTCTGTCCTTTCTAGCTCTCTTCTCTCTCTCACAAGTTCAGTTGTTAATGATCCAAGTACCATAGATGAAGATCTGGGCACATCACTGTACCTCCATGGGGAATCTAAAGACAAGTTAAAACTATTTTTATTTTCCAGCTTCCTTGCTATTTGCTTTAGAAATTCTACATTTAATTTAAGGCAAGTCCACTTCTGGGCCCTCCTATTAGGTACTCCTATTTGCAGAAACTTCAAAACCATACCCTTTCAATTGCTGTCCCCCTTCTCTGGAATAGCTTGATGTGGACATCAGAAAGGGTCTATCCCTCATGGTTTTTAGAAAATCAATTAAAATATAGCTTGCCCTCAGGCCACAGGTAACAAAAATGCCATTATTACTCTGATGAGGAATGGTGTTTTAATTCTGACCGAGTAGGGCATTCTTGTTTTTTATACCTTCTACTTATTTTCCCTTTGGAGAACGGAGTGGCAGTTTGGAGTGCTAATAAACCTTGATATACATTTTTTTTTTTTTTTACTATTTTTACTATTTAATATACAACTTACCTGAAACTGTGCTTAAACCACTACTTCTAATACTAGAGGTAGATGTATAAGAAAGTTTAGGTCTTTTTGAATCAATATCTTGTTGTTGGTTATGTAGTCTTGAAGAATATGCTCCCTGAGTTCTTTCAGATTCACCCAACCAAGATGATGTAGGAAGTGGTGAAGATGATGATGATGTAACCTACCAATTGGATTTGAGAAGCTTATTAATTTACTGATAAATGACTTGTTCTGTAATAGTAAACAAGAAGATTGCACGAAAACTATTATGCTGAAAAGGCTTGGATAAAACAACCAAGACAACCAGTAAGTAAATGAGAATAATTTTAAAAGAATAGTCTAATACGCTATTATTCAAACATTACAATAAAATATTAAAAAGAACAAATTACATTAGAGATAATACACAAATGCATCTGAGTCCTGGAAACAAGGTAAAAATTGTTCTTTCTGGAACAATTCTGTCAAAACAATTCAGCATTATAAACTCTAATTATGGTATTTTCTTAGTATTTAGAAAACCTGTCTGAAATGTAAATCAATGTTTGTTTCATATGAATATTTGCAAGCTCTTTTTTTTACTCTAACAGATTTAATGCAAACCTCAATTAAATATGTACAATCCTCTAAAGTTGTTATCAATCTTCCACTATCTATTTTCATGTTAACACAAGAATTTATCTTCCATATTCAGGCAGCTTCTCAGTTGCACGTTAGGGCAGTCTTGAAAACAGTTGAAAAACTTAGTATAAATTGTATAGCACATTTCTCAGTTGGAACTGCATATGAAATGTATCAATCTGTTTTTTTTTAAATCTGAACTGGCTGCCAATTCTATTTCAGACCAAATCTATCCTGACCTTCAAAATTCTAACAATGCAATCCTAGTCATGTTTTATCTAATTCAGAAATAATTCCCAATATCTTACAGAAGATGTAATGTAATCTACATAAGTTTATCCCAAAATCTTTGTCCATATATAGCCCTACCCCAACTCCATTAAAATAATGTATGGGATTAAATCAAGGTACCAATACTGGTGACAATATTTAATCCAATAAAGCAGAGGGGTTTTAGTGGTGCATTTACTTTTCTGGGCTTTAAAATTATTGATTTAGGATATTTTGCCATGAGTGTTTTCAGTCTATGATTTTATGTTTACAATTATCTTTTTCTTTTTACAAGCAGTAGTAAAGCAAATTACAGTTTAGCACTGATTATTTTTCATAATAATGTTACTATCTCAGGGATGTTAAACTCAAGGCCCGGAGCCCGGATCCGGCCCATGGGGCCGATCTGGAAACAGTGAGGGACTGGCCCGCAGCGCCTCTGCCAGCAAAAACAGAGGTCCTCCAGACCTGTTTTCTCTGGCAGAGTGTTGCAGGAAGCCATCGCAGCCGAAAACAGAGCTCAGGAGCCCGTTTTCCCTGGCAGAGCGCTCAGGCTACCATAGGTGCCCCCGACATGAGTGACAGTGAGCTGGGCACACCCACCCCAGCCCTCCAAGGTCAAACACAACCCTGATGTGGCCCTCAATGAAATTGAGTTTGGCACCCCTGTACTATCTGATTAAAAAATAAATCAACTGGAAGAACAAATTTATGCAGTATATTTTTTAAAACTGAAACAGTATTCAATTGCATATAAATAATTATGATTTGGAAATATCTAATAATTATTTTACAAGAAAATTTTAATTTTAAAATAGTAATGTTATTTATGACTTGCATTCCTGCTGAATATCTAAAAAACTAAAACTAAAACTAATTTATTTACATTTTCTTTAATTTACAAAATTTGGAGACTATCCGACTCCAATGCAACTCTGCATAGTCTATATGGAGAATAAATAACAGTAAGAGAGAACCAATACACAGAAAATATAACCAACAAGTTTCCATAAATATCTTACAGTACTTAAGGGCCTGATAGTTAGCTTTTCAAAGATTTCTGCAAGATCATTAAGATGAAAGTCCCAGAGCACTCTGGGGAATAATGTTCCAAAGAGTAAGCACGATGCAGAGAATGCATGCTTCCTAGGTCTTGATAGATCAATTGAAAGGCCCCAAAACACTGAGTCTGCCCTTTTCCCAGCAAGGGGAATCTATTAAAAAACCTCTTTAAATTGCTACTAGATAGCAATTTAAACTATTAGAAATACTATTAAGAAATAGAAGTTACATGGAACTATTTAAAGTCAAGGCAAAATTTGAAAGATATATGCTGGAATTGCCTCCAAACTTGGTAGATTTGCAAAACAGAACACATAGGCCACTGCAAATGACCTGCTCAAGATTAGATCATTATAGCATGACTTATACATCAATAATCCTGGAAAATTCTCAGAAGAAAACCCTTTCTTCATCACACATTATTGCCTGATAGTTGTAAAGAAAACCTTGATCAGATTGTAACATTGTGAAATAAAATATTGAGACTGATACAACAAAAACTGAACTATTCAGCACCAATTACACAAAATACATTTATTGGAAAAACTATGAAGCATGAAAAATACTATTCCAACTATTAAGTGGTGTATGTTTGTGCATGCAACAATACATAGCCAATATTGAGACAGATTCAATGAAATATCGACATATCCTAGAAGCTAATTTCCCACAATCAGTGAAAAACTGACGCTGAAAAGATGTAGGATCAAGTTTTATCTCTAATCAACCATAAAATACTTACAGAAAAAGTTAGAATGACCTTCACAGTCCTAAAATGTTAGCATTATTGAAATCTGCGGAAGAAACCTCAAAAATGCAGTACATAGAAAGACACTGAAGAATATTTCTGAGCTAAACAAGTTCCATAAGGAGCATTGTGGAAAAAATTCGAAAAGCAAAAATAAAAAAAACTCTTAGTTGGCTACAGAAAATATTTGGAAACTGATATTTCCAAATAAGGTGTTACAAAGTACAGGTAGTCTTGATTGATTTATGACCATTCTTTTAACAACAGTTTGAAGTTACAATAGCACTGAAAAAAGTGACTAATGGTCATTCCTTGCACTTACAATTTTTGCAACGTCCCTGCAGTCACATTATCAAAATTGGGTGCTTGCCAACCAGTATACATTTACAATGGATACAGTCTCCCAAGATTGCTATTTGTGACCTTCCTTGGGGACGGGGACGGGGACGGGGGGCTCCAACAAGCAAAGTCAGTGGGGGAAGCCAGTTCCACAATTTGGAGCAAATGCCCAGAAAGTATCTTCCCTGTCTCTTTCACTGCCTCCCGGCTCCCTCCCTGCTTTGAGCCAACAACAGATGAGATTACAGACAGAAACAGGAGGCTGACACCCAAGGGGAAAAATAGATTCTGGCTAACAAGATGCAATCCTTAGTTTAAATTTGTTTTTAAAGCAACAGACTCATTGGGAAGAAATATGGAATATGATATGAAAATAACACAGATGGTAGAGAACATCAAGAAGAAATGTGATTTTTCAGCCATACACTGTTCAGGAATATAGACTTAGAAATTTTAGAGCCTGGGCATCAAGCAGAAATTATAGAACCAACTCCACACACTTTTCGGAAGCTTAACAGTGTACTTTTATATAATAGCAGAGAACTCTCTCCAGATCGAAAAGTGGCAAAAGGTTTTTCTTTAAGGGATTTGATGGAAAGTGGGGAACAGATTTAATACATCTAATTGAAGAACAATTTTATCTGGAATTTTGGGGGAAGATAGATTGCCTTTGGAGACTGGACCTATTGTATTCAATCAATCAGCAATTGATAAGACATAGTATAACGAAACAGACTTGGATATTTGATCCAGGACCAATTAAGGTTAATATTTGGGATGATTAGGGATTGATGTTGTGGTAAATTTTCTACGAGTTGAATAACAGCTTGTTAACAGAGGGTTTTGGAATTTCAACTTTGTCTTTCTCCTATTACTGTTCACAATTTTTATTACTTTTATATTCTTACATAGTTATGTATATTATTATTGTTTTTTCTAACTACTGTTATTAATATAGTTTACTAATGACAACCTAACAATTTGTAAGTATATTTAGAAGTTTAACAGTTTAAGATTCTTTTGGCCTGTTTGGTAGTACAGAGCCTTGGTAGTACAGTGGTCTAAAGCACCCTGTTATTAAGACCAGCTGCCTGCAATTACTGCAGGTTCGAATCTCGCCAGGCTCAAGGTCGACTCAGCCTTCCATCCTTTCTAAGGTAGGTAAATTGAGGACCCAGTTTGTGGGGGCAATAAGCTGACTTTGTATAAATATACAAAAGGATGAAGGTTATTGCTTAACGCATTGTAAGCCGCCCTGAGTCTCCGGAGAAGGGCAGCATATAAATCAAATTAAAAAAAAAAAAAAAAGGTGGGAAATAAAAATTGTTGTATTATACCAATCAGCGTATTCAATTGGGGAGGATGTTATCTGTATGTATGCTGTTTCTTTTTAAGACACTTTTTTTGTTAATGTCTTTTTTGTTGTTTGTTTTTGTTTTAAATATTTTGTTTTGTATTTTAATCTTTTTTTCAATAAACTAAATGTTTTTACACATACACAGAGACACAATTTTATCTTCAACAGATTAACTATGCAACTCTTACCAATCTATTTCTGCTTCCCAAAAATCTTCCAGACCACGGACGATCAAGTGTTCCTGAATAGTGAGTTGGAGAAGAAGCTGGAAGCTTCCATGAACTTTCATATGCTTCTCGTTCTTCAACTGACCAGTCTCTACTGGAACTATGCAACCTGCCAGATTCCTACAAAAAATATGCTTTATTATTTAATGCCTTCCTTGGGCCATCATTCCACACAAGAAAATAAAATCTATAACATCTGCACTTTTTAATTAATCACATTTAAACATTTTCTAGAAATCAACTGTTCTTATCCCATCTACAAAGATAAGGTTACCTCATCCTAAGTGGGTGATAACTGTAAGGTTTACGTTGTTAAAAATTCAGCTTCCATTAAGTTATTTTCTAAACAGGATCAAACATTACTATTTTCCTCTCACTGAACAGAACTACTGAGATTCTCTTATACTGGCCACATTTGAAACAAATGCAAGTCACTTTAAAACAATAGTTGTAAATTACTGTTTTATACAATTATTTACACTGGGGGGGAAAGCTGAAAAAGGCTACAAGTACTTGGTAAAACTCATTGTTTTAAATTTCTTACAGAGAAATACTAAATTTGAAGAGAGTCATGTGAAGATTTTCTATTTTCAGGCACTGAATTTTTCTAACCCTCTAAAATGCAAATTAACTCATATCATACAAATAATTATTCATATAGTTCTTTTAGCCAAAACCAAATCATGCCTACTTATTTAAGGGAACATTTAGCTAGTTTTAAGAAAATAAAGTACTAAAGTAGAATTGAAAAGAAAAAAACAGAATTGTATATATTCCTAAAATAGAAATAATTTCTGATTAGTTTATAATCAATTAATTATGTACCAGCAAATTCTTTTTCCAGGAATAAAGCAGCATATACAGTATGCTAGTGATGGCTAACTTTTTTGACATCGCGTGCCAGGAGTGTGGGGGGAGGCCCGCGGGGGGGGGGGGTGTCGCACACATCTGCCCACACTCATAATTCTATGCACCCTGCCCCCACGCATGTGTGCGCGATCTCCGAACGCTCCCGGCACGCAATAGCACGGTGGCCCGTTTTTTGCTCTCCCCAGAGCCTTTCTAGGAGTCTGGGAGGGTGAAAATGGCCTCCCCCCCCAAGGCTGAAAACGGCCCATTTGCCAACTTCCGGTGGGACTGGCAGGCCCATTTTTTGCACTCCCCAGCCTCCAGAGCCTTCCTAGGAGTCTGGGAAGGGCGAAAACGGCCTTCCCCACTCCCCTGGAGGACCAGAAATTGGCAAACGGGCCGTTTCTGGCCTCCGGAGGGCCTCCAGGGGGGTGGGGAAGGCTGTTTTTGCCCTCCCCAGACTCCTAGAAAGGCTCTGGAGGCTGGGGAGAGAGAAAATTGGGCCTTCCCCACCACCCCGAGGCCCTCCGGAGGCAGGAAACAGCCCGTTTCCCTACTTTTGGTGGGCCCAGAAGGCCCAAAAATCAGCTGGCCAGCACACACATGCGCGCCAGAGCTGAGCTCGTGTGCCCACCAATATGGTTACGCATGCCACCTGTGGCACGTGTGCCATAGGGTCGCCATCATGGCAGTATGCTGTAGGATGAACTGTGTTAACAGCCAAAGATAAGTGGCAGAATACATGCAGAATTCCCAGGCTCAACACTTATAATTTTCGGTCTTAGAAAACTTTTGCTTGAAAAGCCACTCTTGGTGTCAACAATACTTGTCTAAGTGATCATATTTAGGACTAACTATCAATAACTATCTATAACAATCTATAAACAACTATCTAGCAATAACTATCTATAACAAGATCCTTGGAACTAAATCCCAAATAGATGCTACAGTTATACTTTCTCTGTAAGCATTTTTCAACAGCTATGCAGTTATCATTACAATGAAGAGAGCGACAGAAAGAGAAGAAAAGGGGTGGGGGAATGTATCTTCATGTGTTATTATGGGAAATAAAGTTATGCACTTCCATGAACTCAAACTGAAAGTAATGCACTGTATCTTTCTAAGTGGAGACTGAATTATTCAATACCAGAGTTCAAGAATGTAATATTTCAAATAAGATTTATAAGTAATCATGTTCATATTATGATCATGAACATACAGAAAAAATTGGGGGCAATTCTGAAGAGGGCTAATATAACTCTGCTCCAAGGCAAAAGCCTCACTAGATTTTTAGCTGGGGTAAAAGTTCTGCTCCTCTCCCTAAAACACATTTGATTGAAACTCAGTATATTTTACTTCACATTGTTCAATGAAAATTGAGGATATTCCTAACTGCAAAGGCAATTCTTTCCAGAGCAAGAAGACTAAAACATTTATGTCCAATTTAAGATTGATTTAACTAGTTAGTAAAATCACCTAAATTGTATCATATACATTTCTAAACATGTCTAAACAGTATCTACTTTTTATACCTGTATTATTTTCATTATATATATCCCTCCTTTCCCCTAGGCATTCAAGGTAACATAAGTGTCTAATTTTTTTTCTTGTTACCATTTTCTGAAGTAGGCTGGGCTGAGATAAGAAACCAATCCCAAGTCATCTAAGGAATTCTATAAATGTATGGGAAATTGACATGGTCTCCTCAAACTCATAATCTTATTATATACAATGTATTAACTTCTATTCTGTTTATTTTCCCATATATTTTATGACTTTAGATTTTTTCAAGCCATTCTGTTATTGTAGCTACTATGCTTTATTATTTTTGTTATTTAATTCATTGTTCTACTGATTTTACACAATAACTTTATACTGCTTTATATTTTAACCTGCCTAGGAACATTGAATAATTTACATATGGATCTACTGTTTTTACACAATGACTTTATACTGTTTTATATTTTAACTTACATATGGATCTACATTTCTTTCTTTTTTCAGAACACCTAGAGGAAAACTTACAAGAACTCTAGTGAGAAAGTCGGTTCTAGTAAATTTTCACAAACCACTAAAACAAATTCCACTTATGCAACACCTATATACCGGTTGTCCAATACTTATGATCAGGTTTTTTTTAATGCAATTTTATCAGATACTTTTAGCAGAATATTTATTCATTAGTTCACTACTGTTCTAGCTGTACTATGCCTGTACAAGCCAAAGTTCTAACATATAAAAAGAATGCAATTAATATTTTTTTCTAATTTAAAAAATATGATAAAGGAGTCCAAGTCAGTGACACATTGAAAAAGATAGAAAGTACATCCCAAGAAAATATACGTCTCAGATTAGAGCAGCAGTTGGGATTGGAATTTCCATTGCTAAGTGATGCCCACATCACTTAGTGACAGCAAAGCAATCTCAGCAGTCTTGGTTGCCATCATAACTTAAGGACTGCAAGCAAATGCTTTGGAGTAAAGGTGGTAAGTGCTACAGGTAAGTAGAGACCACAGAGCGTACGAGCAGGTGAATGGGCAAAAAAGTGGCAGGAGTGACTTGCAGGAGCAACTTTTGATCTCCTGTCGGCTTCCCAACTGATGTAGAGGGGAGTCAGAAAGGAAGGTCGCAAATGGCAATCACATGATATTGCAACCATCATAAATTGAGAGAGCCAGATACGAAGCCCCCAAATCATGGTCATGTGACTGTGGGGAAACTGTAATGACTGGAACTTCAAGGGCCAGGCATTAACTCTCCCTCTTTCAGCACCATCATAATTTTGAACAATAATCCAAGGACTACCTGTAGTTCTAAAGTTCAGAGTGCAACCTAGATGATTTTTAATAAGGCCTTAAACTGCTCTATTCTAGTAAAGAATACTTTTTTTCCTTGTTAAAAGTCATTCAGGTTTTTTAAAACTGCAAGTCTCTATGTAATACACTGTGCGCACAATTATTAGTTAAGTGAGTATTTTGACCATATCATCCTTTGCATGCATATTTTCCACCTCCAAGCTGTATAAACTTGAATGCATAGTGGATATATCAGGTGATGTGTATTTGTGTAATGAGGGAGAGTGTGGCCTAAGGAGATCAACACCCTGTATCAAGGTGTGCATAACTACTAGGCAGCAGCTTTTCCTCATGCAAAATGGGCCAAAAAACAGATTTAACTGATTCTGAAAAGTCAAAAATTGTAAGAAGTCTTTCAGAGGGATGCAGCACTCTTGAAATTGCTAAGATATTGGGGCGTGATCACAGAACCAAATGTTTTATTGCAAATAGTCAACAGGGTTGCAAGAAACATGTTGAGAAAGAAGATGCAAATTAACTGACAAAGATTTGAGAAGAATCAAATGTGAAGCTACCAGGAATCCATTATCCTCCAGTGCTGTCATATTCCGGAACTGCAACCTGCCGGGTAATTTACAGTGAAGGAAAACAGTACACCTCTCTGAACAGTATCTGGGAGGCTGTGGTTGCTGCTCCACAAAAAGTTCATCGTCAACAGATCAAGAAACTGACAGACTCCATGAATGGAAGGCTATATTGGTCACTGATTATTTTTGAAATGTCAAAAATGTTTATTTGTAAATTTTGAATTATTATTCTTACTTTAACAGATGAAAATAAAGGAGATGAAAAAATTTTCATCAAAATCAGGCTGTGCTGAAGCTGACCAGGCTGTTTGCTGCAAGGAGACAAATTGCTGAGAAGCAGAGGAAGATTTTTTTTTCTTGTTTTCCTCCCCAAAAGCTAGGTGCATCTTATAGTCCAGAGCATCTTATAGTCCGAAAAATACGGTAATCCTAAAAAATACAACTTGCCTAATAATTGTGCAGTGTACGTTAAAATAAAAATGCAATGCAATGCAATGCAATAAGTTTCCCAAGAGGGAAAGAGAATGGAGTACCATAAAGCAATCTCAACTATTAAGTTTTGAATGATTTTTAAAACAAAAAAAAAATTAAACAAGTATTTATTCAGCATCTTTTATATAACCAAGTTGTTAATGAAACTTCAGACAATTTGAGCTTATCAACTAGAGAAAGATGGAGAATATACCATCATAAAAGTTACCTGGCGTCCAGAATCAAGTCTTAATGAAGACTCTCTCGTACGGTATGAATCAGTTAAACTTGTTCCACCACTTCCAGCTCCTATCCTAGTACTTCGAGAACCAGATGGCTGAACAGATAACCTCCGTGGAATTCTTGATGGCTTTGATTCCATTTTGTGTGCACTATATAAAAACAAATATTCAACTTTTCTAATTAGATAATGAACTGTGCAAAATATAGGAAGAAAAGCTACAGGTTTGTAATCAGTGGTTAATTTTGCCCCTATGTTTGTACACTAAACCGCTAATCAGTATTTTAAATACTACAAATGAGATATAAGCATCAAAAAGATAAATTTTATAAGTTGCTGATGATACTTAGCAGGGTTAGTGTGCCAGGTCACCCGAGAGATGCCATGGAGGTTCAATCTCTGTGCCTAGAGGATGTGATAGGACCTGGATAGGACAGAACAGACTTCAATTCAACCTAAGAAGACCAAGTGGCTTTGAGTTTTTTAAACTATCTGATTCTGGGGACTTGTCATTTTTGGTTCTGATGGGGTGGCACTGCCTCAGATAGATCTGAGAGCACAATCTGAGTTTTCCTGAACTTACAGCTCTTGCTTGAGAAGGTGGCAACTGTGGCTAGGAAGGCCTTTGCATAGCTTTTAGATGTCATCAATTCCACCTAAAATCTAGTATCACTTTCTAGAGACCACTAATCTGTAAAATCTGCAAACCCAAAATCCATAAAATCTAAAGAAAGGACATAAATTGGCTAAACATTTCTGAAATGTGCATTAGGTGTGAGTAATGTATATGTTTATAAAAGCACAGAAACATCATACACGTATGATTTATATTATAATCAAATTGGACAAAAGTCACCATTAAACATCACTTTTCAATAAATTTTTATTGCATCTTTACACAATCATGTAATCTAATAAATTTGTAGTACAGCATTAACACACTTCTGAAAATTTAGTTTAGTAGATATTATTATACCTTATTTACAATTCATATCCTCCACAAAACAGACTGTGGAATATAAAGAATATGCAATTCATTAAACACTGGTTTAGAAACAACTATTTAGACACATGGCCTAGAAGTAAACATAAGTCTTGCAGGCAAATAGAACTTTATCTTATTTTAATGCATATAATTTATCTCTGTATTTAATCAAGTATTCAATATTATTTTGCATGAGAACCTATTCTGTCAATCTCTGGTTTTCTACTATTATTATACATATGGATTGATTTTGGAATATTTAAAAAACTGAAAAATACAACTTAGATTAGGGCACATTTAGCTAAAAATACATTCTTACCTATACTGGAAGCATACCTATAGCTCTATATATCTTAAACCCTTAGGATCTTAGAAGATTCCATTATCAAAAACATATTGCATTTTTTTAAAAATCCAACAGTAATTATATTGATAGAGGAGAAATAACATCAAAATACTATATATTGTTTCATTTCTGCACAGCTGTAAACTAGCAAATCCAATATCAAACTAGACCTAAAACAGCAACATAATTTCTTTGAAGGTTATTAATGTTCCTACTCTTCTCACAGCTTGAATTCAAATATAATCAAAGTTGTGCCCTATTGTCCTACTTTTGACTATTTTGGCCACAGCAAAATCAAAACTAAAAGAGAAGAGAAATTAAGCTCTTATCAATAAACAAGAGTACATATATATCTGGCTGAACAATCCAATCTTCCTTTCTGCCCACAAAGGACATGGTATGCAACAGAAAGGAGAAGCTTGCTTATAACCCTTTTATTGGTGCAGTTTAAAACAATACTTCTTTCCTTACAATGTCAATTTCAAAAAACGGTGGCAATACTAAATAGTAGAAAGAATTGTAGGCTTATTTGCAAACTGATCCATGAGAGTATCTCAGCAATTTCCTATTTTAGAACCCATTTATTTCTACACTATTAATGTACATCCCAATGCAAAAGAAGCAATCCTAAAAGTATCTGTAAAAGAGTTAGTAGTCATGTATCATGCCTCAAAATTTTTCTAGCAGCTAGTCATTTACCAGCCTTATTTCATAAAATAAAAGTCCAGAAAATTTCAAATGTGATTTAAGATCAGCCACAGAATTTTAAATATTGTATCTCCAGGTCATTTTAAAATGAACCAGACAAGTTTTAGTGGTCTTATTGTTCTAAGTACTAGTTTTAAATGGCAAAACTGCATTAAACAAAAGGAAATGCATTCAACATGTGTATTTCAGTAATAGAAGGGCTCATGACTGGTGCTGTGCTTACAACATCCCAATTAGAGGAAGGAAGAGAGAAGCAATTATGTACTATTTCCTTAACTGTTCCAGGAAATCAGAGTTTGGTAGCATTTTTTAGACTAACAATTTTATTAAAACATATAAACTTTCATGAATTGTAGCTCACTTTAACAGATACATGGAACTGTTAACAGATTTAAATTAAAATGGGACAAGAGGGAGAACGGGTTGGTACATATGAAAATAGTTACAAAAATCTAATGAATTGGCTATTGTAATGTGTTAAAATCATTGTGTTCGTTGAGACTTTCTGGGATAGGCAGAAGAGTGTCTCTCAGATCTTTGAAGCAGATGAAGAGAAAGGATGCAAGCAAATGCAAAGACAGAAGGAACCAGCAAACATAAGCATCTTTGTCCTATTCAATCCACAGAATTTAGCTGTATCAACCTCCTGCTGATATAGAAAGAGCAACCTATCAATCACAGGTTTTAGACAAATCCAATTTAGGGCAAGTTAGCACATTTGTTATTCACTAGATCCAGCCTCCATGTTCTCCATCTACTATATATCCATTTCACTGTAAAAACCATAGCTGGAGAATTGTTATTTATAGAAGCTACATCTATGCCTTTCTATGGCTCAAATTAGTTGTGATATTTATTAGTCTAGGCCTCATGCTAGAGGCCTCAAGATTGCTTCCTTTCACAGAGGGGACTTATATGGCTTACATATATTTTGCTAATAATCAGTAGGAGGCACTACACATCTGGTTCTGCCCTTACTGAGTTTCCAGATGTAGGCATCCTCCATAATGGACGTTAAAGAATGAAATAAAGACTATCTAGTATGGAGGATACTTATCCCTTGAAGAGACCCAATAAGGACAAAAGTGGCCATGTAGTGCTTCCTACTGGTCAGTAACTAATGTAATACTGATATGGTCATAGGGTTCCAACTAAATACAGTATTTTTCACTGGAGGGAAATCATACCCAGTTTTAAGGAGAAAATATTGGATATTAGTTGAAGGCAAATGAACGAGTCAGTCCTCTAACAAGTCGGATACTCTCCAAATTGCAGGGTTGTTTTTTTTTAACCGCCTGTTCTAAATACTCAAATACTCTCAAATTAAGGCTAAGCAGCGCAAGGGAGAAGCGGCAAACCGAACTCTTATTGGCGTTCCTTTTTAATCAGATGATTTTTTTTAAAAAAAAGGCAATCCTAAAAAGCTGAAAGAGAGAGACTTGTAAAGGATTAGTCATAACCTGAATGCCAAGCTGACTTTACTTAAGTCTATATAATAAACACCCCAATGACCTCATACTGGAGACAACCCAGGAAAACCCGAGTTCCGATTTTAATTTAACCACCTGAATGTATGGAGAAGCCCCCTGACCTCTCTGAAACTGGACTTCTCACTGGATAAGAAACCGCATTTCCTCCCAAAACCCCTTCAAGCCAACAGTCAAAACAGCGGAAGGTTTCTCTTTTCCGGACTCGATTGCACAACGAAGAAGCCCCATGGAGGAGGGCGCCTTCGTCCCTAGGCGGACGCGCCCAGGGCAGACGTGCAAACCTGGGGCCCGTTTGCCGAGTCAGAGCTCTCTTTCCGAACCGTACAAGGCAAACGGGGAAGGGGAGGAAACTGGGCCAAGAACTTCGCCGCCCAAAGCCCACAAAATGGAGACTTCCTCAGCTCCCCAAACCGTGGCACTTCCCTTCCGCAAGTCCCCGCGAAGCCAGGGCCCTCCGCCCGCCTCTTCGGTTTCGCTTTCTCTCTCTCTCCTCCGCAAGACATCACCTGCTTGCGTTGGCCGCCGTCTCCCCCAGCGCCGCTCGCCGCCTTCACGGGCTCTCCCCCCCAGCCGCTCGCCGAGCCGACAATGGCGGCCGCTGACTACCCTACGGTCTGTAGTAAGGAGGAAGCTACCTCAGCGCCGCCTGCCAATCACCGCGGAGTCAACGGACACCCGTCCCTTCAACTCTCGCGAGAACAGCGACCCTCTAACCTAGCCCGAAGCTTAATACGGAAGTCTGGCTCTCGGCCTCTCCCCCCTCCCCCCCCAAGACGTCGTGGGTGAGGCGAGTGGCTCACCCGGAGGCTGCTGGGAAAGCGGAAGCGGCGAGGTTGCTTTAGTACTTTGAGCTCGCTTGGCGCTGGTCTTCGGTGGCTTCTGACGTACGTCATACGTCACTGGGCGGCATTACATATTGTGCGGTGGATGGGAGTCTCGGAGCTCTCAGAGAGGGAAAGGCGCAGGCGCGGCCGGGAGAAAAGGGGAAAGAGACCCTTTTGCAAAATTCAGGGGTCTTATCCGTGCACGTTCACAGGACACAAGAGGAACTAATTGCACCAAAGAAGCTGCAATCCGAAAAGAAATTGCAAACGGTGTTCATGAGCCCAACCAGCTTTGTTCACTTTATTTATGCTGTAGTGGTGTAGGGTCTCCTACTTGGGCGGGGGGGTTGGACTAGATGACCTACAAGGTCCCCTCCAACTCTCTTAATCTATGCTATATAAGTGTTGATGTGCAACCCATCAATCCCCAAAGCAGGCTACTAGTGATGACCCAGCCTTCTTTCTCATCAAGAAGCCTATAACCAGTGGTGGTGTTCTTTTGGTTTAAAGGCAAAAAAAACTTTAATGAAAGTGCATTCCCTTGACATTGTTTCTCCTCTCATGAAGTGTCACCTGCCACTGGGAAAAGACAATAATCAGTTACTTAATTTGCGGTAGAGTGAAGCCAGGTGAGCATAGTTGGATATTTTGAATAGCAGGTATAGCTGCCTATCAAATTGTCCACCTAAACAAGTTTCAGGCATGAATGTGCCCTATGCTTGGCTTGTGGCTATTATGTTGAACTATTTTTGAAGTGGGTCAAAAGAATACTAAACCAGTATCCAAAACAGCCTGGATGACAGGTGGCAGATATAGGAGCAGAGAATAAAGCAGGAGGAAACTCTTAGTGTAAGCCTGAACTAGCCATACAGTCCCAGAAAAATATATGTTTGAATAAAGTAGGCAACAACCGGGTGCAATAAGATGCTTCAAAGCAGGAATGGACAAGCTTTTGGTGCCTTAATTCAAATGCATTTTTCCTCAGGATGACATTACGAGCCGAAGAGAGGAGGCAGCTCTTTAATGAGATGCTGACAGATGTGTAGCACATGCTACACCTGCTGCAAAACATCTTTTCAGCTTCAAATCTGAAGTGTTAAATATCCCTTGGTAAGGCTATTAAACCTGGCAGATATATATCATCTCCTGTATCTATAGTATTGCATTAGCAGGATTACTTACTCCTTTGTCCTATCCAGCAAGAATCTTCTGAGGTTCTCATCTTCTATGAACAGGAAAGGCTTTTCAACCATGGATGCTTTAACATCTGTTTTTAAAATTCCTCAAATCTTAATATAGGTAGTTCTTACAACCACAATTGAGGCCAAAATTTATATTAAGTGAGAAATTTGTTAAATGAATTTTGCCCCACTTTATGACCTTTCTTGCCACAATAGTTGATACCGTAGGTTACTAACCCACCTGTTAAGTGAATCTGACTACCCCATTGACTTTGCTTTTCAGAAGTTTGCAAAAGTTGATCACAAGATCTTTTCGATACAATTGAAAATAAGTCATATATTTCTTTTCTTGTGAATTGGACTATTGAAATGAAGATATCTTGAAGAAAACCAGTAACAGAGCTTACTGAGCTTATTGTAATACCGTGCTGAAAGTGTATTTGTGGACTATACATGCGCACAGGAGTATGTTACTTAATTCTAAATCTGGGCTTATTTTGTCAGGCTTCTATTTTGTACCTCTAGCTGCTATAGCTTCATGACTTTTAACCTCCGCAAACAGTTTAGAACTTCAGCAGGTTAACTCTAAAAGATCCTAGAACCTCGCTTCCCTTTCTGATAAACTGACATGCCATATGTTCCAACAATTCCAGAAAATAATAAACGATGCTCCTCTCTTCTTGTCTTCTACTGTAGGTATAGGGAGTACAAAGGATGACCTTTACATAAAGAGTCTAGATCCTTTACCAAATCAATAAGGCAAAAAACATGGCTTAAACCTAAGTCATGCAGCAGACATGCAAAAATGTCTCAGGTAAGCACTTCCCTAATTCTCCCTAAGCAGTCTAAGAGGAAGGAGGTAAAGTACAGTCAGACTTGCATGTTTCTTTTACCATAGTGAATCTTAATTAAAAAAAAATAGTTTTTGTTTTAATGTGGAGTTGATTTGGTCTGATCTACATTCCGGAACTGATCACCAAGATCAAATCAGAAATTTTTGCTTCTGCTTTTAAAGCAATTGCAAGATGCACTGTTGTATAAAGCCAAGAAAACTGTTGTTTTATTGAATAAAATTGTGTGATAATTTATGGTCGTAACTTGTTTACTAATTATATTGATTTGGATCCAAACAGGTATTTTGAAAAATGTTGGTTAAGTTCCATGATCCCTTGACTACTTGTTTCTTTGATCCCACTCCCATGCAAATCCCTTCAGGGCTGAGGAAACATGCCAAGTGAAATGGGTCTTGATGTGGATTAGGGTAAAAGGAGGAGGTCACAGGGCCATGTATGGAATCATGTTCTACTTTAATTATGAAAATACTTCCATCTGTTTTTTCATACTCGCTTTCCTAGCCCTCCCCTACTGCAATCCCAAAAAAGTGTATAAAAACTGCCATCTCATCACAGTGCAGATAAATAAAATTGTCTAAACTACTGAAATATAAAACTTGGGGAAAATAACAGAAATATCTCTGCCTATGTCTTTACATGAAAGTGCCTGCTTTGGTGTTCCATAAAATAGCATTGCTAATAATAAATTCCTCAGGAACCATCTGGTACAGGTTGTCCTTGATTTATGACCACAGTTGAGCCCAAAATTTCCATTGCTAAACAATATAGTTGTTTTGCCCCATTTTACAACCTTTCTTGTCACAGTTGTTAAGTGAATCACTGAGTTAAATTAGTGACCCAGTTAAGTGAACCTGGCTTCCCCATGGACTGTTTGTCAGAAGATCGCAATGAGCTTGCGATCTGCAACTGTTGTAAATATATGCCATTTGCCATGCGGCTGAATTTTGGTCACGTGACTATGGGGATGCTGCAACAGTCGTGTGAAAAACAGTAATAAGTCACTTTTGTCACTGCCATTATAACTTTGAAGAGTTACTAAATGAATGGTTGTAAGCCAAGAACTATCTGTAATGACTTTAGTTTTAATTTCCAGTGGTACCCTCCTGGAGCAAGGTATATGGAACGCATCCTATTATCTAAAACATCTGAATCATATTTATAAAATTGGATATTTTCTCATTCCAGAATTCTCATTACAGAAACCTACTCTGTATACAACAGCAATCAACCACATTTTTCTCCTTTATTGATATTTTCTCTAGTCCTTCTACCAAACTAGTTTTTCTAGAACTGAGTTCCGTGGCAATTGATTCAACAGAAAGTCTTAAGTCATTACAAATTCATTTCAAGGCTCCTAATCAAGTGCTCTATTAAGTGCTCTATTAAGTATATCACAACACTGTTTGAAGTTGAATTCACATCTTTGAGATACTGGTTTAGTAACATTTTCAAGTCATTCATTCATTCACTCAAAATCTATCCCAATATATCCCTGATCACTTGCTGCTTTTCAGCATGCCAACATGTACTTTAATATTAAATACCAAGATTCTTAAGAATGGCATCTTATCCTGAGGGAATATTATAATAGACAAAATTGGCTGTAATTTAAAATTAAAATAGGTGAGCAATCTCAAAATACATTGTAAATAACAATATGATTATCCTGACTATCAAAGTGGGAAAATAAAACTACATTTATGAGTTGGTGGGTGCCAGTTCAAGGGAATTTCCACGTTATTCCCTTTCTTGGAGATTTTCATCTTTTATTTTTAGGGTACGAAGTTTTCTCAGTCCGCAAGTAATGGGGCCAAGACAACAAAGTTCAATTTTGTTTACAGTTACATTTATTTAAAATTATAGTTAATATATTTTTATGGTCATTTGTTTAATAAAAAACGAAATCTGGCTTCTTTTTGAGGACTCTATAAACTACATCCAAGATTTTCAGAAACCAAATATATCCTTGAAGTTTTTGGTATACCCTCAATAACCTATGGGCTTCAATGATGGATATCATGGACTCTTCATTTGGTTAAATTAACATTTAAATCATGAAATATTCAGCTGCTAAATGTCACTGGTTAAAGCTAGATTTAATCATATTTAAAGCAATTCAATTTAAAAGAGTGTGACTTAAAATAAGCATTTTTAATTGATCCCTCATTTTAATGGGTCTCCTAATCAAAATATGGTTAATAATGAATACTTTGGCCCCTTAGACATTTATAAAACAGATTGCTTATCTTTTTGCCTCTGAGATTAAAGTGAAAAGATAACTACTGCCAAACTATCTCCTTCATCTTTTTCCATTGCTGTATTCTTCCTGCAACATCCTCAATATTAGAAAGACTCAAAAGGTCTGGCTAAAGTTTAATAAAGAATAGAAGAACTGAAGTTTCAAAGAATCCTTGGTATCCCCAGCTTTTTACCCGCATCATGTTTACTACAGATTTAAACTAGCTGTTCCTGTATAGTTGGTGGAATAATTAAAATGTTCTTTACTTCACTTCAGAATTGTTCTGCTACTTCAGATTCCGTCTTCTTATTGGGATGTTGATCAATGGACATGAGGAGTTACCATCATGAAAACTATTAAGAGATTTATGGTGCACGCACATTTGCGAACCAGTAGGGAAGGTAAGAGAATTTCACTCCTGGTACTAATACTTCATGTGATTTTTGGCTGCTGCCACACACTGCTGATTCATGTTTAATTATCATCCACTAAGACTCCAAGGTCCTTCTCATAGTTACTGTTTTTGAGACAGGTTTCGCCTAATCTATATTTGTACCTTTGGTTTTTCCTACCCAGGTGTAAAACCTTGCTTTTCTCCACATTAAATTTCATTTTGTTGGATAGGGCCCAATGTTCAAGTCTGTCAAAATCTTTTTGGATCCTGAGCTTGGCTTCTGGGGTATTGGTTATTCCTGCCAGTTTAGTGTCATCTGCAAATTTGATGAGTTCCCCTTCTATTCCCTCATATAATACCTGTGTTTCCAAACATACCAAAGTCGCAAATGTGAGGCTGTGTCAGCAAAGACACCTAATTGTAGCCTATACGTAGAGGTAGCCAATGAAATCCGGTTAGGAATACACTCACAACACAACTTCCTGTGTTACGCACTCCCTTCTAGTCAAGGAAGGCTCTATGATTAGTCAAATCCACATGACATTCATTTTGAGTCTCCTGGAATTTATTTTTGTGAGAGCATCATGATGTGCTCTAATGTACTTACATATTCATTTAGTTGCTCCCTGCACCTTTGGTGAGCACACAAAATGGTTAATTAATTTAAGAACAAGGAATATTACAAGTTAATAAAAAGTAACATTTGTATTAAAATAAACGCTTAACTAACCATTGAAAACCTGAGAAAAGAGATACCTGGAGACAGTATGCCAAGTCCCATTCTCAAGGAAATGGGTTCAATAAACTGGGTGCAACAGGAGAAGGCCTTCCTCCATGTCCAAGAAAGATAGGGCTCTAAAAGAAAGCATCTTCAAAAAAAACCCCAGATGGATATGTCTTCCAACAAAGTCTGCAAATCAATGGTTTTGTTAGATGATTAGTTTTAATTGGGAAAATGTAGTTCTGTGAAAGGATGTGATCCTGGCTTTACTCCCTTGCACTCCTAGAGCCGTCTGGCAAGACAGGAGATCTTATAACAAAGAGGTTTTATGGTGATGTGGCGGGAGGTGTGGCTACCCTGCAGCCATCCTTGCCCGGTGAATGCATTTCAGATTCCTAACATGCTTTCTTGTTAGCTTAGGGGGGAATCAGTAAGGTGCTGGCCTGCTTCCAGCTATACCTTCCTGTTTGTAACTGAGATGCAGGCTGCACATTAAGGGTGACAAATGACCTCAGGGCACCAGTTTAGGGCCTTACCAGGTCTTAATTCAGCCCTGCAAGTTTCCCAACCATGTTCTAGGCCAGTGTTTCTCAATCTTGGGAACTTTAAGATGTATGGACTTCAAGTCCCAGAAATCCCCAGCCAGTATGGCCAGCTGGGGAATTCTGGGACTTGAAGTCCACACATTTTAAGTTCCCAAGATTAGGAGATACCAGTCTAGAGGACTTAACTGCTGTTTCCCAGACAGAATTTCACCTCAGGTTGCTCATCAACTTGTTTCTTAATGTTTAATCTTTTTATTCTAATTTGAACTTTTAAAGCATATTTTAACTTTTTATTATATTGTAACTTGCCCAGAGTCACTATATTAGTAATAATGGCAGCATAGAAATTTTAAAATTAAAATTAAATACACATTCTGTTTTCTTGCTGACTAATCCCTATTTCTTTTTTCCCCCTTCAGCTTTCTTATGTAACAAGGAAGTTCTATCGCTTAGCAATAGCACCAGTATTTTTTTTATACAATCCTGCACAAAGATATGACTTCTTGCTGTGTCATAAAGGTAGTTCTTGAATTACGACCGCCATTGAACCTAAAATTTCATTTGCTAAGTGAGTTTTGCCCCACTTTACAACCTTTCTTGCCACAATTGTTAAGTGAATCATTGCAGTTGATAAGTTACTAACCCAGTTGTTAAGTGAGTCTGGCTACCCCATTGATTTTGCTTGTCAGAAGGTTGCAAAAGGGGATCACATGACCCTGAGACACTGAGACCGTCATATGATATGAACCAGTTGGCAAAAACGGAATTTTGATCACATGATCATCGGCGTGCTGCAAAGGTGGTAACTCTGAAAAACAGTCATAAGTCACTTTTTAATTCAGTGCCATTGTAACTTTGAATGGTTACAAAATGAAGTATTGTAAGTCAAGGGCTACCTGTATTTAGTGTAAAGCCAGGGCTTTTAATCAAGAATATTCTATCAACAGAATATGGTATTGCCTTGTGCAGGTTCATGCTACAGCGATTGGGTGAGGGAGAGATAGCAAAGATTTACATTTTTCAGGCAATGAAATAGACCACCGGTGTCAAACTCGTCACTTCATGTTGCTGTCATGTGACGTTTCACGACGTTTTTTCATTTACGGAGCTGGGGTGGGTGTGGCCTGCATGTGATGCATCCGGCCCGCTGGGCGCCAGTTTAACACCCCTGAGATAGGGGGTATCTGACATAGATTGAAGAGCCTTGCTGATTTAGAGTAATGTAGCAATTATGTGGAGGAGAAGATCTATAAATATCAGGAGAGATATTTTCAAGACAGGAGGTGGAAATAAGATTAACCTCTGTACTTTCATTAAAGATCAGTTGTCTTTGACATTTACATATGAATGGCATATTTCTCAAGAGTTTTTAAAGTGTTAGGAATAGCCAGTGGATTTCTGAAACTTACTTACCAGCTAAAAAATTAAATTGTCTTTTCTTATTTCTTTAATATCAGATAGCAGCAATTTATAAAGTAAATCATATAGTCCAAGTGCTAGTTTTACTGCCTTTTCCAGAATCTGCTTAAGATATATTACACATATTCAATTTGGTAAAATCATAATCTATAGCAGCGTGTATAAATACACGTGTGCGCACATATACTCACTTAAAAATCTTCTTGCTACAAATGTAGGTAGTCCTTGACTTATGACCACAATTGACCCCAAAATTTATGTTGCCAAGCAAGACATTTGTTAAGTGAGTTTTGCCCCATTTTACAACCTTTCTTGTCACAGTTGTTAAGTGAATCATAGCAGTTGTTAAGCTGGAGCTGCTGTAACACTTATTCCTTCAAGAAGCAAATGCGGGAGAAAAAGCTTACAATGGGACCAGTGCTCACGGTTTGAATAGCAGCCTCTCGGGGGGGGGGGAGGTGTCTATTTATCAACTTTTGTGTGATTGCTTTTGCTGAGAAAATGTGGAATTTAAACTGTTGTTAAATGCAGATAAAGGCAGGATCTCCAGAAACTGCAATATATTATTTTTCACTTTCTTTATGCACAGAAGGAATCCACACTGCCAAAGCTAGGCAGGACTCGTACAAAATAAGGTATTCCTGGCAACCGTGAGGTATTTACTGCTGTTAACAAAGACTGGCATATCAATGGAATTGAATCTCAAACACAGTCAACTACTGAAAAAAGAAGAACAGAAGCCATTCGTTTTTTGTCCATTGGCGGTTGGTTGGAATAATACAATCAAATTTTGCCGAGTCATTGCTGTTGCAAAGCTTGTTTTAAATAAGCAAAGAAAATATTGCTAAGGTATTACAATATAAAAGTTACCACTATTGGTGTAAATGCTATGATGCAGCCATCGGGTAATCAAAAGCTTGTAATATCAATTTGTAATATCCCCCAGTCTCTGTATAAACATGTCAACTTTATGCGATTTCAGTGCTTTTAATATTGCTGTTACCGCAACATTCCTGAGTGTCAAAAGTGATCCAATTGAATGAGATTCATTTTAAATATACTTTCTGTGAAATTCATTCAGACTTAGGAAAAGCTTAGAAGGTGCTATGAAAAGACCTTCTTTTGATTTTTTTCCCCTCCATCAGATATGGTGAGTTAGATCCAAGCCATATATTATTCTTCTCCAGAAAATCTGCTTTCAGTGTGTCTGACCATTTGCTAAGATAGTAGTGCTGCTCTTGAAACAGTTACTAAAATTATCAAAGTACCTAATGAATTAATATAGTAGGTTTCTGACAACCTATATTTGCATATTTCCACTTAATTTTGAATGTATGTAAATTGGCAACCGCTCCTTCTCACAGTTAACAATCCATCAAAATTAGAAATTATATGGAGGCGCAAAGCTGTAAGCCAAAACTATTTCTTTGAACGATTTGATCCCAATTTCACCTGAGGAATTCTGATACTGCATACTGCAATATGAATATCAATATTGCACTCTTGACCTTTGATATGTACCATAGATTGTACCATTTCAATTTAATGTTCAAAGACACATTACCATTTTTTAAAAATCTATAGGTATCATTCAGATCAATGGAGCATGTGTTCTTCTGTGGCCAGTGTATGGCTGTCTTTGGTCAATATTATTACTTTTGTGAATTTACACAAAATAATTACACAAGTTTAGAATCCTCCACCTTCTTTTATAGAAGCATCATCTAAATTTGCTATACACATACAAAAACAACAATGTGTAAGATGCTGATTAGAAGCAGAATTCTGGTTCAGTTCTCAGCCCTTGAATTCTGAAGCTAGTGTTTCAGTGCTTTTCTTTTGTTATCTGGGACTGGTGGAGATTGGTCCACTGAATTTAAGAAGGGGCAGGAGAATAATCTTATGTCTTAAGTATTGCCATAGTGATTCCATATTATACCATGACAAACAGTCACAGAAATACACTTATTTATTTATTATTTATTCATGTTATATCTTGCCTTTATTATTTTTATAAATAACTCAAGGCAGTGAACATGCCTAATGTTCCTTCCTCCTCCTATTTTCTCCACAACAATAACACTGTGAGATGTGTTGGGCTGAGAGAAAGTGACTGGTTCAACAACATCCAGCTGGCTTTCCTCCTCATCATCAATGCAATCATAACTGCCTAGCCAGTTATGAAAACCAACAATACCTCAAAAGCTACAGATTGCCCATCCCTGTCTTGTTGCCAAAGATAAATCTGCATTGTTTTAACAGTTTTCAAATAGTGTGTCTCATAAATGTATTGTAGATACTTAAAACAGACTTGAGATTATTGAATGCTAATATGCATTTTATAGTCATTTTATTTCCACATTAATTATAAGGATATTTGGGGAAGCTCAACATTTTTAAATGCTTGAATTAAAACAAAACTGCAGTTGAATTATTACTTCCCACAATTAACTGATGTATCTTTCTGTGTGGAAAAAAACATTATATTCTAAATAGCTTGTGTGTTGTTCTTTTATCGATAGTGAACTGGGAAACAGTCTCTTCAAAGTTCATAAAACATTCAAAGCTTCTTAAATCACATTGGCATAAATTATAAGCCATGTAAAATACAAAAAAAAAAACAACATAGAGTAAGGAAGATACTTAGGGATGATTCATATCCTGGTCAGTGTCTTTTCTCACTTTTACCATCGGGCAGAAATATAGCCAATTGGACAAACAGGTTTAAAAACAGCTTTTATCCATGGGCTGTCAGACTCCTAAATACAACTACAATCACTCCATGCATACATGGAAGCATAGGTTTCTCCCTAATTACTTATATAAAGACCATTTTCTATATTATTCATGTTGTTTTGTATTTTGCTATGGATTGCACCAGTAGAAGCTAAATCAATTTCATTGTATATATGTATAATGACAATAAAGGTTATTATTATCTCTTTTATTCATTAAACATGAAACTCAGTCAACTGGACATTAGTAATAACAACAACAACAACAACAACAACAACATGGATGAAACATGTCACAGTGATACCCATTGTCATTGGGGTACTTGGTACCATGTCTAAGAATTTCACAAAACACTTCAAGAAATTGCAGCTTCCTGCAATAACACCAGCAGAACTGCAAAAAACTGCGCTACTCAGAACATCATATATTTTAAGAAGGTACTTGGTTGATACCCAGGACACTGGCAGCAACCCGTATCAACCATTAGCACCAGTCAATGGTATTTGTGACACATTTTTAAATGTCCAGTTGACTGAGTTTCATTTTTAATGAATAACAGAATAATAATAATAATTCTATACTTTCTCAGTTTTTTCCTGATGACATTTACACTTAAAAAGGCACATTGCATAGGAGTAAAACATGCAATTGTGATGCTAATTTGAATCAATTATTTAAAACTAAAGATACATGGGAAAAAACTCATGTTCTATGAATAGATGTGCACAAACACACACAAATATGCTCCTAGTGCTCCATCACAAATATGTTTTCAATATGCTAAGTTATCTGTGATGTTTTCTTAGTTCGCGGTGCAACAGAAATGTAAGTGGAAAATTTACCACGTAATATCTTTATTCAGCAGTGCTTTACCTCTTTTCTACTTTGAATTAGAATTCTAATCTGGTGCCTTGCATCCTGCAGCAGCATAGCCCCAAGAAATGATACTTTGTAAAAGTTAATAAAGCGCTCTTCAGAAAAACACAATTCTACATAAATAGAGCTGGATTGAGTTACATATCAGCTATATCTGTGGAACTGAAGTTATAAAATAAGGCACATTCCCTGACCAAAAGGAAACTAGGCAATTCATTCACCCGAAGTCAAATAACTGCAGAAGTTAGTATGTTTAGAATTTCATGGTAGCTTCCCAAATTTAACCTATAAACACAGTAGAAAATACTCCCTAAACTTTTCAGTTTTCTTAATACAACATAGAAAAGCTAGGCATTTGTATGAGGTTCTTTCATCTCTCTGTGTACATACATCTTTGTAACTATTGGAGCAGGCTGAGAGCTCCACTTACTTAGTCTTTGAGTCACATCCAGAAACCAACATGCACAAAATGGATTAATGGGACAAACACAGGAATTGATTCAAGACAATTTGAGTCATATTGATTTTCATTATACTAATAATGCACCATAGATGTTCCATTATTTCCCCCTCCTGTCACTTGAAAATTATTGGGGGGCAATTTTTGGATAGATATTTTATTTATTTCTACTCCACCTAATTATTTTTACAAATAACTCAAGGTGGCAAACATATCCAACACACCTTCATCCTCTTATTAGTTGAGTTAAGAGAGAGTGATTGAGTTGGCTTTCATGACTAAGGTGAGACTAGAACTTGCAGTCTCTGACTTTCTAGTCTGGTGCCTTAGTCACTAGACTGAACTGGCTATGATATGTTAAAGTTAGTGGAAACTACATGTGCTCTGGAGACTCAAATTACAAAGATCTGGTTAAAATAGAATTGGAACAAATGGTGAAGCTTCCTGACAAGGTTTTTATGTAGGCAATCATCATCATTCACAGAAGTACTTATCTCCTAGAAATTTATCTTCAAGGTAAAACAACTTCCTACTCACCCACACAAATGACAAAACATTGAGAGACCATGGAAATGAGCAATCCATTGCAGCAAATCAGGGCTAAATTTATCCTCCAATGTTGTATCATATTACTTTTGGCCTGCTCCCCTGCATGAAAAGTCCAAAGTTTTTGATGTCTTAAATTCCACCTGCTCATGATGTGGCTAAGTTAAACATATCTGTCTATAATTATAACTTACAGCATACCTGCCTGTAAGCTAAAAAGTTAGAAGACATGATAGGTGAACAGATGTTACAAATTAGAAATAATTATGCCTGGACCTCCATCAGATGCTCAGTTTATAATGAAGTCCCCATCTGAAAACACACAGAAGAGGCCATTAAGGATCCAGAAAGAGACAGGATAAAATTACCACAAATAGATAACATTACCAACAAATCGAACCAAAAAGGCTCAATTTTTAAAAACGGCAAGCAACATCATTTTTTAAGGATGGCATTCCACCCCAAATCTCATCCTATCATCCATATTTGCATTTTATTTCAAAAAAGTATTTGTCTTCCTGGGCACCGGTTTTCCTGACCATGGCATCACGCATTTTCTTCCCTGGGCATCACAAAGGCTCAGTTTTTAAAAACAGCAAGCAACACCATTTTTAAGCACAGAATTCTACCCTGAACCTCATCCTGGTGTTTTTGCATTTGGTTTCAAAAAATATTTGGCTTCCTGGGTACCGGTTTTCCTGACCACGGCATCTCCACAGCTGCTGGGCCTCACCTGCCTGCGGGCGGGGGGGCGACAGAGCACAAGGCTATGCGGCCCGCATCGCCCCTCTGCCAACCACCCCTGCCCCTCCCTCAGCCACCAGCCTGTGTACTTTGGACAAGCGCAGGCCACCGCTGTAAGAATGGTGCGAGCCCCATGGGCTGGAACATAAGGCTGATGGCGGGGAATGAAGATCCATTCTGGGCTTTCTGCACTCAGCTAAAGGGCTGCCTCAGTGGTGGTGGGGTCTGCCACTGCTCTTTGCCAGCTGGAACCCAGACAGCAGCAGCAGCTGGAGGCTTCTTGGTGGGGGAGGACACAGCAAGGCTCGGCCACCTTTCAGGCCCTGCTCTGGGCTGCCACCTACTCGACCTCCGCTCCACCTTGATTTCCGCATCCAGCCCATGACAAGGGGGGGGGGGTGAGATGTGGACTGGTGGGGGCGGAGTAATGATGGC